CTATATTTGAATTTTTCAATGTTTTAAATTTTAGATTTTTCAATTCATCAGTTACCTATTCATATTTTTTAATTTTTAAAATTTTGACATCTCTGAATTTTCAGTTTTCGGATTTCTCAATTAATCATTTTTTTTCCCATTTCTCCACTTTTGAAAGTTTCCATCTTTCAGTTCTTCTATATTTCAATTCTTCAATTTTTCGAATTTTTAAATTTTCGATTTTCCAGTTTTTCTTTTTTAAAATTTTTCGATTTTTCAATTTTTTGATTTCTCGATTTATCGAATTCAGACGTTTCGTGGTTTTGATTGTTCAATTTCCCGATTTATCAATTTTTCAATTTTTAACTTTTCTTTTCGGCTTCCGACTCCTCGATTTTTCGATCCTCTGATTTTTCGATTTCTCGATGTTACAGTTTTTGAATTTTTCGATGTTTCGATTTTTGAATTTCTCGGTTTTTCGATTTTTTACTTTTGGGCTTTTCAATTTTTCGATTTTTTAAATTCTGGAGTTTCGAATTCTCGATTTGTCGATTTTTCAGTTTTTCGATTTTTAAATTTTAAATTTTCGAATTTTTATTTTTGGTTTTCTAGATTCTTCAATTTTGCGATATTTCAATTGTTCAATGTTTTAAGTTTTTCAATTTTTCAAATTTTGACATTGCTAAATTTTCAGTTTTCCGATTTCTCAATCTATTTTTGATTTTTCCACTTCTCAAAGTTTCGATTTTTCAGTTCTCCAGTTCTTCGACTTTTCGATTTCTGAATTTTCCAATTTTTTATATCCTCAATTTTTGGATATTTCGTTTTTTAAACTTTAGGTTATTTCAATTTCTCAATTTTTCAACTTTTCCATATTTCAATTTTTCAGTTTTTAAAGTTCTAGATTTTTGGATTTCTCGAGTTTGCCCAGTTCTATTTTTCAATTTTCCGAATTTTTAAATTTTCGATTTTTCAATTTTTTGAGATCTCGATTTATCAATTTTTCGATTTTTCGAACTTGTCGACTTTTCGACTCCTCGATTTTTCGATTTCTCGATGTCTCAGTTTTTGAATTTTACGATGTATCGATTTTTTACTTTTCGGTTTCTCAACTTTTCCATGTTTCGATTTTTTAATTATCCGATTTTTCAATTTTCCAATTTTTTAAATTTTCGAGTTTCGATTTCTCGATTCGTTGATTTTCAGTTTTTCGATTTTCGAATCTTAATTTTTTTGATTTTTTGATGTTAAGATTTCTCCACTTTTCAATTTTACGATATTTTAATTTTTCAATGTTTTAAATTTTAGATTTTGCAATTTTTCAGTTCTTCAATATTTTTTAATTTTTCAAATTTTGACATTTCTGAATTTTCAGTTTTCCGATTTCTCAATTAATCTATTTTTTTATTTTCCACTTCCCAAAGTTTCCATCTTTCAGTTCTTTGGTTCTTCAATTTTTCGATTTTTCAGGATTTTGATTTTTCAATTTTTCGATTTTTTAAGTTTGCGATTTTTCGACTTTGCTTTTTTGACTTTTCGGTTTCACAATTTTTTAATTTCCTAATTTTTGGATATTTCGTTCAATTCTGTGATTTTTCAGTTTTTCTATTCAATTTTTCAATGTTTCGGTATTTTGAGTTTTGGGATTTTTTAGTATTTCGATTTTTCGAGTTCTGGATTTTTAGATTTCTCAAGTTTTTACTTTTTGGATTTTCAATTTTCCGTTTTTTTTTTTAATTTAGATTTTTAAAATTTTTAACTGATTTATGCTTCGATTTCGCAGTTTTTCAACTTATCGATATTTTAACTTTTCAATTTTTAAAATTTTAGTTTTTTCGATTTCTCGAGTTTTCAGTTCTTCTCTATTTCAATTTTTCAATTTGCGGAATATTTAAATTTTCGATTTTCCAATTTTTTTCTTAATTTTTCGATTTTCCAATTTTTTGATGTTTCGATTTTTCAATTAACCGATTGTCCAATTTCTCGATTTTTAAATTTTAATTTTCCAATTTTTATTTGATTTTTTGATGTTTGGATTTCTCGATTTTACAATTTTCCTATTTGAATTTTTCAATGTTTTAAATTTTAGATTTTTCAATTTATCAGTTATTCAATAATTTTTAATTTTAAAAATTTTTACGTTTCTGAATTTTCAGTTTTCGGTTTTCTCAATTAATTATTTTTTTTTATTTTCTCATTTCTCCACTTCTGAAAGTTTCCATCTTTCAGTTCTTCTATATTTCAATTCTTTGAAAGAGGATAAAAACTGAGAAATCGTATCATTGAAATATCGGAAAACTGAGAAATCGAAAAATAAAAAAATCGAATAATGGAAAATTTGAAGAATGGAAAAATTGAAGAAGCTCAAAATTGAAATATTGAAAAATTGAGGCATCTAAAGTTGAAAAATCGAGAAATCAAAAAATGGAAATATTGAAATGAAAAATCGTTAAATCGAAAAATCTGAAATTTAAAACAATGAAAAATTCAAATATAGAAAAATTGTAAAATCGAGGAATCCAAACATGAAAAAATCAAAAAAATTAAAATACGAAAATCGAGAGATTTAACAATCGGACAATTGAAAAATTGAAACATCGAAAAATTGGAAAATCTAAAAATGAAAAAAATGGAAAATCGAAAATTTAAAAACTCCAAAAATTGAAAATTTGAAATATAGAAGAACTGAAAACAGGGGAAATCGAAAAACCTGAAATTTTAAAAAATGAAAAGTTAAAATACCAATAAGTTGAAACATTGAGAAATAGACGTACCTATAAAAGAGATGAAAAATTGAAAATCTGAAGTTTAAAAACGATAATCCAAAAAGTGAAAGTCGAGAAATCGAAAAATCCAGAAGAATTGACAAATAGAACGCCCACCCGCCCTCTGTTTCCTTAGGGGATATGTCATATGCCAAAATCAGTCTTACCTTAACAGCTACAACTTTAGATGTCTCAATTTTTCAATATTTCAGTTTTGGGCTTCTTCAATTTTTCCATTCTTCAAATTTTCGATTTTTCGATTTCTTAATTTTCTAATTTTTTATATCCTCAATTTTTGGATATTTCTTTCAGTTATTCGTTTTTTAAACTTTAGATTATTCAATTTTACGATTGTTTTATATTTCAATTTCTCAATTTTTCAACTTTTCAATATTTTAATTTTTCAAATTTTAAATTTCTAGATTTTCCCCAGTTCTATTTTTCAATTTTCCGAATTTTTAAATTTTCTATTTTTCAATGTTTCGATGTTTTGATTGTTCAATCTCTCGATTTGTCAATTTTTCAATTTTTAACTTTTCGATTTTGGCTTATTTCGGTTTCTCAATTTTTCGATTTTTCGATTTCTCGATGTCTCAGTTTTTCAATTTTACGATGTATCGATTTTTTACTTTGGGATTCTCGATTTTTCGACGTTTCGGTTTTTGAATTAGTATTCGATTTTTCAATTTTTCAAATTTTTAAATTTTCGAGTTTCGATTTCTTTATTCGTTGATTTTCAGTTTTTCAATGTTTTAAATTTTAGATTTTCCAATTTTTCAGTTCTTCAATATTTTTTAATTTTTCAAATTGACACTTCTGAATTTTCAGTTTTCAGATTTCTCAATCAATCTATTTTTGATTTTCCCACTTCTCAAAGTTTCGATTTTTCAGTTCTCCAGTTCTTCGATTTTTCGACTTCTGAATTTTCCAATTTTTAATTCCTCAATTTTTGGATATTTCTTTCAGTTTTGAGATTTTTCAATTTTTCGAATCTTCGACTTTTCGATTTTTCGACTTCTGGATTTTTCGATTTTTTATTTTTAGATTATTCAATTTTTCGATTGTTTTATATTTCAACTTTTCCATATTTTAATTTTTCAATTTTTAAATTTCTAGATTTTTCGATTTCTCGAATTTCCAGTTCTACATATTTTTCAATTTTCCGAATTTTTAAATTTTCGATTTTTCAATTTTTTGAGATCTCAATCTATCGAGATTCAGATGTTTTGATGTTTTGATTGTTCAATCTCTCGATTTGTCAATTTTTTTCATTTTTAAATTTTCAGTTCTCCAGTTCTTTGATTTTTGACTTCGCTTTATTGGTTTTTCAATTTCTGAATTTTCCAGTTTTTTAAATCCTCAATTTCTGGATATTTCAGTTTTGAGATTTTTCAATTTTTCGATTCTTCGATTTTTCGACTTCTGGATTTTTCGATTTTTTATTTTTGGATTTTCAGTTTTTCGTTTTTTAAACTTTAGATTTTTCAATTTTCCGATTGTTTTATATTTCAGTTTCTCAATCTTTTGAGATCTCGATTTATCGAGATTCGGATGTTTCGATGTTTTAATTGTTCAATCTCTCAATTTGTCAATTTTTCAATTTTTAACTTTTTTCGATTTTGGCTTATTTCGGTTTCTCGATTTTTCGATTTTTGACTTTTCGGTTTCACAATTTTTTAATTTCGTAATTTTTGAATATTTCGTTCATTTTTGTGATTTTTCAGTTTTTCAATTCTTCAATTTTTCAATTTTTCGGTATTTGAGTTTTGGAATTTTTTAGTATTTCGACTTTTCGAGTTCTGGATTCTTCGATTTTTCGACTTTTTATTTTTTGGATTTTCAATTTTCCGTTTTTTAACTTTGGATTTTTAATTTTTTTAACTGTTTTATGCTTCCAATTCTCAATTTTCGATTTTACAATTTTCTTATATATATAAAAAAAAAAAACAAAATACAAACCTCGCCCACCCACCTCAACTCCATTGTAATGATTTTTTATTTTTAGTTTCTTGTTGTGAAAAGAAGTTTACACATATTAAAACAAAAAGACAAAATGTAAATGTTTTCGAGTATCGTGTTGTTTAAAAAATACTACGTATATTAAGAAAAAAAAAGCAAAATATAAACACCGCCCACCCACCCCATCTCACCTGCGTGTGTAAAAAGATACATGAATCCAACTATATTCGATTATTCTGGTATGACTAGACATTCTATATAATCTACATCTACATTAATTCATAATTATAAACTTACCCAATTTTTTATTTTTCTGTAAATTTTGCTCAATTCAATACCCGCTTCAGACGACTTTGTATTCAATTTAAATGACTTTTCATAGCACCTTCGAGCCTTATCTAAATCATTCATATTTTTATAATAGTGTCCTAAAAACAGAAAGCACTTATAGTTAGTGGCGTCCAGTTTAGTAGCCTAAAAATAACCCGTTAGAGCCACAAAAGCATCAATATCTGCTAACAAAACCTTTAAAAATGGCATTAAACTTTTGTTTTTCTGTCCCAAATCCCAATGCAATTTTCCCACTTGTAACCACCATTCCGACAATTCCACATCTTCGTCTTGTAGTATTTCCAACGCTTCTTCGTATTTTTCTTGTTTATGAAGTAACTGAGCAATTAATAATTTGACCATCTGTTTATTATCACAAGTGTTTTGCAAATCTGCCAACAGTACATTCGCCTGTGTAAAATTTTTAAGATTAATATTTGCACGTATTATGTGATAAATACATGACGATTTTAATTCATCATCTACCTAAAATAAGTATCTACATTAATACACAACTTTGACGGTCTTTATTTAATCCATAAAAATCATTCACAAAAATTAAAACAAAATTACCGTTTGATATAACTCTAGCGCTCTCTTCACATCTTCTTCGTCATCTGATCTAGAGAAAACTTCGATCATAGTAACGTCCACAATTTTTTTTAGCTTGTGTTTCGAGTTGTCACTTGACTGCAACAACTTGTCGATTTTATTTGCCGCGTGAATCGCTTCACTCAACAAATATAATTTAAAACAACATTTTAGTAACAAAACCCACGCATGTACCGACCCTGGAAATACGTTGACAACTTGATCCAAAAATTCTTTCGCTTCGATAAACTTTTTGTTTTGAATTAATAAAATGCTTTTTGTGAACATCGCTGTAGCCGATTTAAACTCCAATTTAGCTAATGTTTCACAATAAAAATTAATATCTTCTTCTTTTTCAGAGACGCCGTCTGTTTCGACGTAACACTCGTTAAAAATTTTACAAATCCACTTCAGTGATATACAGTCCGACTGAAAAATGCTGTGCATTTTCTTTGCGTAGTGAACAAGTTCCTGATTTTTGTTTAATCTGTACAATAAATTCAAATATTCGGCGTAATATTTAACGCACACCGATTTTTGATTAGTTGAAACGATGTTTAAGACTTCTTCGTACTAAAATGTTAATTAGTTTTTATTAATTCGGAAGCAAAAATTGCAGTGAAATAATTACAACTGGGATTAGCGTCTCCGGTAATTTTTTTTCTTTCAGTAGAATATTGACTAAAGAAGTCGCTATTTCGGTGACATCGTCACATTTCTTACTTTTGAGTAAAGAATAAATTGCTAGTGAAATTTCTTCTAAATTTCCATGTTCAGATAATCTGCACAGTTTTTGTACGCACTCGATGATTTTTTTTTCGGTTCTAAAATCGCTTATTTATTTTTGTCTGCGTGTGATGATATAATGTATACTTACATGTCTGTATTCAGTAACGAAATGTACGCTTTAATTAGCTCAGTTTTCGTTTCTTTGTCGTCGTTTTTTTCATAGTAGTTTATTAGACCATTCCAACCCAACGAATTGGAAGGATTAGCTTCCACTGCATTTTGGAAAGCACTTAAAGCTTTGGAGGATTGGCCTGTTTCTTGCAGGGATACCCCGAAAAATATCAGGGCCATATAATTATTACTTTCTTCCTTCAATATTTGCTGAAAAAATGAACCAGTAAAATTTAATTGAAATTTGCGTTTTTTTAAATCTGGGGAATTTTGTCGTGAGTTGATCAACTGTAATTCCAATCAATTCGAATTTTTGTGAGTTAAAATTGGTTAAAATGTCTTGTGAAGAAGTTAGTGAAGTCCTTACTCCTCCCGAAATACGGGAAATTTTAATTTGACATTTGCCACTGACATTCACTTGACATTTCTCGTCATGGCTACCACTCTTACCAATCTAAATTACACCAAATCTATTTCAGAACCGCTTTCGCCTATTAACGAACCGCTTTGACGTCATTTGGGTGCTTTAATAGCTCTATTAGAAAACCAAAAAACGTGCGCGGTAGAAAAAATATTTTCAATGTTTGACTTGAAACCAGAAAACATAGAAAAGCGTCATAGTTTAAATTAAATGAAGATTTCTTGGTGTTTCAACTTTTGAGTTCTCAGTTTTTCAAAATTTTAGTTTGGGGATTTTTCAGTTTATTCCTATTTATTTTTCGGTTTTTGGATTTACAATTTCTCAATTTTTCAATTTTTCAGTTTTTCTCTTCAATTTTACGATCTCTAGATTTTTCAATTAATTGATTTTTCAGGTTTTTTTGGTTTTTCAATTTTTCTATTTTTTCAGGTTTCGATTTTTCAACTTCACTTTTTTGATTTTTCGATTTCTCAATGTTTCAATTTTTTAGTTTTTCAGTTTACTTATTATTCAATTCTTCGATCTTACGATTTTGCAGGTTTTTGATTTTTCAATTTTTCGATTTTTTTAAGGTTTCGATATTTCGACTTCACTTTTTTGATTTTTCGATTTCTCAATTTTTTGATTCTTTAGATTCTCAGTTTTTGGATATTTCAGTTTTGGGATTTTTCAGTTTTTCGATTAGTCAGTTTTTCTTTCATTTTTCAGTTTTTCGATATTTCAGTTTTGGGATTTTTCAATATTTCTGTTCTTCGACTTTTCCTTTTTTGACTTCTGGATTTTTCGATGTGTCGACTTTTTACTTTTTCGATTTTTAAATTTTAGATTTCTCACTTTTTTGATATTTTAATTTTTCAATGTTTAAAATTTTAGATTTTTCGATTTCTCGATTTTTCATTTCAGCTCTTCCATATTTCAATTTTTCAAATGTTTCGATTTCTTAATCTTTTAAATTTTTCGACTTCCCGGTTTAAGATTTTCTGTTTTTTTCAATTTTTCGATTTTTAGATTTTAGATATTTCAGTTTTTTGATATTTTAATGTTTCAATATTTAAAATTTTTGATTTTCCGATTTCTCGATTTTTCATTTCAGTTCTTCGATATTTCAGTTTTTCAAGTTTTCCAATTTGTCAAATGTTTTGATTTCTTAATTTATCGATTTTTCGACTTCCCGATTTTAGATTTTCTGTTTTTCAATTGTCGTTTTTTCAAATTTTCGATTTTTAAATTTTCGATTTTTCAGCTTTTTGATATTTTAATGTTCCAATATTTAAAATTTTAGATTTTCCGATTTCTCGATTTTTCATTTCAGTTCTTGGATGTTTCAGTTTTTCAAGTTTTCCAATTTTTCAAACGTTTTGATTTCTTAATTTATCGATTTTTCGACTTCTCGATTTTAGATTTTCTGTTTTTCAATTGTAGGTTTTTCAATTTTTTGATATTTTAATGTTTCAATATTTAAAATTTTAGATTTTTCGATTTCTCGATGTTGCATTTCAGTTCTTCGAAATTTCAGTTTTTCAAGTTTTCGGATTTTTCAAATGTTTTGATTTCTTAATCTATCGATTTTTCGGCTTCCCGATTTTAGATTTTCTGTTTTTCAATTGTCGTTTTTTCAATTTTTCGATTTTTAGATTTTAGTTTTTCAGTTTTTTGATATTTTAATTTTTCAATATTTAAAATTTTTGATTTTCCAATTTCTCGATTTCTCGATTTTTCATTTCAGTTCTTCGATATTTCGGTTTTTCAAGTTTTCGAATTTTTCAAATGTTTTGATTTCTTAATTTATCGATTTCTCGATTTTTCATTTCAGTTCTTCGATATTTCGGTTTTTCAAGTTTTCGAATTTTTCAAATGTTTTGATTTCTTAATTTATCGATTTTTCGACTTCCCGATTTTAGATTTTCTGTTTTTCAATTGTCAGTTTTTCAATTTTTCGATTTTTAGATTTTAGATTTTTCAGTTTTTTGATATTTTAATTTTTCAATATTCAAAATTTTTGATTTTCCGATTTCTTGATTTTTCATTTCAGTTCTTCGAAATTTCAGTTTTTCAAGTTTTCGAATTTTTCAAATGTTTTGATTTCTTAATTTTTCGATTTTTCGACTTCCCGATTTTAGATTTTCTGTTTTTCAATTGTCGGTTTTTCAATTTGTTTTTAGATTTTTCAGTTTTTTGATATTTTAATATTTCAATATTTAAAATTTTAGATTTTCCGATTTCTCGATTTTTCATTTCTTCGAAATTTCAGTTTTTCAAGTTTTGGAATTTTCCAAATATTTTGATTTCATATTTTATCGATTTTTCGACTTCCCGATTTTAGATTTTCTGTTTTTCAATTGTCAGTTTTTCAATTTTTCGATTTTTAGATTTTAGATTTTTCAGTTTTTTGATATTTTAATTTTTCAATATTCAAAATTTTTGATTTTCCGATTTCTTGATTTTTCATTTCAGTTCTTCGAAATTTCAGTTTTTCAAGTTTTCGAATTTTTCAAATGTTTTGATTTCTTAATTTTTCGATTTTTCGACTTCCCGATTTTAGATTTTCTGTTTTTCAATTGTCGGTTTTTCAATTTGTTTTTAGATTTTTCAGTTTTTTGATATTTTAATATTTCAATATTTAAAATTTTAGATTTTCCGATTTCTCGATTTTTCATTTCTTCGAAATTTCAGTTTTTCAAGTTTTGGAATTTTCCAAATATTTTGATTTCATATTTTATCGATTTTTCGACTTCCCGATTTTAGATTTTCTGTTTTTCAATTGTCAGTTTTTCAATTTTTCGATTTTTAGATTTTAGATTTTTCAGTTTTTTGATATTTTAATTTTTCAATATTCAAAATTTTTGATTTTCCGATTTCTTGATTTTTCATTTCAGTTCTTCGAAATTTCAGTTTTTCAAGTTTTCGAATTTTTCAAATGTTTTGATTTCTTAATTTTTCGATTTTTGGACTTCCCGATTTTAGATTTTCTGTTTTTCAATTGTCGTTTTTTCAATTTTTCGATTTTTAAATTTTAGATTTTTCAGTTTTTTGATATTTTAATGTTTCAATATTTAAAATTTTAGATTTTCCGATTTCTCGATTTTTCATTTCAGTTCTTCGAAATTTCAGTTTTTCAAGTTTTCGAATTTTTCAAATGTTTTGATTTCATATTTTATCGATTTTTCGACTTCCCGATTTTAGATTTTCTGTTTTTCAATTGTCAGTTTTTCAATTTTTCGATTTTTAGATTTTAGATTTTTCAGTTTTTTGATATTTTAATTTTTCAATATTCAAAATTTTTGATTTTCCGATTTCTTGATTTTTCATTTCAGTTCTTCGAAATTTCAGTTTTTCAAGTTTTCGAATTTTTCAAATGTTTTGATTTCTTAATTTTTCGATTTTTCGACTTCCCGATTTTAGATTTTCTGTTTTTCAATTGTCGGTTTTTCAATTTGTTTTTAGATTTTTCAGTTTTTTGATATTTTAATATTTCAATATTTAAAATTTTAGATTTTCCGATTTCTCGATTTTTCATTTCTTCGAAATTTCAGTTTTTCAAGTTTTGGAATTTTCCAAATATTTTGATTTCATATTTTATCGATTTTTCGACTTCCCGATTTTAGATTTTCTGTTTTTCAATTGTCAGTTTTTCAATTTTTCGATTTTTAGATTTTAGATTTTTCAGTTTTTTGATATTTTAATTTTTCAATATTCAAAATTTTTGATTTTCCGATTTCTTGATTTTTCATTTCAGTTCTTCGAAATTTCAGTTTTTCAAGTTTTCGAATTTTTCAAATGTTTTGATTTCTTAATTTTTCGATTTTTGGACTTCCCGATTTTAGATTTTCTGTTTTTCAATTGTCGTTTTTTCAATTTTTCGATTTTTAAATTTTAGATTTTTCAGTTTTTTGATATTTTAATGTTTCAATATTTAAAATTTTAGATTTTCCGATTTCTCGATTTTGCATTTCAGTTCTTCGAAATTTCAGTTTTTCAAGTTTTCGAATTTTTCAAATGTTTTGATTTCTTAATTTATCGACTTTTCGACTTCCCGATTTTAGATTTTCTGTTTTTCAATTGCAGGTCTTTCAATTTTTTGATATTTTAATGTTTCAATATTTAAAATTTTAGATTTTTCGATTTCTGGATGTTGCATTTCAGTTCTTCGAAATTTCAGTTTTTCCAGTTTTCGAATTTTTCAAATGTTTTGATTTCTTAATTTATCGATTTTTCGACTTCCCGATTTTAGATTTTCTGTTTTACAATTGTCGTTTTTTCAAATTTTCCATTTTTCAATTAATAGATGTTTTGATTTTCCCATTTTTTGAGTTTCGAGGGTTTCGATATTCCTGTTCTTCAATTCTTTAATTTTTCGATTTTCAGGTTTTTGATTTTTCATTTTTTAATTTTTTTAAGGTTTCGGTTTTTGCGACTTCACTTTTTGGATTTTTCGATTGCTCAGTTTTTCGACTTTTTAGGTTCTCAGTTTTTGAATATTTCAGTTTCCGGATTTTTCAGGTTTTCCTTTTTTCAGTTTTTCTTTCATTTTTCAGTTTTTCGATATTTCAGTTTTGGGATTTTTCAAATATTTCGATTCTTCGATTTTTCCATTTTTGACTCCTGGATTTTTCGATGCGTCGATTTTTTTACTTTTTCGATTTTTGAAATTTTCGATTGCTTGATCTTTAGATTTTTCGACTTCCCGATTTTAGATTTTCTGTTTTCAATTGTTTTAAATTTTTCGATTTTTTAATGTTTTAATTTCCCGATTTAGTTTCCCATTTTTAGTTTTTCTTTCATTTTTCAGTTTTGGGATTTTTCAATATTTCAATTCTTCGACTTTTCCATTTTTGACTCCTGGATTTTTCGATGTGTCGATTTTTTTACTTTTTCGATTTTTTAATTTTTAAAATTTTAGATTTTTCGATTTCTCGATTTTTCATTTCAGTTCTTCGATATTTCAATTTTTCAAATGTTTCGATTTCTTAATCTTTTGATTTTTCAACTTCCCGGTTTTAGATTTTCTGTTTTTCAATTGTCATTTTGTCAAATTTTTTCAAATTTGATTTTTATAAACTCTCAATTTTTCGATGTTTTGATTTTCCCATTTCTTGACCTTCGAGTGTTTCGATTTTCCTGTTCTTCAGTTCTTTAATTTTTTGATTTTTCAGGTTTTTGATTTTTCAATTTTCCGATTTTTTAAGGTTTCTATTTTTCGACTTCACTTTTTTGATTTTTCGATTTTTCAGTTTTTAGATATCTCAGTTTTAGGATTTTTCAATATTTCAATTCTTCGGCTTTTCTATTTTTGACTTCTGGATTTTTGGATGTGTCTACCTTTTTACTTTTTCGATTTTTCAATTTTTGGATTTTTAAATTTTATATTTTTCAATCTTTTGATCTTTTAATTTTTCAATATTTCTTAATCTTTCGTTTTTTCGACTTCCTGGTTTTAGATGTTCTGTTTTTCAATTTTTCGATTTGTTAATTTTTGATTCCCGATTTATCGACATTTGATTGTTCAGGTTTTCGATTTATCAGTTTTCCAATTTTTTATTTTGACCTATTTCGGTTTCTCAGTTTTTCCAGTTCTCCATTTTTTCGTTTTTTGATTTTTCCGCTTTTCCAATTTTTCAACTTTTAGCTTTTTGTTTGTCGATTTCTCTATTTTTCGATTTTTCGACTTCATCACTTTTCGATTTCTCGTTCTTCTGATCTTTCAATCTCTCAATTTTTCAATTTTTCTAATTTTTAAGTTTTTTGATTTCTCGATTTATCGAGATTTGGATTTTTCGATATTTTGATTGTCAATTTCTCAATTTATAAATTGTGCAATTTTTAACTTTTCGATTTTTCGATTTTGGCCTATTTCGGTTTTTCATTGTTCGACTTTTCGACTACACGATTTCTTGATCTTTTGATTTTGTAGTGTTTCAATGTTTCGATTTTTCAGTTATCCGATTTTTTAAATTTGGGAGTTTCGATTTCTCGATTTTTCATTATTCGGTTTTTCAATTTTAAATTTTTGAATTTTACATTTTTTCGATTTTCAGTTCTTCGATATTTCGATTTTTCAATGTTTCGGTTTAACGATTTTTTAAGGTTTCGATTTTTGTATCGAAAACAACCACAAAAATTGTCACTAAAAACATTTAAAAATTCATACAAAATAGAAAACAGTGTTTCTAAAACATTTTCCCGCAAAAAATCCATTGGATTATTAAGATTTCAACAATATTCTTAGTTTAAAGACGCTTTGCTAGTATAGTCTTTGCCATTTCTATTGAAACACCACTTATTGTTCGTAAATTTGGCAACGTTCATATTCAGAGAATTTTCTAACTAAAAGCCGTTGTCAATCAACTGAAAGCTGTTACCAATTGCTAAATTTTAAGCAAAATCAACAGGTGGTGTTTCAATAGAAATGGCAAAGATAATATAAAACACAAATAAAGAATTAATTCTTAGTTAAACAAAATATGTAAAATCATCTAAATATGCACCAAAAATATTCACTTAGTCGTTATAAAAACCGACCAAACAACTACTTCTCGCAGAAATTATAGTCCAAACCAACCAAATTGCTTCTGAACGCTTAGAGTCGACATTGGCCTGAGCGCGCTCTGGTCTGTAGATCAAACAAGTTCTCAGGCGACGAGTTGTAGTGAAACAAGTTTTTTTTGTTGGCATCGACTATTTAAATTTGGTGGTTGAGGACTCCAACGTCAATATTTTATTTAATATTGTTTTATCCCGTAATATTGTATTTTGGGTTATATAAACTACCGTGTATGTTATTTACAAAATTTCCAAACAAAATCATTCATAAATTACTGAGAATGAATAAACAAATTCTGGCGTTTAGTAAATACATCCAAAATTATAATTGGTCCTTACTTTTTACTTTTCACCAAATTTACGACCAAAATCTAAAATGGAACAAAACAAATCAGAATAACGATAAATCACAAATAACATTTTGTTTTATCAATTATCAGTACCTACACAGTTTGTGTGTTCTTAACAAATAAACATCAGAATTCGTATAATTATTCTGTGGTTATATTATCAGGTATCACTTACCTTGCATAATTTTAGAGATAATTCATATTCTTTATTTTTTATCGCCTCTCTGGCTTCCTTCAAAATTAACTTTTTATCTTTCATTATGGCACTAGTTATTCACTTGTTGTCAATCTGTAGAAACTTGAGAGTTGTCTTTAAAACACATTTAATAGGAATAAATTAAAATTTACAACAAAATTAATAGGAAGGACTCAACACCGCACGTTTTATAGGTTAAGTCTGAATGTCTTATTACGAGGACGAGGTTATGCAAAACAACAACACGATGACACGGAGTACGGGAGGGTAGAGCATATCAAAACCAGTCAAAACAGTTCATTCTCAGTTCATTATTCTCGACGCCAGTGTTGCCACGTCAGAAAACATTAATGCATTTGAAAATCCACATAAATCTCTACTGAAGAAATGTTATTTTATTTTTCGAAAACATTAAATTTTTTTTAATTTTTCAATTTCGTGTTTTTTTATTTTTCAGCAAAAGAACAAATTTATCCAAACTAAAATATGTATTGGAAAATCGGAAAATTGTATCATTGAAACAATGAAGAATACAAAAATTGTTTAATGAAAAATTCAAAAATTTCAAATTGAAAATCGAGAAACTAAAAAATCGAGACACCGACAAATTGAAAAATCGTAAAAACATAGAAAAATTAAAAATAAAACTGGAAAATCGGTAATTGAAAAATTGGAAAAACGAAAAAATAAAAAATCTCGAAATTGAAACACCAAAAAATCAAAAAGCGAAAGAATTTTGCAAGTTTTCAATTTTAAAATTTTCAAGTTCTTGATTTCCAGTTTTAATCAAAATAAAATTTTGCAAAATCGAATAACTGTAATACCGAAACATTAAAAAATCCAACGATTAAAAATCGAGAAATTGAAAAATGGACAAAACGCAACAATTTTGCAATTTTTCGATATAATATTTTTCAAATTCCAGATTTTTCATTTTTTTAATTGTTCAACAAAAGGACAAATTTATTCAAGCCGAAATTTTGAAAAATTAAAAAACTTAAAAATCAGAAAATTGTAACATTGAAACGTCTAAAAAACATAAATTTGAAAAATCAAAACATTTAAAAATTGAGAAGTCGAAGAATTGAAAAAATAAAGAAAAATTTAAAAAACCGAAAAAATGAGAATCAAAAATTGAAAAAAATAAGAAATTAAACAAGTGGATAATTGAAAAAACAATCGAAAAATCGAAAAATTGTAACATTGAAACGTCAAAACCCTGATTAATTAAAAAAAAATGAAAAATTGACAAAACGAAGCAATTCTGCAATTTTTCGATATAAAATTTTTCAAATTCTAGATTTTTATTTCTTCATTTTCTCGATTTGTCATTTTTTAATTGTTGAACAAAAGGACAAATTTATTCAAACCAAAATTTCTGAAAAAATCGAAAAACTGAGATTTAAAAATTGAAAAATGAAATTTGAAATATCGATAAATTTAAAAATTGAAAATCGAAAAATGAAAAAATTGTGAAATTGACCAATGGGATAATTGAAAAACAATTGAAAAATCGAAAAATTGTAATATTGAAACCTGAAAACCCTGATTCGATCGAGAAAGTGAAAAACTGAAAAAACGAAAAAAAAAATTTCTATAAATTAAATAATCAAAAATACAAAAATCCTTAATTTTGAAACCCAAAAATTGTAAAATGAAAAATGGAAAACTAAAAAAATAAGAAATTGTAAAAAAGAGACATGGAAAAATTGAAAAATTGTAACATCGAAAAGACGAAACACTGAAAAACCGAAAAATTTAAAAACCGAGAAATTGAAGAATTGAAAAAATACAGAAACTGAAAAATGGGATAATTCAGAAGCTAAGAATTGTAGACTTGAAAAAACCCAAATAATTATTTGAAAAAAGTGAAAAATTAAAAATTGGGAAATTTAAAAATGAAACAATTACAAAATTGTAAATTTGAAAAAAAATAAAAACGTGAAATCGAAAATTTCTAACAATGAAACCTGAAAAAGTGATAAAGTAAAAATTGAGAAATTGAAAAATCAAAAAAACCAAAAATTGTAAAATTCAAAAGATGGAAAATCTAAGAAACGAAACAACTTGGAATTACATACTTGGAAGTACTTTATTTTTAATTTTTCATTTTCTCAGTTTTTCGTTTCTTAATTTTTCAACAAAAGGACAAACGTATTAAAAGTGGAATTTTAAAAAATCAAAAAATCTGAACATTGTAAGACTGAAAAATTGAAAAATCAAAAAATTAAAAACTGAAAAATCGAAAAAGAAACACTGAAAAACCCAAGAATTTAAAAAATGGGATATCGAAGAATTGAAAAAATAAAGAAACTCAAGATCGAATAATTAAAATGTTAAAACTATTGAAAGATCGAAAAATTGTAATATTGAAACCTGAAAACGATGATTAATTAAAAATCGAGAAAGTGAAAAATTGAAAAAACGAAAAACAAAAACTTCTATAAATTAAACAATCAAAAATACAAAAAAATTAATATCAAAATCCAAAAATTTTAAAATCAAAATCGGAAAATTTATAGAATTAAGGAATTGTAAAAAAAACATGGAAAAATTGAAAAATTGTAACATCGAAAAGGCGAAACACTGAAAAACCGAAAAATTTAAAAGCCGAGAAAAAATACAGAAACTGAAAAATCGGATTGTTGAAAAGCCAAGAATTGCACACTTGAAAAAAATCCAAAAAATAATTATTTGAAAAAAGTGAAAAATTAAAAATCGGGAAATTTAAAAATGAAACAATTAAAAAAAAATAAAAACGTAAAATCGACAATTTGTAACATTGAAACCTGAAAAAATGATAAATTAAAAATTGAGATATTGAAAAAATCAAAAAAATAAAAAATTGTAAAAAGATGGAAAATCGAAAAATTAGAAAGCAACTTGGAAAATCGCAAAATTAAAATATCTGCAAATGAAAAAATCGAAACATACAAAAATTTTACTGAAAAATAAAAATCATAATGAAAATCGAAAAACTAAAAAATCGAGAAATCGAAAAATGTAAAAACGAAACACGGAAAAATCGAAAAATTAACAATAAAAAAAAATTTAAAAATCTCGAATTGAGAAAATAAAAAAAGAAACGAAACAACTTGGAATTACATACTTGGAAGTACTTTATTTTTAATTTTTCAACAAAAGGACAAACTTATTAAAAGTGAAATTTTAAAAAATCAAAAAATCGGAAAATTGTAAAACTGAAAAATAGAAAAATCAAAAAATTAAAAACTGAAAAATCGAAAAAGAAACATTGAAAAACCGAACAGTTTAAAAATCGAAGAACTGCAAAAATAAAGAAACTCAAAATCGAATAATTAACAGGTCAACAATTGGAAAAGGATTTGTTTTTTTAAATGAAAATTACAGAGTGGGGGATTATATCCTTTAAACACTCATTACAAACATAACAATTAATTGAAAGTGCCGGAATTTATTTCTTTTTTAAAGATTTCCACAGTGGGTGCTGCACCGGTGGTAGGATGTAACCTTAAAAATGAAAAAACTGAAAATTTGAAAAACAGAAAAATCGAACAATTGCAAAATTGAAAGTCAAAAATAGAAAAAACGAACCTTGAAACACCGAGAAATTTAAAAATTGTAATCTTAAAACTTGAGAAGCTGAAAACTTCGATAATTGAAAAAACAACTGAAAATTTGAAAAATCGAAAAACTGATTAATAAAAAATCGAGAAATAGAAAAATACGGAAAACAAAATTTTCTAAAAACAGAAAAATCGACCAACTGTAAAATTCAAAGGTTGAAGAATGTCAAAATGAACATCGAAAAACTGTACAATTAAAAAATCGAAAACTGAAAAATTGAACAATAAAAAAATTTAAATACCGAAATGTTGAAAAAAAAGCGAAGGTAAAAAATCGGATAACGAAAAAATCGACAACAAAAAATTAAAAAATACAAGAACTCGTTCTAGATTTGTGGAATTTGTATAATAATAATAATATCGAAAAATTGAAAAATCGAAAAATGAAAAAATTAAGAAATTGAATTGAATAACTGAAAAATCGAAAAATTGTAACACTGGAACATCAAAAAACAAAACAATTAAAAATCGAGTAACTGAAAAATCGACAAAAAGAAACAATTCTGCAATTTTTCGATATAAAATTTTTCAAATTCTCGATTTTTATTTCATTTTCTCGATTTGTCATTTTTTAATTGTTCAACAAAAGGACAAATTTATTCAAACCGAAATTTCGAATTGAATTGAAAAATCAAAAAATTGAGAAATCGAAGAATTGAAAAAATAAAGAAAGCTTGAAAAAAACGAAAAAATGAGACTTGAAAAATCGAAAAATTTAATAATTCAAATATCGAAAAATGAAAAAATTGAGAAATTGTACAATGGGATAATTGAAAAAACAATTGAAAAGTCGAAAAATTATAATATTGAAACCTGAAAACCCTGATTAATTAAAAATCGAGAAAGTGAAAAATTGAAAAAACGAAAAACAAAAACTTTTATAAATGAAAGAATCAAAAATACAAAAAAAATTATTTCAAAATCGAAAAATTTTAAAATGAAAACCGGAAAACTAAAAAATTAAGAAATTGTAAAAAAGAAACATGGAAACATTGTAACATCAAAAAAACGAAAAAATTAAAAACCGAGAAATACAGAAACTGAAAAATCGGATAATTGAAAAGCCAAAAATTGTACACTTGAAAAAAAATCCTAATAATAATAATTATTTGAAAAAAGTAAAAAATTAAAAACCGGGAAATTTAAAAATGAACAATTACAAAATTGTATATTTGAAAAAAAAAAAAATAATAAAAACGTAAATTGAAAATTTGTAACACTGAAACCTTAAAAATTGAGAAATTGAAAAATCGAAAAAAGATGGAAAATCGAAAAGTTAAAAAGCAACTTGGAAAATCACAAAATTAAAATATGTATCTGCAAATTAAAAAATCTAAAACAAAAATTTTAGTGAAAAATAAAAATCATAATGAAAATCGGAAAACTAAAAAATCGAGAAATCGAAAAATGTAAAAATTTAAAAATTTCGAATTGAGAAAATAAAAAATTGAAGAAACGAAACAACTTGGAATTACATACTTGGAAGTACTTAATTTTAAATTTTTCAACAAAAGGACAAACTTATTAAAAGTGAAATTTTAAAAAATCAAAAAATCGGAAAATTGTAAAACTGAAAAATAGAAAAATCAAAAAATTAAAAATTGAAAAATCGGAAAAGAAACATTGAAAAACCGAACAGTTTAAAAATTGAGAAATCGGAGAACTGCAAAACTAAAGAAACTCAAAATCGAATAATTAAGAGGTCAGCAATTGGAAAAGGAAAAATTGTAACCTTAAAAATGAAAAAACTGAAAATTTAAAAAATAGAAAAATCGAACAATTGCAAAATTGAAAATCAAAAATAGAAAAAACGAAACTTGGAACACCGAGAAATTTAAAAATTGTAATCTTAAAACTTGGGAAACTGAAAACTTCGATATGTAATTGAAACAACAACTGAAAATTTGAAAAATTTAAAAAACTGTACAATCGAGAAACTGATTAATTAAAAATCGAGAAATAGAAAAATACGGAAAACAAAACTTTCTAGAAATAGAAAAATCGACCAATTGTAAAATTCAAAAGTTGAAGAATGTCAAAATAAACATCGAAAAACTGCACAATTAAAAAATTGAAAAAATGAAACATTGAACAATAAAAAAATTTAAATACCGAAATGTTGAAAAAATAGCGAAAGTAAAAAATCGGATAACGAAAAAATCGACAACAAAAAAATTTAAAAATGCAAGAACTCGTTCTACATTTGTGGAATGTGTATAATAATAATAATATCGAAAAATTGAAAAATCGAAAAATGAAAAAATTAAGAAATTGAATTGAATAACTGGAAAATCGAAAAATTGTAACACTGGAACATCAAAAAACAAAACAATTAAAAATCGAGTAACTGAAAAATCGACAAAAAGAAACAATTCTGCAATTTTTCGATATAAAATTTTTCAAATTCTCGATTTTTATTTCATTTTCTCGATTTGTCATTTTTTAAATGTTCAACAAAAGGACAAATTTATTCAAACCGAAATTTCGAATTGAATTGAAAAATCAAAAAATTGAGAAATCGAAGAATTGAAAAAATAAAGAAAGCTTGAAAAAAACGAAAAAATGAGACTTGAAATATCGAAAAATTTAATAATGGAAATATCGAAAAATTAAAAAATTGAGAAATTGTACAATGGGATAATTGAAAAAACAATTGAAAAGTCGAAAAATTATAATATTGAAACCTGATTAATTAAAAATCGAGAAAGTGAAAAATTGAAAAAACGAAAAACAAAAACTTCTATTAATGAAAGAATCAAAAATACAAAAAAAAAATAATTTTAAAATGAAAACCGGAAAACTAAAAAATTAAGAAATTGTAAAAAAGAAACATGGAAAAATTGTAAAACGAAAAATTTAAAAACCGAGAAATCGATGAATTGAAAAAATACAGAAACTGAAAAATCGGATAATTGAAAAGCCAAGAATTGTACACTTGAAAAAAAATCCTAATAATAATTATTTGAAAAATGTAAAAAATTAAAAACCGGGAAATTTAAAAATGAACAATTACAAAATTGTATATTTGAAAAAAAAATAAATAAATAAAAACGTAAATTGAAAATTTGTAACACTGAAACCTTAAAAATTGAGAAATTGAAAAATCGAAAAAAGATGGAAAATCGAAAAGTTAAAAAGCAAAAAAAAATAAAAATCATAATGAAAATCGGAAAACTAAAAAATCGAGAAATCGAAAAATGTAAAAACGAAACACGGAAAAATCGAAAATTAACAATTAAAAAAAAACAAAAATTTGAAAATTTCGAATTGAGAAAATAAAAAAAAAAGAAACGAAACAACTTGGAATTACATACTTGGAAGTACTTAATTTTTAATTTTTCAACAAAAAGACAAACTTATTAAAAGTGAAATTTTAAAAAATCAAAAAATCGGAAAATTGTAAAACTGAAAAATAGAAAAATCAAAAAATTAAAAACTGAAAAATCGGAAAAGAAACATTGAAAAACCGAACAGTTTAAAAATTGAGAAATCGGAGAACTGCAAAAATAAAGAAACTCACAATCGAATAATTAAGAGGTCAACAATTGGAAAAGGAAAAATTGTAACCTTAAAAATGAAAAAACTGAAAATTTAAAAAATAGAAAAATCGAACAATTGCAAAATTGAAAATCAAAAATAGAAAAACCGAAACTTGGAACACCGAGAAATTTAAAAATTGTAATCTTAAAACTTGGGAAACTAAAAACTTCGATAATTGAAAAAACAACTGAAAATTTGAAAAATTTAAAAAACTGTAAAATCCGGATAACGAAAAAATCGACAACAAAAAATTAAAAAATGCAAGAACTCCTTCAACATTTGTAGAATTCGTATTATACAGGGTTTCTATAAATGACTATAGAGTCACAGTAGGTCATGTAAACGTGCCGCCTCTCAGATTTGAACTTTACTAAATGCCCAAGGACGCATGACAAAACTAATTCATTACAATAAAAAGAAACAAATGTTCATCACTTTTTTCAATTTTGTTCAAATCATCAACAACTTCCTGAAGGTCTTCCACGAGATTTCTATGTGTTGACACTGCCAATTGTCATCATTCTTGGGACAAACAAACAAGACTAAACAAGCTAATAAATAAACTTCGAACAGGAACAATGAGACACATAATACTAATAAAATTACTTTTAATTAACAAACTTATTCTTATAGAATTACTTCATTATTTACTTTCTATTTGTTTTTGCTCAACATTATTTACAGTTGCAACTTCGCGAGTTCCAGTTCGTAGTGTAAACACTACTAGAGCATCAGATAATACAGGATTTCCATCTTTCTCTAGATGACGAATCCACGATAATAACGAGTCCTTAGTTGACGTTCCAGTAGCACACACTGCTAAAATCACCCCATCCTCCTGTTCATGAACAGACTGCATTACTTGCACTTGTTTTTCTATTGGTTTTTGAAAACTAAATATGGGTGTTCTGATATTACTAACATCATCTAAGTCGTCTTTGATGGTTTTAATATGTTGCTTGGGTTGTCTTTTCAAAACGAAATAATTAACTAGCTGATCTTTAACCCAAATTCTAAAACTACCTTCAACATACAGTGGTTCTTTTAAATCGTGATTTTTTAATAAACCTTTTTGACTAGGTGCTTGTGCGCTGACGATCCAAGTATCATCTATTGAACTCTCTATTTCTTTAGTTTCATACACCGTAATTTGTGACTGAACATCAACGCTGCTAATACGTTGGATCGCGTATTTTGCTAATTCGTATATGTTGTCTGGCAGGGGGCTGGGTACAGGCCAAGGTGACGAATTCTTGAATTTCGGCATCCAATACATCATTCGCCAGTATTTACGTAACGGAAACCCTCTATTTCCGAAAATATTTGACAATAAATCTTCCATTTCGTAATCTGGCATGACTCCATTGTCTTCCATTTGTTCGAGTAAATCGATTACGCATTGTTGCTGTTTTGGATAATGCATAAACTCGGCCTGGAAAACGTTCGTTGGAATAAATTTCCCCTTCGGTAAAACGTCAATAAGAGCTTTGTACACTTCTAAGTCTTTTTGTACTCCAAAACTTTCCATATTTTTTAGAGCGGAGTAAATGAATTCCACATGACCTCTGCGATAGACGTGGTTCCTATTTATAAAAATGCGAATCATATCTAGGTATGTATCTCTGTTCTTATTTTCAACATTTTCAAAGGACGTGAGACGTTGTAGTTCTTTAGATTCTGGAGCATTGTTGCTAAACCTTTGAAGGAACAATGGAGTTGTTGGCTGCATCACCCGTTGAGGGCTTGGAAGCACCAACTTCACGATTTTTTTTAAAAACATGATTCTTAGAACACACTAGAGGACTTAATCGAAACGCATTTTAATTTGAATTTCGTACTTGTAGCTGTTTTAAGCTACAAAGTTAGGTTAGGAACAACATAACACAAGTTTGAGGTTATGTACTTTTGCAAACAGATTTTCTTTTTTACCTTCGTTCGGTAAAAAGTAATAAATATAAACACCACAAGTAAACAAATTTCTATTTCGCTACAGTTCAGTTTGTATAATGGCTTTAAGTATTGAACAGTGTGATATTGTGCTGGAGTAATAATTTTTTTTACATGTACTTACATACATTCAATAACACTTTGTTTTAGTATTCTGGATGAAGGAAAAGTAAGATCACACACATTTGAAAGTCTTTATAATGAGCTACATAAAAAGTTTGACCCTGCTGATTATTTTAAAGGTGTGAAATTGAGTTAGGTTGAAAGATTGCTAACTGTTGCTTTTAGTTGGAACATTTTTGGTTGTACTACTTCAGCAAGATCTTTTAAAGGAAGCTGAACAAAAATTGGTCGCTATTACCCTACTGCATGAACTTTACAGGGGAGAACCATTACCAAATACCCCATTTGCTAATGTTTTCATACATCTTTTGGTTTGTTATATTAATATTTGTTGTATTTTTGTCTAGTATTGACACTATTTTTAGCACCCTCCAGAACATCAGAGTAGTGTAGGAGCACCAAAATTGGAATATCCAGGCCAACTGCCTAGACTGTCTGCACCAGAAAAATATTTCCTAACACAATTATTATCAGATGTCCCAAAAGATGCAGTGAGTTATTGCAGTTTCATTTATATACAAGAAATATTTTATAATATGATTTTTTTGAAGATCCTTAAAAAAACAGCAACACAAGTTGTCAATGCAGATGTAGGCAATTTTCAAGCTGCTGATTTTTCCATGATTGAATTATTATTGGCAGAAAAACAATCAGAACTGCCACAAACATGCAAAACAGGCATTCCTATTATACTGTCTTTGCCAGAAAAGACAAATAAGTAATACATATTCGTACTTTATTGGAAAAGATGCTGCTCACTTATGATGTTTATTTCAGTTATAGTGCAGACACATTGGAGTATGAAGTCTTAGTTAAAAAAATCGCGTCTGGTGAAAATGCATACATGAATAAAGTTTACAGACCTGAATTTGTAATACTGGCACCTCCTTTGTTAGATACACAAGATGAAGTAATTTAATGTAACTTACATTTACTGGAATGTTAATTCAAGTCATTTTAAGCTTGTGTGGTTAAACCCTACAAATCCTCAAGAACATACCATTGCTTATGATGTCACCATGTGTGTACCTGATACAGCTGGTCAGGAAGCCAGGCAATTAATGAATAAAGCTTACAAATCTGCACTCTCAATTCAACAACAACAACAATTGCTAGCTGAATTGGAAAGTGATTCTAAACTTGTGTACCATATTGGACTGACCCCATCAAAGGTAAATTTCCAAACCTTACTGTTCACGCTATTAATTTATTTTTTATAGTTACCTGAACTGGTGGAAAACAATCCACTGATTGCAATTGAAGTTTTATTAAAATTAATGCAGTCCAAACAGATCACAGAATACTTCAGTGTCCTTGTGAACATGGAAATGTCACTACATTCCATGGAAGTAGTAAACAGACTTACAACAACAGTAGATTTACCCACAGAATTTGTACATTTGTATATTTCAAACTGTATATCAACATGTGAGACAATCAAAGACAGGTACATGCAAAATAGGTTAGTCCGCCTAGTTTGTGTCTTCTTACAATCACTAATACGGAACAAAATCATCAATGTGCAAGAATTATTCATCGAAGTACAAGCGTTTTGCATTGAATTTAGCAGAATTAGAGAAGCAGCCGCTTTGTTTAGGCTTCTCAAACAGTTAGAATCTGGAGATATCGGACTGGTTTCATCACCCACCATCAACAGCAAAAGCAAACTAGAGGGATGACTATTTTGTATGACAAATTAAGATTCACGCTTTGTTTTGAATTTTTAATGAAATTGTATGTTACATCTCGGTAAATCGCTTCGCAACTGATTCATAACCTTTTCTTTGTCTTTAACATATGGTAAATTCACTAAAATTAACTCCTCTAAATGTCTTAACACAGTTAGATAAAGCAAACCCTTCTCTGTTATATTCATACATTCACTAATTCGTAGAGACCTTAACGAGTTTTCTAGCGGCGACAAACCTTTAAGAGCCTGATTTTCCAAATAACTACATTTATGAAAATTAATTTTTCTTATGTGTTTACATCCAACAAAATGTTCAAAACCGTAATGCATTACGCTGGCTTCTGTAGCGTCAACTTCAATGATGTATACTTTTGTTTCATCACACGGTAACTTATTATAGTCTGTTATAAAATCGTACTCGTTGACCCATTTGACGAAAGCCCCGTTCCTCAACAACCATTCCGCACAAGTTCGATCAGGTCCCACTTCCTTCCGTCTATCTTCATCTACTTGATTGAAAACTTTATTTAACCAATTGTAAAAAGTCTGCCGTCGTAAGACAAGAGGCGTGTAAACAGTCTTTATGTAATTTTGAAGCATATTCATAAAAGTGTACACTATTTTCTTATGTCAACGTTTCTCCTTTGGTGACCTTGAAAAATGTAAATATCAAGATTTGGACGTTCGAATAAATTCCGCCAGCTTACACAAGCTTCCAAGTAGTCAATTTTTCTTTCCAAAGTTGTTAACTTTTCATTCAACACTGCAAGTTTTGATCGACAAGATAGATCTAAAAACAAATAACTGTCAAAGTGAGTCAACATTGCGTACTTACTTACCGAACGAGTTAAGGAAATCGGTGATTTTTTTTATACTGACTGTAATTACTTCAATGTACTCCCTGTTTACCCAATCTTGTTGTATTGGTTTTGGCACTGTGTCTCCTCTTGGCGTTGCCATTTCCAGAAATAAACAAAGCACATGAAAGTTCAATGAAACGAGTTTTCAACGTTAAAAACAATGATACATTCACGACTTTTTAACGCTGTCAAAATGGAATTCCGGTCTGGTTATTTTATTTTATTACTAAATTTAGTAAATTTTAATATATGGGGTTTTTTCGTTTTTTATTCGATAGTGACAAACAGTGTTGCCAGGTGTCATGATTTTTTATGATCTCATGAATTTAGCACCAAATAGACCAACGTGAAATAGACTAATATATCTCATGACTTTTTATTTTATTTATGGTTGTGTAGTTAATTTAAAATATTACGCTCCGTAATACATTGTAATTTCTAATGATGTAAAAACTGTAACACAAACCCAGTGATTAGAACAATTACTTTTAAAAAGTAATGCATTACAGTTTATATTTTGCCTCTTTTTTCTTAATATACATAGCCATCTTTTCACAACAAGAAACTTAAAACTTGTTTAAAATGGTACTTTTTTGCAAGGAAATATGGGGCGGAGCCTAATTGCAAAATCAATATTTCCTTATTCAAATTTTCCATTTTTAAACATGTTTTAAGTTTCATGTTGTGAAAAGAAGTCTACACATATTAAAACAAAGAGGCAAAATGTCCATTGTGCTGATTTTTTTCCATTCGCCGTGAACCAACGGATTTTGCAATTAGGCTACGCCCCTAGGTCTGGTAACGAATGAGAACTTCGTTACTATTTAGATATATATTTCTTTCAAATTCTTCTAAAAATAGAAGCACCCGAGGCCACAGAGAAATTTTTTAAAATTCTATAAATAAAACACTTGAAGCTCCCGATATTCTTTCAAATTTTTCTTAAAATTGAACACCAGCGACACCCGAGATTCTTTAAAACTGTATCAACAATAAAACACCAGAAACTACCCGGGGCCACCGAAATTTGTTATTATTATTTTTGTTGAATAGACGATCAGGGACTCCGGAGATTCTTTAAAACTACACCAAGAACCCCCAAGATTCTTGAAAATTCTTCTAAAAATATCTTGCTATTGATATCCACACCCACGTCATTTATGAAAACTGAAAACAGCAGGGGTCCTAAAATTGATACAGATGAGCATATAATTAACCGCGCCCCCCACCCCGCCACCATTTCAATGATTCATTTTATCTGATCTGAATTAAATGTGGATCTTATAGTGAACAGAAATAAGATCGTTAGAATGAGAACAGCGCGGGTAAGCGGAGCTAGTACATGCTAGAATAACACTGATTTTAGCAAATGACACCTTCTAAGAAAATAGAGGGTGGGTGGGCGGGGCTAGTACCTGCTAAGATAAGACGAATTTTGGCAAATCACATATTTTATAAGGAAATAGAGGGTGGGCGGGTGGGGCTAGCATTTGCTAAGATAAAACTGAACAAATTAAAAGTTGGCACTAGCATGAAGAGGAGCTATTGCTTGCTTATAAAAGTCACTCCAGGAGAAAGTTTAAACTTAGCCCCGCCCACCCACCCGTTCTTTCATCTTTCTTCTAAAATAAGAAATAAATTTAAAGTAAATAGTAGGTACAATAAAAAATTATGGTTAGCTATTTTTTTTTCTTTTTTAACAGCCGCATTCCCATTCTATAGAAGAACATATAATTAAACCCACCCACCTACCCCGCCTCCGAAATACGGATTTTGCAATTAGGCTCTTCCCTAGTAACGAATGAAAACTTCGTTACTATTTAGATTTATATTTCTTTCAAATTCTTCTAAAAATAGAAGCACCCGAGGCCACAGAGAAATTTTTTAAAATTCTATAAATAAAACACCTGAAGCTCCCGATATTCTTTCAAATTTTTCTTAAAATTGAACACCAGCGACACCCGAGATTCTTTAAAACTGTATCAAGAATAAAACACCTGAAACTACCCGGGGCTACCGAAATTTGTTATTATTATTTTTGTTGAATAGACCATCAGGGACTCCTAAGATTCTTTAAAACTAGACCAAGAACCCCTAAGATTCTTGAAAATTCTTCTAAAAATAGATCCACCAGGAACCCCCGAGATTCTTGAAAAATCTTCTAAAAATAGAAGCAGCAGAGGTTCCCGAGATTCTTTAAATTACTTCTAAAAATAAAACACCAGGGGCTCCTGAGATTCTTTAAAACAATATCAAAAATAAAATACCAGGAACCCCCGAGAGTCATTAAATATTTTCTTAAAATACATCAGAGGTCCTCGAGATTCTTTAAAACTATATCAAAAATAAAACACCATGGGCATATTCTTGAAAACCATTTCTTCTAGAAATAAAACCACCAGGAGCCCCAGAGATTCTTTCAAATTCTTCGAAAAATGGAACTACCAAACCTCCGAGTCTTTCAAATTCTTCTAAAAATAGGAGCAGCAGGGGTTCCCGAGATTCTTTAAATTATTTCTAAAAATAAATTTTAGCTGCTCCTGAGATTCTTTAAAATTGTATCAAAAATACATAAAACACCAGGAATCCCCGAGATTCCTGGAAATTCTTCTCAAAACAGAACCATCAGGGGCCCCTGAGATTCTTTCAGATTCTAATATAAAGAGAACACCAGAAGCCCTCGTGATTCTTTCAAATTCTTCTAAAAATAGAAACATCAGGAGCCACCGAAATTTCTTAAAATTCTATAAATGGAACACCAGGAACCCCCAAGATTTTTTAAATTTTTTCTAAAAATAGAAACACTTGTAGCCCCCGCATTTCTTTAAAATTTTTCTTAAAATAGAACACCAGGGACCCTAGAGATTCTTTAAAACTATATTAAGAACAAAACACCAGAAACCTCTGATTCCTGGAAATTCTTCTATAAATAGAATACCAGGAGCCCCCGAAATAATTCCAAATTCTTCTAAAAATAAAACAACCGGGGACCACCGAAATTTGTTATTATTATTATTTTTTTAATAGAACATTAGAGGCCCCGGAGATTCTTTAAAACGATAACATCAGGAACCCTTAAGATTCTTGAAAATTCTTCTAAAAATAGAAGATCCACCAGGAACCCCCGAGATTCTTTAAATTACTTCTAAAAATAAAATACAAGGAACCCCCAAGATTCTCTAAAACTATGTAAAAATAAAACATCAGGAACCCCCAAACATTTTTGATAATTCTTGTAAAAATAGAACAACCAGGAGTCCCCGATATTCCTTAAAACTATAAAAAATAAAATACCATGGGCCCAGATTCTTGAAAATTCTTCTTCTAAAAACAGAACCACCAGGAGCCTTCGAGATTCTTTCAAATTCTTCTAAAAATAGAACCGTCAGGGATCCCAGAGATTTTTTAAAATTATCACAAAAATAAATCAGGAACCCCCGAGATTCTTTAAAACTATCGCAAAAATAAAGTACCAGGGACCCACGAGATTCTCGAAAATTCTTCTAAAAATAGAACTACGAGGAGCTTTCGAGACTGTTTCAAATTCTTCTAAAAGTAGAACACAGAGGCCCCACGGATTCTTTTAAACTTCTCAAAAATAAAACATCAGGAACCCCGAATATTCTTAAAAATTCTTCTCAAAATAGAACCATCAGGAGCCTTTGAGATTCTTTCAAATTCTTCTGAAAATGGAACCACCAGGAACCCCCAAAATGTTTTAAAATTACACCAAAAATAAATCAGGGACCACCGAGATTCTTGAAAATTTAAAATTCTTCTATAAATAGAACACCATCAAACTCCGAAATTGTTTCAAATTCTTCTAAAAATAGAATCACCAGGGGTCCCCGAGATTCTTTAAGTTTTTACTAAAAACAGAACACCGGATTTTAAAGCTATATCAAAAAAGTAAAATACCATGGGCCGCCAAAATTCTTCAAAATTCTTCTAAAACAGCAAAAACTCCGATATTCTTGCAAATTGTTCTAAAAAGAGAACCATCAGGGGTCCCCGAGAATCTTCAAAATTCGTTCAAATATAAAAACAGTGGCATCTGCCATTCTTTCTTCTTTTATAAATAGAACACCAGGAGCTCCCGAGATTCTTTCGATTATTTGTTAATAGAACACCAGGGGGATTCTTTCAAATCCTTTGGAAATGGGACACCACAAGCCACCGAGATTCTCAAAAATTATTTTAAAATCCAACACCAAGGACATATTAAAGACCCACAACCCGGAGATTATTGAAAATTCTTTTAAAAAATAAAACACCGGGCACCCCTGAGATTCTTAAAAATTACTTCTAAAAATAAACTTTAGCTGCTCCTGAGATTCTTTAAAACTATATAAAAAATAAAACACCAGGAATCCCCGAGATTCCTGGAAATTCTTCTCAAAACAGAACCATCAGGGGCCCCTAAGATTCTTTCAGATTCTAATATAAAGAGAACACCAGAAATTCTTTAAATTTCCTCTGAAAATAGAAGTCCCAGGAGGCGCGAGATTCTGTCAAATTCTTTAAAAATAAAACACAACGAGCTCCCGAGATTCCCTAAAATTACTTCAAAAATGAAACACCAGGAACTCCCATATTCTTGCGAATTCTTCTAAAAGTAGAACCATCAGCCTCTGTTATTCTTTCAAATTTTTCTATAAATAAAATATCAGGCACATCCGAGATTCTTGAAAATTCTTCTTCTAAAAATAGTGTCACCAGAAGCCCTCGTGATTCTTTCAAATTCTTCTAAAAATAGAAACACCAGGGGCCACCGAAATTTCTTAAAATTATAAAAATGGAACACCAGGAGTCCCCAAGATTCTTTAAAATTTTTCTTAAAATAGAACACCAGGGAGCCTAGAGATTCTTTAAAACTATGTCAAGAATAAAACACCAGAAAGCGCTAATTCTTGGAAATTCTTCTATAAATAGAATACCAGGAGCCCCCGAAATAATTTCAAATTTTTCTAAAAATAAAACAACCCAGGAGCACCGAAATTTGTTATTATTATTATTTTTTAATGGAACATTAGGGGCCCCGGAGATTCTTTAAAACGATAACATCAGGAACCCCTAAGATTCTTGAAAATTCTTCTAAAAATAGAAGATCCACCAGGAACCCCCGAGATTCTTTAAATTACTTCTAAAAATAAAATACAAGGAACCCCCAAGATTCTCTAAAACTGTGTAAAAATAAAACATCAGGAACCCCCAAACATTTTTGATAATTCTTGTAAAAATAGAACAACCAGGAGTCCCCGATATTCCTTAAAACTATAAAAAATAAAATACCATGGGCCCAGCTTCTTGAAAATTCTTCTTCTAAAAACAGAACCACCAGGAGCCTTCGAGATTCTTTCAAATTCTTCTAAAAATAGAACCGTCAGGGACCCCAGAGATTTTTTAAAATTATCACAAAAATAAATCAGGAACCCCCGAGATTCTTTAAAACTATCGCAAAAATAAAGTACCAGGGACCCACGAGATTCTCGAAAATTCTTCTAAAAATAGAACTACGAGGAGCTTTCGAGACTGTTTCAAATTCTTCTAAAAGTAGAACACAGAGGCCCCAGGGATTTTTTTAAACTTCTCAAAAATAAAACATCAGGAACCCCGAATATTCTTAAAAATTCTTCTCAAAATAGAACCATCAGGAGCCTTTGAGATTCTTTCAAATTCTTCTGAAAATAGAACCACCAGGGACCCCCGAAATGTTTTAAAATTACACCAAAAATAAATCAGGACCACCGAGATTCTTGAAAATTTTAAATTCTTCTATAAATAGAACACCATCAGACTCCGAAATTGTTTCAAATTCTTCTAAAAATAGAATCACCAGGGGTCCCCGAGAATCTTCAAAATTCGTTCAAATATAAAAAACAGTGGCACCTGCCATTCTTTCTTCTTCTATAAATAGAACACCAGCAGCTCCCGAGATTCTTTCGATTATTTTTTAATAGAACACCAATCCTTTGGAAATAGGACCCCACAAGCCACCGAGATTCTCAAAAATTATTTTAAAATACAACACTGTAAGGATCCAATTCGAATTTTTAAATTTCAAATGAATTTCGCGCGCACAAGAAACGGTTGACAAGAAGAAGAGGTTGGCAACCAACCACCCCAAAGAAACAGAGATGCGCAAAGCGAGGGTGGTATTGTCTTGAAAAACGGTCACTTCCTTCTGATCGCTTCGAACAAACGGTCGACTTCTTTTCGAGCGCTTCGAGCAACAGGTTGTATTTTTAATTGTGAATTATTCTGTGCCTTTTGCTGTTGTGTTTTGTTTTTCCAGTGTTGATCTGTTCCATTGGAAAATCTAGCAGTCCCCGTTGAGCCATTGGGTGTTCCTGATTTCCCATCGTTCTTACGACGAGGTTTTGTGTTCCTGTTGGCGGTAAGCCGTGTCGAAATCTTCGCACCTTTGGAGAGGTATGTTTTGAACACGTTTTGGACTGGATCCTGTTTGGCGGCGAGTTTCAAGTCCCGACGATACTTCTGACCTCGTGACGTAGCGACGCGTGCGCTTGTTTTTCCACTAATCTCGTTTTTTTATCTTTCATTTAAAATCCATCGCAGTAGGGCTTTACAGGAAGTGATTTTTATTTCGGGCCATGCTTTATTTAGCTATATTTGTGAAATCTGTATTTTGGATGGCGGCAAACGAGTTGTTATTTTCACCGTTCTTTGTTCAGGCAGCAGCCATTTTGAAGCGTCCATTTTCTTTCTTTTAACCGAGCACATGTTTTAACTGAACCTATTGCACAAATTAACAAACATTGTGGGTCATGGGGGGACGTGCCTTTTATTCCTTTTATTTAGCCCATCGTTTATAACAACGCCACAGGATTCATCGTATTTTTGCATCGCATATTTTCGACGCCTATTATTTGGAATGACGAATTCGTCCAACGCCATTTTGCAACTGCAGCTTGTCTGCCATGTTTGTTTATGTGTTTTGTTTGGGGAAATGTATGTGTAATAATGGCCCACAATGCAGCTAAATAATTTCACGTTTGAATTTTAACCAATAACTTGACTGGACACGAATTAGTATTAATCACATGTAAATCTGTTAACTTTACAATCTTTCACCTCATGCAATTTGTCTTTGTCTCATAATTTTAGCTTCAGTAATTTTCTTTGCTGTATAATTTGAATTGAACGTAAATTTCCATGCTCTGCAGTTCTGACCTAACATGATATTTAATTTGTACAAGCTTATTTCACACCAGATCTTTGTTTTTATAAATCTTTGCTAAGTTTTGATCTTGTAAATGTTGTGTTGATAAATGTTTCTATCATGTAAATTATCTGATGTCCAAATTTAATCTCAATTAAGAATTATTTGTTGTTGAATTTTCGTAAGAGTGTGTGGCGAATTTAAATGTTGTGTATTGCTCTTTGTTGAAACTTTAACACTTGTTCGGTTGTCATTTAATATTAGAGTCATAGAAATTGAACATTTAAATGAAATTGAAGGTAAATAACACATAACTCGTAGTGTACGTGGGGCGCGCGACTCCTTCTCAAACTGACGGGATTAATCGCGTCACCTGCACAAGTCCGCGGGTTTTGTATAGCTTCAGGGGGCGATCGCGGGTTTTTAACGCTGCCGGTTTCGTGATAGCCGGGACCCCACTACGGATCTGCGATCGTAACCGCCTCGTTTCGCAGGGCACGTTCGTAATGGAGAGATGCGTGTGAGCAGGCGTTGGTGTAGATAGAATCACCGTCGTGGGGGAGAACAGTGACGATCAGGAGTCCCAACCTCTACTTGCGCTACAACGCCCCCTCTGGGTATTTTGCTGTGCTCGTAAATGAAATTGATATATTTTGTTCTATATTTTGTTCGATCGCCACACTCTCATAATGATTCGGTTTCTGCCATCCAATTTACATATGTGTAGGTCTTGTGTTTGTTCGGTTTTCATATGTGTATGTCTGTCAATTCGCGAGTGTTTTTCTTTCACATATCTTAAGGTGTTTGACATGTAATATGTCGGTGAATAAAACCCCAGGGGGTTTTGGGGAATGAAGACCGATGACACCTTGGCCCTGCGGACTCGCCAGAAGGGCAAATCGAGCGTCTGTCGTTCTTCGTTTCTTTTTCCTCCTTAGGAAGGCTCCTAATTTTGTCTATTATTTCTTGCGCTCTCGACAGTGTATGCACTTGTATGAAAGAACGTCTTCCCGCCATTTTTCAAAAACAAAAAAAAAAAAAAAAACACACAACGTAGGTTCTCATTTGTTAGACGATCACAGCCAAGGCCAAACTTTGAATTTTTGAATTTTTCGCGGGCCTTTCAAACTGTTTCAAGGTCAAATTTTGAGGCGGGAAGCTTGGGTTATCACAACACCAAGGATCTCTGAGATACTTTCCATTTTTTTCCAAAAATATATTAAAGACCCACAACCCGGAGATTATTGAAAATCTTTTAAAAAATTAAACACCGGGCATCCCCGAGATTCTTGTAAAGTCTTCTAAAATTAGAAGCACCTGAAGCCTCCGAGATTCTTAAAAATTATTTCAAAAATAAAACACTTGGGTCTCCTGAAATTCTTTCAATTTAAAAAAAATGGCCAGTCATCTTTTCAGAACAAAAAACTTAACATGTTTAGAATGGTAAATTCTTGTAGACAAATATGGATCTTGCAATTAAGTCCCGCCCCTCGATCTGACAACGAATGAAAAATTCATCACAATTCAGAATTGAAACCGAGGCGGGGCTAATCTTTGGTTTTATTTTTTTCTTAATACACGTAGTATTCTTGGAACAACACGAAACTCAAAAGCATATTTTTAATTTCTTGTAAAAATATAAGTATTTTGCAGTTAAGCTCCGCCCTCTTGATTCACGGCGAATAAAAAAAATCATCACAATTGAGACAGGGTGGGTGGGCGGGCTTACATTTTGCCTTTTTGTTTTACAATGTGTAGACTTCTTTTCACAACATGAAACTTAGAGCATGTTTAAAATGGAAAATTGTATAAGAAAATATCGATTTTGGAAAAAAATAACCTCGACCTTCCGTCATTACCACTTTATTAAAATAAAAATACAGCACATGCATGTATTACATTAACACTCCAGAAGTACTTGGAGAATTTGTAAGAGTCGGAAAATTTCCCTGAGTCCACATAATCAAATTATGTTCTGACATTTGTGATGCTTGAAAATGATCATTCAGTAACATTTGTGAAAAATTAACATGTCGCTGATATGCTTCATTTTCACTTTGTGGGTCACTACACATCCTGTACAAATCTGAAAAATTGTTTTGAAAAAACTGATTATACAATAAAATAATATAAACCTTTAAGAATTGCAGAAGCCCACAACTGCACATGAACGTCTGGTATTTTACTAGCTAATTGCATTGCTGGGGTTACCATATTCATACTCTCTCTACTATTACCCAATGACAAAAATATATGACCTAAAAGTACCAAAGAACATGAAGTCAAACGGTTCAAATCCTCCGCGTTTGCCATTTTTAGAGTTTCTCTTAAGTAGCGTCTACAAAGAAAATGATAAATGTGTGAATTTTGCGGTAATTAATTACAACTTTGCTTCATTGTATCTTCCTTGAAAGAACGCCTGCAAACCCTGAACATAGTAGGCAGCGGCACGTAAACTGTGTGAATGGGACGGCAGGGATTCTGGATTAATTCTCTCATGGAGGGCATTAAAATCAGCCTCTCTTTTACCGCGCAAATAAACAATGGCCAGATTTAAATTAGCAAAAGTCCATAGCTCTCTCTCCCGCGAGGTCTACAAGTTTTGGCGAATTAAAACCTGTATTGATACTTTGTAGTAATTTACCCACATTTAAAGCAGCCATGAACTGAGCTTCTGCTGCTTCCATGCAGTTCATACTCATTGAGTATAACCCAAGAAGAGTATGTAGTTGGGGACCATGTGTTTCTAGAAGTCTTGGATTTTGGCGACATAAACCCACTGCAGATGAGATTTCTTGAAGCGCCTGTGTTTTATTGCCCATAACAAGTCTGCACATTATTATATGTTCAAGTAACATTAGTTGAAATACAGAGAGAATTGGTTTGTTGTCTACAACTTAAAAACTTTATATGAAATAATTAGTTATAAATTGTGTAAATACACACTTTTTAATTTTTCAATCTGCATTAATGCCTTATCAGTGTATTTCTGCGCTTTTTCCATATAACCTGCCTGCATGCTATGCATCACTGTTACTAGGTATACCAAAACATAGAGATGTTCTTTAGGCATCCATAAAAACATGTCTCCCACACTTGGACCTGTGAATACTAAAAAAAAAAAATACATATTGACAATTTACTTTCCTCTGATTCAATAAATACCATCATCTGTTGCCATTATTGTTTGTATACTTTGTTGCAATTGTTTCAAACATGGTTTGACACTTTTTACTTGGCCAGCCATTAAACAATGGCATACCTGCAATACTAGAAAATATACACGTAAATACTCCTTCTGATATGGTGTAGCACCCCAAGTTTCAATCAAATGTCCTGCTTGGTTCAACACAGGCTGGACTTCTTGAAGTTTTTTGTCAATTAACAAGAGCTAAAATATCTACATTGAGTGTCTTTCACATCAGAAATTGTTTACCCACCATTCCTTTGCTTAGCAAAAACAAAACTCGTGTATATGATGCATTAGAAATGTGAGCATAGTCCACACCAACCCCAAGTAAACTACTTGCCAATTGGTAATCTTTTTCAGTTGCATGTATTTGCTACAAATAAGATACTAATTAATGAAGAATGTCCATCAAAACTTGATACTTACCGCAAGCTGGAAGATTAATCTACAATGCCAATAGACATTATGTTGAGATAATTCAATTGCTTTCCTTAGAATCGGTTTTGACAATGAAATTTGTTGTTGTTGTTCATACAGTTCAGCCAACACGCTAGCTGCTTCAAATTTAACATCATCAAAAGTGTTGATCATTTGTGATAGAAGCCACTACAATTTTAATAAATTAGCAACGTATTCGTGTTTATATGTACTTAGTCCACATACTGCTTGTTCAAGATGGTTCTTCGCTAGGTCTGTGTTTTTTGTATGTGTTAGAAGAATATTGCCTAGCTGCAAGTGTGTTCTAGCTTCAACACGAGGTGGTGGTTTGAAATTGAACACCGCTTGTAAACACTGAATGCACAGTTTTATCATTGGCGGGCTTGAAGTCCTAAAATGTTCTGCTAAACCTAATAATGACAAATACCAAGCATCTTGGGATGAAGCCATTTTCCAGTTGCAATATTACGTTGAAGTATTAAAACAGTGAATAAGGGTATAATGTAAAACTTGGAAAAGTATCATCGAAATGTTTAATTGATGAACTGAAATTAACTCTTTTGTTGGATGTCAGTTAATTATAATATCATGTTATAAACGTAGGTTATAAAACATATACCGACTGACACACAAATGTCACTGAACTATGTAAGTCATTTTTTGGTGGTGTTGCCGGTATTAGCGGTATTCTGTCATTGGTTTAGGTCGGTTGGATTTGACGTCATCGGATAAAAGTAGATCAGAGTGGGACAACGTTAGGTTAATTTTAGCTGCCGTAAATGAACTATTAGCAACGATTAGAATCCTAACATGAACTGTAAATTTAGAAACAATAAAACAAATTTACACCACGGGTTAGCGTCGGTCGATAATTCAGTTACTTCCGCTTGGAAAAACCACAAGAATTAGCTACGCGTGTTAGAAAAAAAAAAAAACTAAACGTGCACATGGTTGCCTATGTTTAACGATTTTCTTGACTGATTTTTTTTTTCAAATTCATATAAATATATTCATTATAATTTACATTTTTTTAATATACGTAGCCTTCTTGTCACAACAAAAATCATAAAACTTGTTTAAAATGGTAAATTTTTGATAAGAAATATGAATTTTGTAATTATGCTCCGCGCCTCGATCTGACAACGAATAAAATTAATTATTGACTCTACAAGAAAATTCCATGTGGAACATGTTTTAAGTAACGCGTTGTTTATAGGAAACTGCACATGTTAAGAAAAAAGGGTCAAAAATGAAGCCCCACCCACCCGCCCCGATCTCAATCGTGATAAATTTTTTATTCGATGTGAGATCGGGGGGCGGAGCTTAACTGCAAAGTCCATATGTTTGAGGCATGACTTTTCATAACAAAATACTTAAAACATGTTCGATCTGACAACGAATAAAGATACACCACATTTGAGATAGGGGCGAGTGGGTGGGGCTTAAACTTTGGCTTTTTTTCTTAAGATATATAGCTTTCTTTCATCAATAGAATACTTAAAATATTAATAGGTGAATTTGAGGTTAGAATTATGTGCAACATTTTGTATTTTCACCGATTTTTTTATTCGATGCATCTGGCAACATTACGCCATACTTATAATGAGGTCAAAATTAATACAGTCCTTATAAACGAAACGAAAAAACGCGACAAACTTCTCAAAATTGATACAGATGAACATATAATTAACCACGCCCACCCACCCCGCCTCCATTTCAATGATTCATTTTATCTGATCCGAATTAAATGTGGATCTTATAGTGAACAGGAATAAGATCGTTAGAATGAGAACGGCGCGGGTAAGCGTAGCTAGTACATGCTAGAATAAGACTGATTTTGGCAAATGACACCTTCTAAGAAAATAGAGGGTGGGTGGGCGGGGCTAGTACCTGCTAAGATAAGGCGAATTTTGGCAAATCACATATTTTACAAGAAAATAGACGGTGGGCGGGCGGGGCTAGTATTTGCTAAGATAAAACTGAACAAAATAAAAGTTGGCACTAGAATGAAGAGGCGGATGGGAGGAGCTATTGCTTGCTTATAAAAGTCTCTCCAGGAAAAAGTTAAACTTAGCCCCGCCCACCCACCCGTTCTTTCATTTTTCTTCTAAATTAAGAAATCAATTTAAAGTAAATAGTATAACAAAAAATTATGGTTAGCCATTTTTTTTCTTTTTTAACAGCCGCATTCCCGTTCTACAGAAGAACATATAATTAAACCCACCCACCCACCCCGCCTCCATTTTAGTGATTCATTTTATCTGCTCCGAAAGTGGATCCTGTACAGAACAGAAATAAAATTAGTCTTTGGAATGAAAAGAGCGTGGGTGGGTGGGCGGGGTTAGTACTTGCTAAGATAAGACTGATTTTGGCAGATGAGATATCCTACAAGGAAAGAGAGGGCGGGTGGGCGGGGCTAGTAACTGCTAAGATAAAACTGATTTTGGCAAATGACATACCCTCTAAGAAAAGAGAGGGTGGGTGGGCGGTCTAGTCCTCTAGGAGTCCAGTTGGCCTTAAGTAAATTTAATTTAACTGTATACTAGGAGAATGTAGATTTTCTAAATGAAATGATCTACTTATTTAATAATATTAAAATTGGAGTGAAAATTATAATAAAATAATAAAAATTATCAATACGTTTTCGCCTTACGATTTTCGCAAGATGTGCTTGAGAAATGGAAAAAAAAATGTGTTTTTCAGTTTTTGGATGCTAATATTTCGGAAACGGATTATTCAGATCAAAGACGATTGTAATCTTTTGAATTGTAATGTCTGTGGTAATGTGTTATTAACTTATTAAATGGAAGCATTGGGAGTAATTAAATTAAAAAACGATGTACAACAGGATTCTTTATATACATAATTCAGAAGGATATATTTTGAAAAGAGTTAAAAGAAAATCAAAATTTGCTAGATGTTTGAAATTTACGTTAAATAAACCTTTTACAAAATTTGTTAGGTTAAATGAATACCGTTGACAGTGTCTAACTTTTCCAAACGAATCAACATTTACATTTCTTATACGATTTTTTTTCCAAATTTATGTAAACATTTACCTGAGAAGAATGTAAGTAAACTTTATTTTCCTTCATCATATCATAATATAAAACACAATATTATAATCAAAATGTTTTGCTTATATATAATTAGGATATATCTAGGAAAACACTGAAACAAAAAGTTTGAGGAGAAACTGGAAAAAGCAGTTTTCTAAGAAATTTTTATTAATTTGGTGTTTTTTATAACACTTGAGACGATTATTGTTACGCCACTGTGCTGTCAAAAATAATAACCTACAAATTTGTTTTGACTTATTTGGAATTACCTTGTGGATCAGCAATGACTGAGTCTGTTGGCAGTACTTTTGTGTGAACTTGTTTGCGTTTATATTGGTTTTGTTTACATTATGCTTAAATTTTACAAATTGAAAAACGTAAGCCATCTGTCAATCTTGACAGTAGCTGCCAACTGGAAATTGTAGAAAACATCATACCAATTTCAACTAAAAATCCAGTATTGCCAACAGACTCAATCATTTCTGAACACACGGTATTTACAAAGTTAAATTGTAAAATATTATTATAAAATTTTGATTTTTTTCCAAAATCTAGAGCTAAGGGTAAACCCAACATGTATTCATCATATTATTCAAATGAGATTTCGCGCCGCTGTTTTTCAGCCCGAAATTTAAATTCAAATTCGGTCACCACAACGATTTCACTTTTGCTTTGTGTATTAAATCTGTGATATTTAAATATTTATATCTGTGGAGACGGTCGACGGGTTTTAAATATTTCAATACACTCGATTTTTATAACTATCTGTATTTAACGAACACCAGAAACAATCAGTGTTGCCAGAGCTAAATTGTAAAATTCCGCTATAAACATGTCGTCGAAAATTTCGCTTTTATTAGAGCTGAAAATAGTTATTTATAAACTACGTTGTTAAGTTGCCGTTGGTAGTAATTTTGATGTTCAACTTTTGCCGTATTTAAAGGGGTTGTATGTAGAAGAAAAGTGGCGGATTTAAGATGATTACTACAAAAATTTACCATTTTAGACATGTTTTAAGTTTCTTGTTGTCAAAATAAGTCTACACCTATTAAGAAAAAAAAGCAAAATGTAGCCCCGCCCACCCGCCCTGTCTCATTTGTGATGATTTTTTTTATTCGTCGTTAGCCACGGGGGCGGAGCTTAACTGCAAAGTCCTTATTTCTCTATGAGAAAATAAAAATATGTTTTTGAGTACCGTAAAAAAGGCCAAAACTATTCAGTTTTGTCAGATAATTGTAAGATTCGATTTAGAGATTTTTTTGCTGATAACGCAGTAAGAAATTCATCTGGCGAATGACTAATTTTATGTTTTCTCGACGTTTCTCGATTTTATATCACAATTTTTGGTTTCTTTATTTCCTTTATTTTTTTGTCGTTTCTTTCGATTTACAATTTTTTATTTATTCAATTTTTCAAATTTTCAGGCTTTGATTTTTCAATTCCATGAATTTCCACTTTTAAAATTTTTCAACTTGCAGTTTTTCAATTTCTTTAATTTTCAATATTTTGATTTTACAATACATATTTCTTTTTTTTATTTTTCACTTATTCAAATTTTAAGTTTTTCAATTTTTAATCTTCCGATTTTTCAAATTTTCGTTTTTTCAAATTTTCATATTCGATTTTCACTTTTGACATTTTTCAAGTTTTCATTATATACTTTTTCGTTCTTTTATTTTTGATTTTTCAATTTTACAGTTTCTTGACTTCTAAATTTTTCAATTTTTCGAGTTGCAATTTTTCGATATTATAGTTTCTCATTTTTCGATTTTTCACATTCAATTTTTTAATTTTTGTCATTTTCAATTTTTCGTTTCCTCAATTTTTCAAGTTCTCGATTTTTATCTCTCATTTTCCCGATTTTTTTAATTTTCATTCTCTCGATTTTATGTCACAAATTTTCATTTTTTCAATTCCTTTATTTCTTGTTGTTTATTTCGATTTTTCTATTTTTCATGTTCCCGATTTTTATTTTTCAATGTGGCGAATTTTTAATTTTTATTTTCTCGATTTATATCAAAATTGTCCGTTTTTTCATTTCCTTTATTATCTGTGTTTTTCTTTACGATTTTACAATTTTTCGTTTGTTCAATTTTTCAAATTTTCAGGCTTTGAATTTTCAGTTCGTCCACTTTTCAATTTTTAAATTTTTACTTTGCAATTTTTGGATTTCCAGTCTTCCGATTTTCCAATTTCTTTAATTTTCAATATTTCTATTTCATAATACATATTTCTTTTTTTTATTTTTCACTTTTTCGATTCTTAAGATTTTTCAAGTTTTCATTTTGTAATTTTTCGTTATCTATTTTTGATTTTTCAATTTTACAATTTCTCGACTTCCAAAATTTTCAACTTTTCGTTCCTTCAATTTTTCGGTTTGCATCAGTTTTTCAATTTGGCAGTTTTTCAATAGTACAGTTTTTCATTTTTCGATTTTTCAGTTTCTCAATTTTTAATTTTTCCTTTTTCCAATTTTTTGTTTCCGATTTTTATTTTTCATTTTCCCAATTTTTTAATTTTCACTTTTCATTTCCTTTATTTTTTGTTCTTTCTTTCTATTTTACAATTTTTCGTAAATACAATTTTTCAAATTTCCAGGTTTTTTGCAATTTTTCTTCAAATTTTCAAGTTATATTTTCACTTTGTACATTTTTCAAGTTTTTAGTATACACTTTCGTTATTTATTTTTGATTTTTCAATTTTACAATTTGTCGACTTGCAAATTTTCCAATTTTTCAATATTACAATTTCCCATGTTTCCATTTTTCACATTCTCGATTTTTAATTGTGCCCTTTTTCAATTTTCCGTCCCCTCAATTTTTCAACTCCCCGATTTTTATTTTGCTTTTTCCTGATTTTTTATTTTTCATTTTCTCGATTTCATATCACAATTTTTTGTTTTTTTCCATTTCCTTAATTTTTGTTGTTTCTTTCGATTTTTCGTTGATTTAATTTTTCAAATTTTCACGCCAATCGATTCTAATTCGTCGATTTTCGAATTTTTAAAATTTTTCATTTTGCAGTTTTTGGGTTTCCACCCCTTTTTTACTTTTTGGATTTTCAATTTTTGTTAAACTTTAGATTTTTCAAATTTTCGACAGTTTTATACTTCGATTTGTCAATTTTTTTTTCAACTTTTCGATGTTTTAACTTTTCTTTTTTAAAATTTTTCAATTTTTTTCATTTCTCGATTTATGGAATTCAGATGATTGGAAGTTTTGATTGTTCAATTTCTCAATTTGTTTCTATTTCTCGATGTTTCGATTTTTGGATTTCCCGGTTTTTCGATGTTTCGATTTTTCAATTTTTTTAAATTCTGAACTTTCGATTTGTCGATTTCTCCATTTTTCAATTTTGCGATATTTCAATTGTTCAATGTTCCAAATTTTAGATTTTTCGATTTCTGGATTTTTTTGATTTTCCAGTTCTTCAGTATTTCTATTTTCCAATTTTTCAAATTTTGACGTTGCTAAATTTTCAGTTTTCCGATTTTTCAATTAATATATATTTTTTTTATTTTCTCGTTTCTCGAATTCGCAGTTTCGATTTTTCAGTTCTTCAATTCTTCGATTTTTGGATTTTTCGGTTGGCTAATTTTTTAATTTCTCAATTTTGGATATTTGTTTCAGTTTTGGGATTTTTCAATATTTCTATTTTCGACTTTTCGATTTTCTATTTTTTGGATTTTCATTTGTTCAATTTTTCAAATTTTCAGGCTTTGAATTTTTAGTTCGTCCACTTTTCAATTTTTAAATTTTTACTTTGCAGTTTTTGGATTTCCAGTCTTCCGATTTTCTAATTTCTTTTATTTTCAATATTTCTATTTCATAATACATATTTCTTTTTTTTATTTTTCACTTTTTCGATTCTTAAGATTTTTCAAGTTTTCATTTTGTAATTTTTCGTTTTTTATTTTTGATTTTTCAATTTTACAATTTCTCGACTTCCAAAATTTTCAATTTTTCGGTTTGCAACAGTTTTTCAATTTGGCAATTTTTCAATAGTACAGTTTTTCATTTTTCGATTTTTCAGTTTCTCAATTTTTAATTTTTCCTTGTTCCAATTTTTTGTTTCCGATTTTTATTTTTCATTTTCCTAATTTTTTAATTTTCACCTTTTCGATTTTATATCACAATTTTTCGTTTTTTCATTTCCTTTATTTTTTGTTGTTTCTTTCGATTTTACAATTTTTCGTTTATTCAATTTTTCAAATTTTCAGGTTTTTTTCAATTTTTCTTCAAATTTTCAAGTTTGATTTTCATTTTTTACATTTTTCAAGTTTTTATAATACACTTTTTCGTTTTTTTATTTTTGATTTTTCAGTTTTACAGTTTGTCGACTTCCAAATTTTCCAATTTTTCAATATTACAATTTCTCATTTTTCCATTTTCACATTCTCGATTTTTAATTTTTCCCTTTTCCAATTTTTCGTCCCCTCAAATTTTCAACTCCCCGAGTTCTATTTTGCATTTTCCTGATTTTTTATTTTTCATTTTCTCGATTTTATATCACAATTTTTTGTTTTTTCATTTCCTTAATTTTTGTTGTTTCTTTCGATTTTCGAATTTTTCGTTGATTCAATTTTTCATATTTTCACGCCAATCGATTTTCCAATTTTTAAATTTTTCAGTTTGCAGTTTTTGGGTTTCCATCCCTTTTTTACTTTTTGGATTTTCAATTTTTCGTTAAACTTTTTTCAAATTTTCGACAGTTTTATACTTCGATTTCTCATTTTTTTTTCAACTTTTCGATGTTTTAATTTTTCTTTTTTAAAATTCGTCAATTTTTTTCAATTTCTCGATGTTTCGATTTTTGGATTTCCCGGTTTTTCGATTTTAAATTTTAGATTTTCGAATTTTTCTTTTTTGATTCTTTGATGTTTAGATTTCTCCGTTTTTCAATTTTGCGATATTTCAATTGTTCACTGTTTTAAATTTTCGATTTTTCGATTTCTGGTTTTTTTGATTTTCCAGTTCTTCAGTATTTCTATTTTCCAATTTTTCAGATTTTGACGTTGCTAAATTTTCAGTTTTCCGATTTTTCAATTAATATATTTTTTTTATTTTCCCGTTTCTCGAATTCGCAATTTCGATTTTTTAGTTCTTCAATTCTTCGATTTTTGGATTTTTCGGTTGGCTAATTTTTTAATTTCTCAATTTTGGATATTTGTTTCAGTTTTGGGATTTTTCAATATTTCTATTTTTCGACTTTTAGATTTTTTATTTTTTGGATTTTCATTTTTCGTTTTTTAAACTTTAGATTTTTCAATTTTCGACTGTTTTATGTATATTTCGATTTTTCGAGTTTTCAGTTCTTGCATATTTTAATTTTTCTTTTTTCCGAATTTTTTATTTTTCGATTTTTCAATTTTTTGAGAATTCTATTTATCGAGATTCGGATGTTTCGATTGTCTCAGTTTTTGAATTTTTCCATGTTTCGATTTTTCGTTTTTTTACTTTTCGGCTTTACGATTTTTGAATTATCCAGTTTTTCAATTTTCCAATTTTTGACGTTTCTGAATTTGCAGTTTTCCGATTTCTCAATTAATCTGTTTTTTGATTTTCCCTTTTTCGACTTGCCAAGGTTTCTATTTTTCAGTTTTTCAGTTCCTCAATTTTTCGATTTTTCAATTTTTCGATTCTTTAGGTTTGCAATTTTTCGGCTTTTCGATTTCCCAATTTTCGGAAATTTCGTTCAATTTTGTGCGTTTTCTCAGTTTTTCGATTCTTCAATTTTGGGATTTTTTAGTATTTCGACTTTTGGATTTTTCACGTTCTGGATTTTTGGCTTTCTCGACTTTTTACTTTTTGGATTTTCAATTTTTCGTTTTTTGAACTTTCGGTTTTCACAATATTTCAAATTATCGATATTTTAAGTTTTCAATTTTTAAAATTTTAGGTTTTTCGATTTCTAGGGTTTTCAGTTTTTCTATATTTGAATTTTTCAATTTTCGAAATTTAAAGTTAATTATAAGTTACTTTTTTAAAAGAAGTTTTCATTCGTTGCCAGACTAGGGGTGGAGCCTAATTGCAAACTCCATATTTACTTTCAAAAATTTACCATTTTAAACGTGTTTTAAGTTTCTAAGAATAAAAAAATCATCACAATTGATATGGGGTGGGTGGGTGGGGTTTATATTTTGCCTTTTGTTCTAAATATACATAATAAAACGTGTTCTTAATTTCTTGTAAAGAAATAAGTATTTTGCAGTTAAGCTCCGCCCCTCCTTGGTTTACGGCAAATCAAAAAATCATCACAATTGAGACAGCGTGGGTGGGCGGGCTTACATTCTGCCTTTTTGTTTTAATATGTGTCGACTTCTTTTCACAACATGAAACTTAAAACATGTTTAAAATGAAAAATTTGTGTAAGGAAATATCGATTTTTAATTAGGCTTCGCTTCATAATTACAAAATCCATATTTCCTTGCAAAAATGTACTATTTTAACCGTACTTTAAGTTTCTTGTTGTGAGAAGATGGCCATGGATATTAAGAAAAATAAAAGGCAAAATATAAGCCCCGCCCACCCACCCAATCTCAATTCTGACGATTTTTTTATTCGTCGTAAGCCGAGAGGTGGAGCTTAATTGTAAAATCCTTATTTTTCTACGAGAAATTACCATGTGAAATATGTTCTTAAGTAAAGAGAAGCCCCACCTCTTGATCTCAATCGTGATGAATTTTTCATTGGTTGTCAGACTGAGGGGCGGAGCGTAATTGCAAAACCGATATTTTCTTAGACAAATTTACCATTCAACAGAGATTTAGAAGTGTTATATGCACTGGGTTTATTTCATTTTGCAATTTTGCATACATTTCTTAACATCTTGTGTAAATCTATACAACTTTAAAAGTTGCACAATATACAGTAAAACTAAAGTGTTTCTTGTTTGTTACAGTTAACTTAGTTAACAACATTTTTGCAGTATTTATAAACATAAATATGATTAATTAAATTACAAGTTCTAACAAAATTTATTAAATTGCGCAATTGTCATTCACGTTTACTCCCTAGTGGGATAGTTTAATGGAGTATTTGGTGATTGATATAATGGTCTATTTTGCGCTGTATACAAAGAGGCTGGGGGAGATTGTTGATACTGCTGCTGACTCCTTACAGGATAACCAGCGGTAATGCTACCAGTTTTTGCTGCTGGTTGAGCTGGACTAAGGGGTATAGAACTCCCATGAATAACATGCGTATGTGATGATGGGGCTCTTAATGAGTAATGTTCTGGTAATTTCTGCTCAAGGTGATAAGCTTGTGGTCTAGGAGGTTCATAAACATTTCTCGTGGGCTCTCTTGATGCTATTGATCCTATAGGATAGTACATGGATATATCTTGTGGAGGCACTGAGTAAAATGTAGCTGGTTGACTGGGATATTGTGGCGTCTCTGAAATAGAATATGAATTGTTTTCAATGTACAACAATTAAAGTTGGATGTTTCTGACAAAAACTAGAAAATGATAGATAAAATGAACTTACTGTTCCATAATACGGCCCTCACTAACTCGCTGCGTCTACCATCATCTTCTAGAAATGAAATAAAAGTTTATTATACATTAAAAGTAAAACTAATAACTCACTTTGTGGAGAATTCTGATATGCTGTAGTTCCAACTGGTGATGGTTTATACCCATAACCTTGATGATATGATGAAACAGATACTGCTGGTTGTGGGCTAGGACTGCGAGGTCGCTTAATAGCAGTCTTAAAAGTGTTCTGTTGTTGTGGAACAGCTGCATTTCTGGGCACCGTTGGCGAAATGTACAGCTGTTGGTGAACGATTCCAGCAGGCAGAGCTTGTATTGCTAAAACATCACTACAATTGGAACTAGTACCACATTCCTTTACATTATACTACATACTTATTTTCTTTTTGCCGCCTTCTGTTGTCATCTTCATTTAAAACTTTTTTCAGCTGCAAAAATAACTGATGCTTCTCTTCTTTCAATTTTTGTAGCTTCGTTTCAAGTTGTGAGATTTGTTCGCGTGTTTCGCCCAGTGTCATGACATCTTGTTGCTCCCGGGCTTCTCGCTCTTTACGAAGACGTTCTTCTTCGACTTCGGCTTCCCTTTCTTGTTTCTTACGTGCTCGTTCCCGCAAAATGTGGGCTTTTAAGACTTTCCACATTTGTTCCGAACGATCGGGTTTGTTATTGTCCACGGCGGCAGGCATTGTTAACAGATTTAACGTTGTTTGTCGCCTCTTTTTTGCAGTTTTTATAAAACTAACGCTATATCACTGAATTAACCTAATTTTACGTATTTGCAAACACTTGCAGATAATTAAAAGATTAAAACTGTAGAATATGATTAACAATCATAGAATAGCCCCATAATAGACCACGGTCTCCAACACAGAAGTCACAGAACAGGTCTTGACTTGACAGGGTTGACAGTTCTCCAAAGTACGCCTCTAGTGATGCGGTATGGAACTAAAACCGGCGCAAAATTTGAAAGGAAATGTTGCTGATGTTTTTTTTTTTATAATTAAAGGGAGAAATATTGTGCATTTTTTATGCTAGTTTCAAAACGCCAAAATAGGGTTTTGAAAGCAACATATAAAAAGATACAAACAGTATAAAAAATGTGGAATATTTTACAGACAGTATAATAATAATAATAATCTTTATTTGTCCAAAAGTAACCTATTACCATTGTTTAAGTATATTATAGTTGGACAACCTAATACAAATTTTACTTCGCCTAAATAGTGAGCTTTAGGACAAGGAATCCAGGGGGCGTGGGACAATTTTTTCGTCAACGCGCATTTTCACTACAGTGAGCGAACGTTTTAGGTTTATTTTACTCTAAATCAGATGGCGCCATCAAACATTGGCAAAGGCAAACACCCTTCACTCTGCTCTTATACGAGGAGTTATCCATAAATACATAATTAACATTGTTCCGTAAACAGTAATGTGTATAAACATATATGTACAAAATATGAAAATATACTTGACATAAAAAATATGAAGCAACGCGTTGTAACGTGATAAGAAAGAATTGAATTTAAATGAATTTGACGCATATTTTTATTTGACTATATCTGAAGACTGACAGAAACTTTCCAAGGGTTTTTAAACTGGTATAATTGTTTAGTTTTACAAGATTAAAGTAAAATAAGATTTTAAGTAAAATTTAGATTCGTGGTGTTACAAAAATATTAACACAAAATGAAAATATATGTTCAAAGTAAATAACAGAATGACATAAACTTTCGGCGTTAAATTACAAATAATAACAAGAGAGAAAAAAACGCATAAAGAACTTAAGAGGCATGTTTGTAGTATCGGGTTGTTAAAGGCTGCTTTGAAGACTGTTTGTTTCTATGAAAAACAATTGCTGTTATCGGACATTTTGGTAGATTTTGTGCCAAAAATACGAGATAACTAATTGTTTCTTGAACTAGTTTCCGTAACTTCTAAAATTTAAAAAGGATACGCCGTTCTGCTGTAATAAAATCTAGAATAAGGTCAAAATCACACTAATATTACATCTGATTTTGTTAACCACATGCATATAATTTACATTAAAATAAGTTACAGACATTGTTTGAAATGTTTATTATAGTTCGAAAACAAGATAAAATAAATAAATAAATAAAAAAAATGTGCAGTTTATAAACTTCAGAATTTTAGTATAAAAATAATCATGTTTGAAGCTTTATTTTGTCTGTTCCATTTTATTGGGTGTATTGGGCCCCTCTCGGGATATAACACCGACATCAGTGCACCGACCCAACGTTCTTCAACCGATGGGATGATTTATTACTTCCGTTATGCTGGCCCTACACACAGCGATTTGGTTTTCGGATTTTCGGCTAGATCTGCACAGTTAACTCTTTGCGCACTGCACACTGACATAGAGTATTTTGTTCACGCGCGCATCAAAAATATTACGCCGAAAGCACTTCTTCAAGTGTTATTTTTTTTAAGATGTCATATTTGTCAGCGTTTCCAAAATTTTCTTCTTTGCACAGGTCAACTAATTTTTCGTAAACCGCATTTTAAAATTTTTGTTATTGTATTTTTTACTTTTTAATTTTCTAAGGCATGAAAAAATCCCATATAGGTTTCTATGAATTTATTAACGAAATCAACTGATAACTTGCGCGCGATTTTGTGTTAATTAACACCAATAGTGATTATGATAATTTTATAATTATCATTTTAATGAAATTGTGTTCTTCACTTCGCGAACGACAGCAAACAATTTAAAATTACCGCTGGTCAAGCACCTGAAAATCCATCTCTCCCAAATATGTCTTTCTTGGCACGATTTGTAATCCGAAGTCTCCCTCCACATGCAATTTTTCGTCGCCTGAGAACTTGTTTGATCTACAGACCAAAGCACACTCAGGCCAATATCGGCTTTAAGCGATTTATCTATAAACCGATATTCGTTAGAGTTGATGTGATACACATCCACTACGAAGAACTAACCCATTTCGACCATTGGACTTTACAACGAATAAGTGAACAAAGTTCTTGAACATCTTAACGATTTAATACATAATCTTCCCGAATGCCAAAATTTACATTTCAAATTGTATTATCAAATTACACTCTCCAAAATTTGTCACGAACAATGAAATGACGCAATCTCCAAATTTTACAATAGTAAAATTGTAGTTTCGCCCCGTTTACGGTTTATGCATCCGTGTCGAGTTTTCACCTTAGACGTCAAGATTTTTGGAAAAAAAAATCAACATTTTCCAATTTATAATGTTATGTACGTATTTAAATTTTAAAAGTAGAATAGTCCTGATCTTGTGATTTATACCTAAATACGCTATTGGGATTTTTCGGCTTGATGATTTCTCGATTTTTCAACTTTAAATGTCTCAATTTTTCAATATTTCAATTTTGGGCTTTTCCGATTCCTCCATTCCTTAAATTTTCTATTTCTCAATTTTTTTATTTTTCGATTTCTCAATCTTACGATGTTTCAATGATACGATTTCTCAATTTTTGTCCTCTTCAATTTTTGCCGATTTCTAAAGTATTTTTTTTATTTGTCCATTTCTGGATTTCCTAAAGTTTCGATTTTTCACATCTTCAATTCCTCAATTTTTCGATTTTTTAAGATTACGATTTTTCAATTTTGCTTTTTTAGATTTTCGATTTCTCAATTTTCCAATTTTTTAATTTCTCAATTTTTTGAATATTTCTTTCAGTTATGAGATTTTTCATTTTTTCAATTTTTCGACTTTTCGATTTTTGAATTGATGGATTTTTTTTGATTTCTCGCTTTTTTCCTTTTTGGATTTTCAATTTATTGTAAACTTTAGATTTTTCAATTCTGGGACTGTTTAATGCTTCGATTTCTCAATTTTTAAACTTTTCGATGTTTTAATATTTCATTTTTTAAAATTCTAGGTTTTTCGATATCTCGAGTTTTCAGTTCTTCTATATTTCAATTTTTCAATTTTTCCATTTTTTGAATTTTAATTTTTGATTTTCCAGTTTTTCTTTTTTAAAATTTTTCGATTATTCAATTTTTTAATTTCTCAATTTATCGAATTCAGATGTTTCGTTGTTTTGATTGTTCAATTTCTCAATTTTTCAATTTTTAACTTTCCTTTTCGGCTTCCGACTCCTCAATTTCTCGATCCTCCGATTTTTCGATTTCTCGAAGTCTCAGTTTTTGAATTTTTCGATGTATCGATTTTTGGATTTCTCGGTTTTTCGATTTTTTTCTTTTGAGCTTTTCAATTTCTGGATTTTCCAATTTTTCAATTTTTCAAATTGAATTGGATCTCTCGATTCTTCAATTTTGCGATATTTTAATTAATCATTGTTTTAAATTTTAGTTTTTTCGATTTCTCGATTTTTTGACTTTTCAGTTCTTCAGTATTTAAATTTTTGAATTTTTCAAATTTTTGCGTTAAATTTTCAGTTTTCTGATTTCTCAATTAATCTATTTTTGATTTTCCCACTTCTCAAAGTTTCCATTTTTCAGTTCTTCAATTCTTTGATTTTTCGACTTCGCTTTATTGGTTTGTCGATTTCTCAATTTTTGGATATTTCTTTCAGTTTTGATATTTTTTCAACATCTCGATTCTTTCATTTTTCGACTTCTAGATTTTTCTATTTTTTATTTTTGGATTTTCAGTTTTTTGTTTTTTATTTCAATTTCTCAATTTTTCAACTTTTTCATATTTTAATTTTTAAATTTCTAGATTTTTCAGTTTCTCGAGTTTCCAGTTCTATACTTAAACAATGCTATTACTGTGCCTATTATAGGACAAACATATAACAAAAATACAATATCTATATTTAAACAAACAAAATTTATAATTCTTGGTTTTCAGCCACTTTTTCCTATAGTATTCTTTCATTTTCAGGGAAGATTTAATCTCAACCGAAAACCATACTTTTTTTTGTTTTAGGAACAAAATCGTTTAATATTTGATGTAATAATGCATAGAAGGAGTCCTCAGCGTCATCATTTACAAAATGTGCTAAGTAGGACCAGTCAGTATTGCAAAGAGTGTTATATGTACTTATAATGATACAAAGTCAGCCTTCCTGAAGTTATAACTTTTCTGGTTATTTGAAGGAAAAGAATGAAATTTAGTAGGACCACAAATATTTACATTGACATTCAGAACAGGATGATATGGATCCTCAGCAACAAGTGGAAAACGACGTGAAACAGAAAGGTCAAAGTTTGTTTTAGACAGAACCAAGTCCAGTAGTTTATTATCACAATTCTGTATATGGTTATACTGAGTAGAGTGAAGAATATTTATAAAATGTTGCATACAACTTGCTTTACTAGTTAATGCTATATTGGCATTCGAAATACCAGAAGCAAAAGAAACAGAAAACGAGACAGTTGGGGGATTCCTTTAGTTTTAAATTTATTTATGACAGTAAACAGTAAGAACATTATGTTTAGAAGACAGCTGTACCTTAATTGGACGAGAAAGGGACTGCGTAGTCCTATCGAATTTATCTAATCTTATAAGGTTTATTTCTTGTTCTTTTATGTTCAAATCAGCAAGCATTTTTTTGACCAAACAAATATCGTGCTCAATCGTATCTCGTGTTGAACCAAATTGGTCTTTAGAATGATATAAAATAAAGTTATTTGCTCTTTTATTGCGCGTAGATATTTCACGTCTTATTTCCTCAAAAGCGGTTGTTGAAAGAAGATTATTATCCTGATTAATAGTGGTCAAATTTGCCGAACTAGATTTATTTAAGTCCTTAAAGACTGAGATATTTCTTCTCTTAGTTGTTTCACCAGAGGTAGTAATTTCGGCAGTTGATGAATAATATACAGAACAATAGATAAAATAGATATATATTTATACATAATTTTTCAAAAACATTTAAGCTTTAGCCGCTACATTAAAGTTACAAAATAAAGTCTGTGACTCTCTAAAAATAATTTAATTTTTCATCTCTCACCAGTAGAAACACAAACTGCCTTTGCACTTATTATCCATACTGACCTGTTTTTGAGTTAATTTTGAGACTCAGTTTTTTTTTAAATTTAAAAACAATCTTGAGGAAAGAATTTGAAAGTGCTTTGGAGCCTCTAGTGTCCTTTTTTATAATAATGTAATTACATTTCTTAGAGGATATGTCATTTGCCAAAATCAGTCTTATCTTAACAGGTACTAGGCCCACCCACCCACCCTATATTTTAATGGAAAATATGTCATTTGTCAAAATCATTATTATCTTAGCAAATACTAGCACCGCCCACCCACCCTCTTCTCATTCTAACTACTTATTTTGTTTCTGTTCAGTATAAAATCATTCATTTCATTCAGTTCGCATAAAATCAATCACTGAAAAAGGAGACAGGGTGGGCGGGCGGGGATAATTATGTTCTTCTCTCGAGTGGGAATGGAAACTAATTATAGAATAATGGAACAAAAAGTAATAATAATTTTCTTTTTTATCTACAAAATTTTTATAGAGAGGTATCTTGACGAAAGTCTAAAAATTGTTGTATTTCAGTTAGTGATTTTAGATAAACTATAGAAATTTTCGAAGAAACGAAGGCGAAAATGACTTCTGGATATCGAGATCTACAAAAAAATGTCATCAACTAATTTTCGAACATAGTTGAAAAATGGACCAAAAAGTCAAAATCTGTGTTATCTCCTCCCCCTCTCTTTTCTTAGAAGATATCTTATTTGGCAAAATCCGTCTTATCTTAGCTGGTATTAGCCCCGCCCACCCGCCTTCTTTTTTCTTAGAAGATATGTTATTTGCCAAAATCAGTTTTATCTTAGCAGGTATTAACCCCACCCACCCACCCACCCACCCTCGCTTTTCTTAGAGGGTATATCATTTGCCAAAATCAGTTTTATCTTAGTTCTGATGACTAACTTTCATAAAAAATAATAAAAATTTGGTAACATTACGAGCTTACCTATATACACAAAGCAGGAATTTTAAACATCTTCTCTAGTGTTTAGTTGGTTATGCTTTAATCGATTTTTCTTTTGTTGGTTTTGCTTTGGTTTATAATTTTCTATCAATTTTTTTTTTTTGGTTTATTTTGTGATTACCAACACTTCCCGCCTTAAATTGACACTTGAAAAAGTTTGAAAGACCCGCGAAAAATTCAAAAATTCAAAATTTGGCCTTGGCTGTGATCGTCTAACAAAATGGAACCCTACGTTGTGTTTTTGAAAAATGGCGGGATGCGTTCAGATGCAAATGGTGGACCCCAAAGTTGGAAAAGTACCGCAAAAGAAAACACAAAATGTATGGAGGATACAAAATTATTTATTCCTCTACTAACAAAAAAAAGAAAAAAGCTGCGAGTAAGTTGTGTCGGGTGAGGACACCCCTTAATGCTCAGCCCTAAAAAAAAACTTTGAATGAATTTTAAATGAAAGTAGTTTGGGGCTCCCGGTCGTGGCTGTTCTCCTACCTACGACGGTGATTCTATCTATCGCAAGCACTGCCGCCCAGCACGAAGAACATGCCAAGACGAACAGGCCGGCTATGGGGTAGAAGCCGACAGCGTTACGTCATCTCGACCGTCCCTCAATTCTATTCTAACCTGCATCTTTTGTGCAGATGGCGCGATAAATCTCGCCAGCTCGACTAGAAACCGTGCACTCAGCTTCCACCACGTGTTTCTGTGTTATTTAACCTCAATTCCACTTAAATGTTCAACTCTTATAACTCTGATATTAAACTACAACTGAACAAGTGTCAAAGTTTCAAAAAGAGCAATAAACATAATTTATATGATGGAAACATTCATCAACAAAATATTTACATAAAAAAACTAGCAAATATTTATAAAAAACAAAAGATCTGGTGTGAAATAAACTTGTGCAAATAAAAATATTATTTATTATTATTTTTAACGTTGCGAGGAAATGCCTCGGTGATGTAATGATGATAACGGTGATAAAAACGATGATAACTGTCTAAGAAGAGAAATCTTTAATCCCCCCCCCCTGTCAGTTCACGATATTATGAATTTTGTTAATTTAACTGCCGTTAATGAACTATTAGCGACCTTGTGTGAGAAATTAAGAATTGTTATAATGTAACCTTAGTCATAACTAGACAAATAAAATTAAATGAGTCCTGATCCGTGAATTTCATGAAATCTCCTAGCGAGTGTCCGTTAAATTGTGTTAGCACCGGTTAACTATTAAAATCCTAACATAAACTGTGAATTTACAAACAATGAATTAAATTTACAAGTGTCGGCGTTGGTAAAAAAAAAAACACTTTTTTGCGTTAGAACGCCGCATGAATTAGCTGCACAGAAAGTCAACTAAACTAACCCAGTTACCAGAAGTGACGCTTTGGCCATCTTGTCCCCTACCAACCTTCTAACTAGAATCCCCTAAGAGCTACCAACTACCCACAAAGCGTTAACGTGCACATGGTTGCTATGTTTAACGATTTTTTTATTTGAAAATTTGATTCAAATTCGGTCACCATAACTTTTAAAAATTTGTCGATTTAATTCAAGCACTTGAGCCCAAAATCATGCTTGCAGTGTTGCAAATTTTACTTTTATAAAATTAGATTTTTTTTGTAATCTACATACATCATAAAGATTTTTTTATTATCTTTTTGGGATTCCCGAAACCCTCGTACATAACGTGAAGAGTTAATCCGTCATTTTCCAGACACCGGGTATTTCGCAGCTGGTCAAGTTTTGACAGTGCTGTCAAACCTGTCGTTCCATTACCGCGATGGCGCAGATTCGCTCTGTGGATTGAGTGAATTCGCTGGGTTTATATTATGCTGTGGTTTCGAAGCGGCTTGATTGAAAAAAGAAAACATAACCCTACTTATGACAGTTCTTGCAGTGATTCAATAATGGTTAATAAAAACATTTGTTGAAATTATAAAATTTCGAAGCCTCTGCGTACCGGGTTTTTTTTACTTTTTTTTTTAATTTAAGGACAGTTATTTAAGTTTTTTTACATGGCTGATAGCGAAAATGGTAGTTCTAGTCAGAACTCACTTGTAGTTAAACCAATAAATTTGGAATGTAAAAATTTATATGATTACCTAAAAACAAGATCAAGATCGACTTTAGAAAAACTCTACAATCACCCAACGATTTGTTTAGCTGTGTACAGGTAAAGTGTGAATGATCATATTCCGGAACTATGTGTAAAATCCTGTCTTTTTTGCAGAGAATTACCAGAGCTGGCAAGACAGTATGTAATACGTATCTTATTTGTTGAACAACCAGTTCCTCAAGCAGTTGTAGCTTCATGGGGTGCTCAGGCTTTTTCAAAGTATGTTAATGAATACAAATTAGGTTTCATTTTAAAAAGATTTGTAATTAAGGAAAAAAATAATCAGTTCTTATTTTATTGTTCTTGCAGAGAACACATTTATGTAAGCAAAGTTCTAAGTGAACTTTCAGTGTGGCAAGAAGCAGCAATTCCTGGTGGATTGTTAGGTTGGATTCTCTCAGTAACATTTAAAAGAAATCTTAAACTAGCTTTACTTGGAGGGTATGTGCAAACGTTCATTTATGGTTGCACATTTTTATGCAATTTTTTAGTGGAAAACCATGGAGTATGTCTTCAGCTTTGGAGGTTGACAGTAAGGCTAGAGACGTATCATTTCTTGATGCTTATTCATTGGAAAGATGGGAGTGTGTGTTACACTATATGGTGGGATCACAACAACAAGAAGGCATCTCAGCAGATGCTGTACGAATTTTATTACACGCGGGTTTGATGAAAAGGTATAAAAATTTGTCTGCGCCTCTTTTTTTTACCCAAGAACATTTTTTTCACAGAGACGAGGACGATGGAAGCCCTGTGATAACGCGTCAGGGTTTTCAGTTTCTTTTGTTAGATCGCCAGGCACAAGTGTGGCATTTTTTACTTCAGTATTTGGACACCGTCGAACAACGGGGACTAAATCTTGTCGAATGTTTAACGTTTTTGTTCCAGCTGTCATTCAGCACTTTGGGTAAAGTAGGTCGTTTCATTTAGTAATAATACACTTGTATTAGTATTTAACTGTGACGTAGGACTACAGCACGGAAGGTATGAGTCCTGGACTTCTAATATTCTTACAACATCTGCGCGAGTTTGGTTTGGTGTATCAGCGAAAAGTTTGTATCACGCATTTGTGTACTTGTAGTTCTCTGATTGGTCGTTTTTTAGAGAAAAGTGGGACGGTTTTATCCAACGCGCTTAGCTTTAAATATAACATCAATGCAGAACAGTGAAGGTCCAGTTTTAGAAGAAGATACGCCAAAAGGTAATATTGTTGTAGAAACTAACTATAGAGTATACGCATATACCGATTCCAACCTTCAAGTTGCTTTGATTGGCTTATTTACAGAATTGTTGTATAGGTAATTGTAAAAGTTTTGCTAATCAAGAATATAACATGGTTATTTTTAAGATTTCCAAATTTAGTGGTTGGGGTAATAACACGCGACTCCATAAGACAAGCGTTAAAAGGCGGTATCACTGCCGATCAAATAATAGGTTATCTTAAACAACATGCGCATACGCAGATGCTACAAGGTGAAGTGAAACAACCTTTGCCACCTACTGTGGTTGATCAGATTAAACTGTGGGAAATCGAGCGTAACCGGTTGGCCTATTCAGAAGGAGTTTTGTATAGTCAATTTTTATCACAGGTATTTCTGATTTACAATTAATAATCTCCACTGCAAGTCATATTAGTAATTTTTGACACTGTTCCTAGTGGTGACACAGTGGGGATTGTTTTTTTGTTTAACAAACCGTTGTATGTTTTTGTTTTATTTATTAATGTTTATTTCAGGCTGACTTTAATATATTGAAAGAATATGCAGAAACAAACGGTTATCTGATTTGGTGCAACAAGGAGAAAAGAACGTTAATTATTAATAAATCTGCACATGATGATGTGAAGAAATTTTGGAAAAGATACTCCAAAGGAAGTTAATTTATTGATGAACTATATGTAAATATAGTTATAAGTTACGCATGTCTATAATTTTATGCAGTTTGGTACTTTTCAATTGCTACGACTGTACTATAAGATCGAAAAAAAGGGCTCGAGTAGACCATGGAATTTATTTTCTTGTTACGACCTTGTGACTGTGTTCCTTGTTTAGTTTGATTTTGACATTTATGATCAAGTGAAGTGTCAAATACGTACGATGCCAAAATCATTATTTCAAAATAGTTATTTACTGTACTGTTGTTCATGTCCTCATTTTTATACTGCGGGTGAGTAATAAACGGGGTAATTCAGAAATTTAAACTTTATTCCAACACATTTTCCCAGTTTGGGGTAACTCCTGGAGTTCCCTCTTCAGTTCCTCACCTAGGGTACGACGTCAATGGAGCATATCATCGAAAAAATTACCACTCTAAATGTGGTGATTGAACAAAACTTATTGTTTTGTCCACATTTTGTAGCTCCTAAGATATAAAAAAGTGGGTCCCGCGTTTTCGAAACCACTGGACTGATGTGAGATTTTAGGATCATCAAGAATTTGATGATGCCATCTCAAAATTTTACATTGTAAATTTATTAAATTTTTAAAATATACGCTTGTGCTTTATGAATTCGTCTTGATTGTTTATTCTAGGTACAGATGTCAAGATTTTTGGGAAAAAGTCAAAATTGTGTAACAACTTTTAACAAATTAACTTAAGGGTGCCCAGTAGCAGACCGAAAAATGAGCTAAATACATTTTCATTTTACGGGCGTAATTTCAACTTTGAAAAAAAATCGACATTTCAATTGATAGATTATGTCTAAATCTCTGCGGAAGACACAATATTTTTTAAAATAAGTGATTGTTTAGTGTTTAATTAATGGTTCATTCTTCGAAGGAAATTGCATTTTTAGACGAGGAGAGAGCATGTTTCGCTTCAACTTTTATATCAGTGCAAAGACAACATTGAGCTCTATGGGGAAGACCCGGTCATTTTTGTTTAAAATTTATATTTATCAAAATATTTGCTTAAAAAAAAAATACTGACTAATGAAAATAAAGTGAAACTAGGCAACCCTATTTACAAAGTTTTCCGTTTCAATAAATGGCTGAGTTTTACACAGCAGGGAGCCTTGCCGTCCGACCCTTACAGGTAATCAGTCCAGGTACTGTGGGTCATAAAACTCATAAATACTTTTAGCTGACCAACATTGTTGAAACTCTTTTACAAGTCGACTTCTTTCATTGCTGACATAAATTGATTTAGTGTATGCAAATTTTTATAATTTTATATATTCTACTAAAATATTTTCTTTGAAAAAATTATTCAAATATTTTTTATTAATCTGTCATTTTATATATTAATCAATACACACAACTGACAAGATTTAGATACTCATCACTTCACGAACCACTTATTTACCTGAACAATCATATTCATTTAAATTTAATTTTTTGATACTCTTTTCCGCACCACCTATGAGGTAGAGTATTAAAGGCACGTTTTTTACGTGGTATCTCCAGTAAACCTATTCCATTAATACTATTTATTCCTGTGTGTGTTTATACTAGAAGGGGAAAAGATTTATATGAACTACACATGACGCGAATGCAAATAAAAAATCTTAATTGTACGTACAATCTTTTCTTTACAATTTGTCTAATGGGTTGACTTGTTTAATAACGAGAATCTACTCTCTCCGGAAGCAAGGCATATAAATAAATTTTTTCTAGGGCTCTATCATATTATTTTACCAAAATTTATCATCTCGTTGAATTAGGCATTATTTAAATTGGACATTTTGTATATTTCTACGTAGCGTTTTTGTTTGTTAAAACGTCTGGGGATGCCGCTAAAAATGTACAAACCGCATTGTATTACTTGTTCTCTCATTTTGCAAATTTTACCAAAATAACGTTCGGTTAGTCTAAATTATTAGTCTGGATTATTGCGTTCGCCAATTGTGTTTTGTTCGATTAGAAAAGACATCAACGTTTGAAAATTTTTTGAGAAATACTTTTTGCGCTGTGACATATCAGATATTTCAACTGCCTCGTTAGATATACCGTCGCCCGAGAACTTGTATGATCCACAGACCGGAGCGCGCTCAGGCCAATGTCGACTCTATAAGCCTCCAGAAATTCTGCGGGAAATAGTTATTATTTAGATGCTTTTGTTTACACACGTCTCACATGTTTCACTCGATTTTGACACTCAACTATTTTTTTGTTTAACTAAGAATTAATACTTTCATTGCGTTTGATACTAACGTCCTAAATTAGCAATACTAGTGGAACAGTAATCATGCAATAGATTTTTTTGGGAAAGTACAGTTATTTTTATGTTTTAGCAGCAATGTCTATTTTCTATTAATTTTTGCATATTTTTAGTCACAATTTTGGTAGTTATTTTTTACTTTTATTTTTAGCAATAATAAATATCCAAACATGAAAAAATAAAAAAAGATTAAAATTGGAAAATCTAAAATTTAGAAATCGAGAAATTGAACAATCGTATAATTGAAAAATCGAAACATCGAAAAACTGGAAAATCGAAAAATTAAAAAAAAAATGGAAAATCAGAAATTTAATGAATTCCGAAAATTGAAAAACTGAAATATGCATAGAAGAACTGAAAACTCGAGAAATCGAAAATCTAGAACTTTAAAAATTGAAAAATTAAAATATCGAAAAGTTGAAAAATTGCGAAATCGTATCAGTGAAACATCGGACAATTGAGAAATCGAAAAATAAAAAAATGGAGAAATCGAAAATTTGAAGAATGAAAAAATTGAAAATGTGAAAAATTAAAATACTGAAAAATTGAAACATCAAAAGTTGAAAAATCGAAAAACCGAAAAGCCGAAAAATCTCAATAATATATTTATAAACCACAAGTTCAGGATTATGCTACTAAAAAATTGATAACGTCATCTCAAAATTTTGCTGAATAAATTCTACTAAAAATGTGCAAAATATGATGAGTTGTTACTTGTAATTTATCATTGCATTCATATTTTTTTAAATTTGCTTATATACCTAGGTGGCTCAAAAAAATTAATGAATGTGTCAATTTATTCTATTGATTAAATCAGTCTCGACTCACTCCATTTTCCGAGAAATTTTTGGAATACTGTTATTTTTAGTCTAATCCACATTGACTGACGTGTCCTTGCAAAATGTTGATTATTTCATCACAAAATTGTGTACCTAAAGTAAAAATTTAACTCGAAAATGCTGGATATGTTTCATTGTATTTTAGGTGCGAGGGAAGTTCTGTCGAAACAACTTTCCACCAATTTTTTTTGCTGTTATATTTGAACATAAACAGTTTATCTTATATATTTTTAAAACATTATAAAGAAAATAAAAAGTTGTGTTAGACTGAACCTTGTGGGTTTCTCAATCTATTTTCCGCAGCATTTTCAACTTTCAACTTAATTTCTTTCAAAATACATAGAAATGGATTTCGATGGTTATTTCCCTGTACCCTTCATTCGAAAATAAATAAGCTTATTTGCATTTTATGACGAACTCCCTACAGTGACCATAATCTCTCCTCTCTTGGGTCGCTACCTGCCGTGGATCGGTACTTTGGGTTGCATAGTTACAAAAAATAATTCTTCTCACTGAAACCGATTTTGCTATCGTTTAAAGGTTATTAACAAAGCCATGATAAATGGTAAATCGCTAATCAAAATTTATCTATTTATAACTTCCAAAAATTGGATGATGTCTCAAAATTTTGCTGGATAAATCTCATCTAAAGTATGAAACATATGAGAATACACTTGTGTTTTAAGAATTGTTGTGTTCTGATTTGAGGGTTCTGGTGTTCTGAGGATACGAGGATTGAGGTGTTCTGAGGATTTGGGGATTCTGGTGTTCTGAGGATTTGAGGATTTTGGTGTTCTGAGGATCTAAGGATTTTGATGCTCCGAGGATTTGAGGATCATGGTATACTGCGGATTTGAAGATTCTGGTGCACTGATGATTTCAGGATTCTAGTGTTCTGAAGGGTTGTGGATTTTGGTGTTCTGAGGATTTAAGTATTCTGGTTTTCTCAGGATTTGAGGATTTTGTGGTTGGCGGGGCTAGTAGCTGCCAGGATAAAACTGATTCATTTCTTCGATCGATGGTGTTTTGGTTTTCCTATTTCTCGATTTCTCGAATTTTTTATGTTTTGATTTTTCAGTTTTCAAAATAAAATATAAGTTCAACTTTAAACACATCAAAAAAGAATATAAATTCATCTTTAATTTCCAAAATTGATATTTTATTAAACTACTTCTTGAAATGATTCTTCTTTTCGATTTTTCCGATTTTTGATTTCCCGATTTTTCAATTTATATTTTTTTCAATTTGATGGTTACCCACAATATATTACTTTGAGAGCTCATGAAGATTTTTTTTTGTAAATTATTTAAAACTATTTTGGGAGACTTTGGTACTCTGTTTTTGGAAAATTCTGACCTGACCTGTTTTTAAGTTAATTTTGGAACCTCGTTTTTTTGCAAAATTTAAAATAATCTTGAGGTTCTCGTAGGTATCCCTGTTTGGTAAGAATTTGAAAGTGCTTTGAAGCCTCTAGTGTCTTTTCTTATAATAATTTAATTAAATTTCTTAGAGGATACGTCATTTGCTAAAATCAGTCTTATCTTAACAGGTACGAGGCCCGCCCACCCGCCCTCTCTTTTCATAGAGGGTATATCATTTGTCAAAATCAGTTTTATCTTAGCAGGTACTAGCCCCGCCCACCCACCCTCTCTTTTCTTAGAAGGTATCTCATTTGCCAAAATTAGTTTTATCTTAGCAGGTAGGTACTGGCCCCGCCCACTCGCTCTCTCTTTTCTTAGAAGGAACTCATTTGCTAGCTAGTAGCTGCGAAGATAAAACTGATTTTGACTAATGACATACCTTCTAAGAGAAAAGAAGATGAGTGGGCGGGGTTAGTGGTTGATAGGATAAGACTGATTTTGGCAAATGACATACCTTCTAAAAAAAGAGAGGGTGGGTGGGCGGGGCTAGTAGCTGCCAAGTTAAAACTGATTTTAGCAGGTACTAGCCCTGCCCACTCGCCCTCCATTTTCGTAGAGGGTATGTTATTTGCAAAATCGATTTTAGATTAGCAGGTACTAATCCCGCCCACCCGCCCTCTATTTCTTTACGTTTACTTTAACATTGCATGCATATCTTTATTTTAACTTATAGGTTTTTTTTAAATATAAAATTCGAAAAATCTAATTTTCTAATTTTCTAAAAAAGCTGAATATGTTTTATTACACCTACTTTAGGGGCGAGGAAAGTTCTGTCGAATTAATCTTCGACTAATTTTTTTATATAACTTTGTTATTTATCAAATTTTTTCAATTTACGTAGTAGCACCAGCACCAGTTTAAAAAATGTGACGGGTTCTGAAGGATGGACGTTTTACTGGACACATAGGTAATAACTGGGATCGCCCCTAGTAGATATAAATACATAAATTTGATTTAACCTTTTGGATAACTTAATATAATAACAATATTTTCTTGGACACAAGAGTTAATCATTTGTGGAAAGCCGTAAGTCTCTATAGTTATTTGATTATTAAAAAAATATTATCACTATATGAAAGAAGTAAAAAAAGTTATAGTCAACGATAAAGATTTATTTAGTTTTCTGTTAATACAAACTTTCCAACTAAACAACAAATTTGCGAAATTTGTAACTTAACAAATATACTGCGAATTATTTTATAAAATTAATAAGAGAGAACTCAGGTTTAAAATATGCTTAATGTTTTTTATATTTTATACTTGTAACGTGTTTAATTTAGGCTTACCAATTAGTTAAGAACATTGAGTAAAATGATTTTGATCGAAAGAGAGCGGTATTTTTTTATTAAAATCCTAATTACGTTTTGTTTAAAACTATTTTTCAAACATATTACAAAAAGTAGTTTCAGTCGATATATTTAGTAAAAAATATACAACAAAATAAATATAACAAATTTTGAATATTGATTATTAGTTTCTGGGAATTTCTGAGTAGATATGTTTTTTTTTGGTGATAGGTGTTTAATTCGTGAGAGTAAATTAAATGTCAATGCAAAATTGAATATAAGTATGGTACATTTTGTAGACATGAAATGAAATGTGGGTCCACTTTACCAAAATGTTACAACCAAAAATAAACAATTTGGGATTGTTTAATAGGACATAATTATATCTGTATTTTTATACGTTATAAATCTCTCATTGGACAATTTTATAGCACATCAGTAACTCGGAACATAGTTGTTGTCGCATTATACAAATATACAATGGTAATACAGTAAAATTATCTAATAATTAATTGAAATCTGAAATTTATATTTTTCAGGAAGTGTATACATACAATAAATATTTTTTTTAGTTTAAATAAAACCATAAGGTAAGGTAATTACAGTGTTTTTTAATGAACAGTTACAACATTTCCGAAACCGAGAAATCATGAAACCTGAATAAGATATAAATGTAACTAGACTTATCTGTAGTACTATAGAGTGTCGTACAAAATTTTAAATCGTGAACACAATCATATTTTTTTAGGTATACATTAGACAAATAATAAATTTAATTAATTTCGCAGAAAATTATTTCACCGCACTAGAGACCGAATTAGTTTCTACTCTTCAGCTTCGTTTACTGCATTTTCTTGATCGTCTGGGTTTTCTGCGGTTTCCACAATTTCCGCAACTACGGTGTCCTCACCTGTAGCAGGAGCTTCGGATATTACATCTTCCTGCTCTGTCACGATAGGTTCTTCAGTTTGCTCAACTTCAGCAGGTTGTTCTTCGTCTTTTGGTACCTCAGCAGTGTCTTCGACAATTTCTGCTTCTGGTTGTTCAGTGGTTTCTTGCGTGCTAATTTCAGTATCCTCGGCTGCTTTTGCAGCTAATTCTTCTTCTTGCCTTTGTAATTCAGCTAATTCAGCTTCTTGCCGTGCTAGTTCGGCTAGTTCATTTTCTCTACGTTCTTTTTCCTTTTGTTCACGTTCAAGGCGTTCAGCTTCGGCACGTTCTGCTTCTTGTCTGGCTAATTCTGCAAGTTCCTCTGCTTGTCTTGCTAGTTCAGCCTCTTTTTCTTCTTCTGCTTGTCGTGCAAGTTCTTCTAAACGTAGTAGCTGTTTGCGCTCTTCTTCTGCTTTTAATTCTTCTTCTATACGTCGTTGCTCTTCTTCCTGGCGAATCCTCTCCTCTTCTAACTGACGTGCTTTTAAAAGTTCAGCCTGTAATTATAAAGAATGTAGTAAATTTATGAAAATATAAGTATATAAGTGTGTGAATATAAAAATTAAGGGCATGTTCCATTATACGACCAATACCCACATAAAGCATAAACTGTATAAGAAATTCTAAAAATATTGGATTCTGCAGTAACAAAATTGAATTATAAAATGTTGTTATACAATTTTGATTTTTTTCCCAAAAATCTGGTTGTCTCGGAAAAAAAGATCACAGATTCATAAACTATTTGTGCAGAACTAATTTACTATGTACAAGTTTCAGGTGACGTCATCACATTGTTGGTGGGGATGATTAGCTAAATTTTGATTATCGCTTAACTACCTACCTACATGTTATTCTTAATATAAGTACATACAAAATTGACCACAATCGGTCCACTAGTTTAGGAGATTATCTGTGTAATAAAAATCCAGATAAACGGTAGACAGACAGATAGACAGCCGGAAACGGAAGACCTATTATTTTGTACTCTAGGAGTCATGACGGCTTACGCTCGGGAAGTATTCTAATAAGTCTATCGGGCAATTGGCGACTTTTGTATTTTCCCGACGTTTTGTGACCTTTCCTGTTTTCGTCTGCTCGTCTGTCGTCTGTGTCGATTTTTAATAAACAGATAATATTCGAAACTACCAGATGCTTTTGTCAAATATGCAAAATTTGTCTAATCATCCCCTCATAATTTTGAGGCTCAAGGTTATCTAAATGTTAAGAAATAATATACCCGTCTACTCGTGGTTTAGGAAATCTTAAGGAAGGCTTAATTTGTATCACAATTACATTACAGAAATATATACTATTGGTACGAATAAACGGCATACATTTCCGCACCCGTGCCGGCCAATCACAACAAAGTACATCGGCGCTAAATTCAAACTGGCCCAAAATCGAATATTATTACTTTCATCTGTGTGGTTTGAGCATTTTTTAATGTTTTGTTGTCGAGTTTTCAGTTTCTCGATGTTTATTTCGTCAGTTTTTTCAGGTTTCAATGTTATTTCTGGAGTTTTAATCAGTTTTTCGATTTTACAGTTTCTTTTTTTTCAATTTTTCAAAATTTCAGTTGTTTTTTCAATTATCGAAATTTTCAGTTTCTCGAGTTTTAAGATTACAATTTTTAAATTTCTCGGTGTTTCAAGTTTCGTTTTTTCTATTTTTGATTTTCAGTTTTACAATTGTTCGATTTTTCTGTTTTTTAATTTTTCAGTTTTTTCATTTTTAAGGTTACAATTTTTCTTGTTGACCTCTTGATTATTCGATTTTGAGTTTCTTTATTTTTGCAGTTCTTCGATTTCTAAATTTTTCAATGTTTTTTTTTCGATTTTCAGTTTTTAATTTTTTGATTTTTCAATCTTTCAGTTTTACAATTTTTCCATGTTTCAGTGTTACAATTTTCCGATTTTTTGACTTTTTAAAATTTCACTTCTAATAAGTTAGTCCTTTTGTTGAACAATTAAAAATTGAAAAATTGAGTAAATGAAAAATAAAGTAGGTACTTACTTCCAAGTATGTAATTCCAAGTTGTTTCGTTTCTTCGATTTTTTCTTTTCTCAATTCGAGATTTTTAAATTTTTGTTTTTTTTAATTGATAATTTTTCGATTTTTCCGTGTTTCATTTTTACACTTTTCGATTTCTCGATTTTTTAGTTTTTCGGTTTTCATTATGATTTTTATTTTTCAGTAAAATTTTTGTATTTTTCGATTTTTTAATTTGCAGATATTTTAATTTTTCGATTTTCCAAGTTGCTTTTTAATTTTTCGATTTTCCATTTTTTGAATTTTACAATTTTTCGTTTTCTCGATTTTTCAATTTCTCAATTTTTAATGTCTTACTTTTTTGGGTTTCAATGTTACAAGTTTTTGATCTCACGTTTTATTTTTTTTGCAAATTTGCAATTTTGTAATTGTTTCATTTTTAAATTTCCCGATTTTTAATTTTTTACTTTTTTCAAATAATTATTAGGGTTTTTATTATTCAAGTTTCGGCTTTTCCATTTTTCGATTTTTCAGTTTCTGTATTTTTTCAATGTTACAATTTTTCAATTTTTCCTTGTTTCTTTTTTACAATTTCTTATTTTTTTAGTTTTCCGTTTTTCATTTTAAAATTTTTGGGTTTCAAAATTACGAATTTTTGTATTTTTGATTGTTTAATGTATAGAAATTTTTGTTTTTCGTTTTTTCAATTTTTCACTTTCTCAATTTTTAATTACCTAATCAGGGTTTTCAGTTGTTTTTACAATTATCTAATTATTTTTTCAATTATCCAATTGTTCAATTTCTAGTTGTTTCATTTTTCGATTTTTCAGTTTTTCAATTTTTCAATTTTTCGATATTGCAAGTTTCATTTTCATCATTGCATTCATATTTTTGTTTCTTGGTTTTTTCATTTTTAGACATGTTTACAATTTTTCCTTTTCCAATTGTTAACCTTTTAATTTTCCGATTTTTCAGTTTCTGTATTTTTTCAATTCTTCGATATCTCAATTTTTAAATTGTTGGGTTTTTCAGTGTTTTTTTTTCGAGTTTTCAGTTTTGAATTTTTTTATTTTTCAATTTTTCAGTGTTACAATTTCCGATTTTTTGATTTTTTAAAATTTCAGTTTTAATAAATTTGTCCTTTTGTTGAAAAATTAGAAAACGAAAAATTGAGAAAATGAAAAATTAAAAATAAAGTGTTTCTAAGTAGGTAATTCCAAATTATTTTGTTTCTTCGATTTTTTGATTTCTCAATTCGAGATTTTTATATTTTTGGTTTTTTTAACTGATAATTTTTCAATTCTTCCGTCTTTCGTTTTTACGTTGTTACATTTTTGGATTTTTCCATTTTTTAGTTTTTCGATTTTCATTATGAAATTGTTGGATTTTTTAGTAAAATTTTTGTATTTTTCAATTTTTTAATTTGTAGAATTTTAATTTTTCGATTTTCTAATTTGCTTTTTAATTTTTCGTCTTTCTGTTTGTTGAATTTTACAATTTTTCGTTTTTTCGATTTTTTAATTTCACGATTTTTAATTTATCACTTTTTCGGGTTTCAATGTTACAAATTTTCGATTTTACAGTTTCTATCTTTTTCTCAGTTGTTCCATTTTATAATTGCTTTTTTCGTTACCCAATTTTCAGTTTGCCAATTTTTTCAATTTTTCGATATTTCAAGTTTGGTTTTTCAATTTTTGATTTTCAATTTTTCATTCCTTCAATTTTTCCATTTTTAATTTTTTTTTTCAAATTTACAATTTTGTAATTGTTTCATTTTTAGATTTGCCGATTTTTAATTTTTCACTTTTTTTAAATAATTATTACAGTTTTTTTGGTTTTTCAGTGTTTCGTCTTTTCGACGTTACAATTTTTTAGTTTTTCCATGTTTTCTTTTTACAATTTCTTTAATTTTTTAGTTTTCCGGTTTTCATTTTAAAATTAAGAAGTTTTGTATTTTTGATTATTTAATTTATAGAAATTTTTGTTTTTCGTTTTTTCAATTTTTCACTTTCTCGATTTTTAATTAATCAGGATTTTCATGTTTCAATATTACAATTTTTCGATTTATCAATTGTTTTTTCAATTATCCCATTGTTCAATTTCTCAATTTTTTCATTTTTCGATTTTTCAATTTTTAAATTTTTCGATATTTCAAATTTCATTTTTCAGTTTTTAAGTCTCATTTTTTGTTTTTTTTTTCAAGTTTTCTTTATTTTCTCAATTCTTCGATTTCTTCATTTTTTGATTTTTCAATTCAGTTAAAAATTTTGGTTTGAATAAATTTGTCCTTTTGTTGAACAATTAAAAAATGACAAATTGAGAAAATGAAGAAATAAAAATCGAGAATTTGAAAAATTTTGTATCGAAAAATTGCAGAATTGTTTCTTTTTGTTGTTTTTTCAATTTCTCGATTTTTAATTGTTTAGTTTTTTGATGTTTCAGTGTTACAATTTTCCGGTTTTTCAAAAGTTCAGTTTGAATAAATTTGTCCTTGGTTGAAAAATTGCTAAATTTCTTAGTTTTCTCGATTTTTTAGTTTCTCTATTTTTAATTAATCAGGGTTTCCAGGTTTCAGTATTACAATTTTTCGATTTTTAATTATCCAATTCAATTTCTCAATTTTTTCATTTTTCGATTTTTCAATTTTTCGATATTTCAACTTTCATTTTAAAATCTTTGGATTTTGAAACAAAATTTTTTTGTATTTTTGAAATTTTTGTTTTTCGTTTTTTCATTTTTCCAATTTCTCGATTTTTAATTAAACAGGGTTTTCAGGTTTCTGTATTACAAATTTTCTATTTTTCAAATATCCACTTGTTTAATTTCTCATTTTTTTCATTTTTCGATTTTTCAATTTTAAAATTTTTCGATATTTCAAGTTTCATTTTTCCATTTTTGATTCTCATTTTTTCGGTTTTTTCAATTTTTCTTTATTTCTTCAATTCTTCGACTTATAATTTTTAGACGTTTCAGTGTTACAATTTTCTGCTTTTTAAATTTTTAAATTTTTCGAAATTTCGGTTTGAATAAATTTGTCCTTTTGTTGAACAATTAAAAAATGAAAAATCGACAATTTGAAAAATTTTATGTAGAATTGTTTCGATTTGTCGATTTTTCAATTTCTCGATTTTTAATTGTTACATTTTTTAATGTTTCGGTGTTTCAGTAATTTGATTTTGCAAAATTTCATTTTGATTAAAATTGAAAATCAAGAACTTGAAAACTTTCAAATGGAAAAATTGCAAAATTGTTTCGTTTTTCGATTTTTTGATGTTTCAATTTCGAGATTTTTAATTTTTTCGTTTTTCCAATTTTTCAATTATCCAGTTTTGCAGTTTTATTTTTAATTTTTTCATGTTTTTACAATTTTTCAATTTTTCGGTGTTTCGATTTTTTAGTTTTTCGATTTTCATTTTGAAATTTCTTCTATTCTTTATTGCTTCAATGATACAATTTTGCGATTTTACAGTATTTTAGTTTGGATAAAATTGTTCTTTTGCTGAAAAAGAAAAAAACACGAAATTGAAAAATTAAAAAACTAAAAGTTTAAAACTCAAAAAATTGTAAAATCGGAGAACTAATAAAGCAAAAAATGGAATAATTAAAATCGAAAACTGGAGAATCTGTAAAATTAACGAATCGGTGCCGATTAAAAAAAATGGTTCCACACAATAATAAATATAATTTTTTTTATTATTTTGGTCCTGTATATTTCTGGACAATATTTTTTTTTCTAATATTTTAAAAATAAATGTGAAAAATTATTGTAATATTATCTTAGAAGTACAAGTTTAATTTTTTTCTACAGTCTTTTATAAGCAAGCAACCACCCACCCCTTCTTCATTCCACTGACTATTCTTAATAGTGTTCAGTTTTATTTTAGCCCCACCCACCCACCCTTTATTTTTTTAGAGGTTATGTCATTAACCAAAATTCGCTGTTCCCATAATTAAAGACTGTCCTTCAACACACCACACAGAGACGGACCCGAATCTTCCCTCTGTAGTGTACGCAAAATTGATGTCGTTTAATATGTAGACTGTCCGGAATTCAACTCTCCGAATTTTTCAATAAATTCATTTTTCGATTAGATTAGATTTTTGAGTTTTCAACTTTCGGATTTTTACTTTTTTCGTTTTTTCAGTGTTTCGAATTTTCCGTTCCTCGATTTTTAAATTTTCCTTTCTCCAATATTTTGATTTGCAATTTTTTGAGTTTCCAGTTTAATTTTTCGATTTTTTAGTTTTTCGTTACTTCATCTTTGAGATACCACATTTTTTTTATTTTTGAATTTTTCGGTTCTTCAATTTCTCGTGTTGCATTTTTTTTTGAAATTTCAAATTTAAAATTTTGCTTTTTCAATTTTTCACATTTTCAGTTTTTTGAATTATAATTTTTCGTTTTTGCAGTTTTTTGATTTGCAATTTTAAGTTAAGTTTCCAGTTTTTAAATTTTTTAGATTATTTCGTTACTTCAACTCTTAGATTGGTTCTTTCTATCATTAATTTCAGGTTTCTCAATTTTTCAATATTTATTTTTTTCGATTTTTCAGTTATTAAAAAATTTAAAAATCCTGATTTACAATTTTTCAAAATTTCAGTTTGAATAAACTCGTTGTTTTTGTCCAAAATTTAAAAACGCAAAAACGAGAACTTTGTTATTTGAAAAGACCAAAAATTGAAAACTAGAAAAACTGCAATTCAAAGATTGAAGACATGAAAATTTGAATTATGTTTAAATTCAAATAAAGGGAAATTAAAATATCTACAAATTGAAAAATCGAAAAATCGAAGGAACGAAAAATTCCAGACCGAATAACTAGAGGCACGAAAATTTGCAAGATCGAAAATCTAAAAATGTGATACATGGAAAACTAGAAAACTTGAAAGCGAAAAATTGCAAAATCGGAAAAATTAAAAATCTGAGAACTATAAAATCGAAAAATTGAGAAATTCAAAAGTTGATAAAGTAAGGAAGAAAGAAAACGTAAAACTAAAGAATTTTTATAAATTCAAAAATGGGTGCTATTAAAAAAAATCTGAGTCAACACAATATAGATAAGCATTTAAAAATTAATTAGTCAAGAAAAATTTAAAAAAACTGGAAAATCGTGAAAATTTCAGTTTTAATAAATTTGTTCTTTTTGGATTAAATTCAAAATTAGAATCTGGGAAAATGAAACATTAAACAACTGAGACCTTGAAAAACGTATTAGCTAAATTAAAAATTTGAATCTCGATTAATTGAAATAAGGAAAAATTAAAATATTTACAAATTGAAAAATTGAGAAGTGCAAACTTGAAATATCGAAAAATTGCAAAAATTGTAAAGTTGAAAAATTAAACATTGAAAACTAGAAAACCTAAATTCGGAAAACTGTAAAGCCAAAAAATTGAAGAAACAAAAATTCACAAATGGAAAATTTGGAAATCGAAATATTTAAAATCGAGAAACTGCAAAATGCAAAAACTGCATAAACCATTTAAAAATGTTGATAAATCAAAATTTTGAAAAACTTAAAATTAAAACTCAGAAACTTGCAAATCGAAGCATTGTACATTTAAAAAATTGCAAAATAAAAATCGAAAAACTGAGAAAATAAATGTTTATACGTAAATAAAATTATGTTACCTGTTTTGCTAGTTCTTCCTGTCGAGCTTTTTCCGCTTGCCTCTCTAATTCCGCTGCACGTTCTGCAGCGGCCTGAGCTGCGAGCTGTTCTTGTCGGGCTAATTCGGCTTTTCTTGCTGCTTCCTTCGCTGCTTCTTCTTTTTTAGCTTGGGCTGCCTTTTTCGCTTGTTCCTCCGCGATGGCTCTACGCGCCAAGTAATCAATTATACGTCAAACACGAAATAAACTAACTACCTTTCTTCAGCAAGACGAGCTTCTTCCTCCTTCCGTTTCGACTTTAAGTTAGTTTCAACAGCGGTGGTTGACTTAACGTCAGAATCATAAATTTTTGCAAGCCGCGCTGCTCTTGCTTCCCTCAAGTCTTTAATTTCCTGCGCAACAGGATCTTCGATAGGTTTCTGTACAGAGAAAATCCGCGAGGGGCGCGATGCAGATAACGGCACTGAAAATACGTAAACATGATTAGATTCTGTTGTGCTCTCAATAATTAAGCATATAATTTTAAACATATATTTTAACATTATTAGAATTAAAAAACTGATTAAAAGTATAGTTACTAGTTAATTAATCATTTATTTTTAGTAGGTAATCATTATTTATAAGTTTTTATTTAAACTTACATAAAATGTATATCGGAGCTCCTTTTCTCTAGTCCGTTGATTTATAAATTTTAATTACTGTATCATTTGTTTAAATAAAAATTTATTGTTAGAAAAAAATCATTGTTGCTAAAAATTAAAATTGTCGAAAAAAATATGTCAAAAAAACACATCCTTATCCTGAAAGAAACTATTAGAAAGTAGGCTGTGTCTCAGCTGCAACTGGTTGAAAAGAACACAGAAGTAAATAAAACAAACACAAAGAAAAATACATTTATTTTTCAAGTGTATGATGTGTGCAGGATTTAGTTACATGGAAAATAGTATTTCACAACATGTACGTTCAAAGCGGTGCTAGAGTGTTACGAGAGGCAGATTTGGCGATATTGCTAGTTGAGCGTACATTTTGTAGTTTTATTCAAAATCTACTGTTAGTTTAGTAAGTCGAACGATAAAATAAATACATAGGTTTGCAGTCATTTCAACTTTTTTTTTTTGGTGTCCGCATGTCAGGTTAATTTCTCTGTTATTGTCCAGTTGAGTTAGATTATCTAACTTGTTCATAAGAAATTATTATTGTTAATTTGGGGTTCATACCTATGTAGCTCGTGAGTGTTTAGATATATTTTGAATATTGAGACTGTCTAACAATTCTGAAAAACGAATTTGCAAACCTATGTATTACTATTATATTAAAATAAAGAAGGATAAGCTTTTTTAAGCAATAATTACACTTTAGAAATACGCGAAAGAAATGATCTTCTCAGTCGGTATTTAATATGTGTGAATGACGAGATGAATAAATGACGAATTTGCATTTTTAAAATTAAAAAAACTGGAGATGTGTTATGCGAAAACCAAATACAATTTTTAGTAATTGTTGTAAACCACTTAAAAAAATATATATATAACTCGTGTGTGCGTCGCAATACAAATATATAACTCAGCGGGAGATTATTCGATAATTTCGATTTTAGGTTTTTCTTCTACACTTCCAGCTGCAAGTAAAACGAATAAATTGAATGAAATTAAGTAACTACAAATGTGTTTAAAGCTAGTATTCAAGCAAGTTAAGTTCTCTAGAACGTTTTCTTCAAGCAATAATAATAACAATAATAACGATAGTATCATGCTTAATTGTGGGTACTAAGTATAAGTGAAAAAAGTGTCAGATGTGCATAAATTATAAGAGAAAGAGTGCTCATTATGTTTTGTTTTGGAACTATGTAAGGTATAAAAATAAATAAATAAAAAAAAACTAGTCCAAGTAATATATTGCTTGCAGAAATATTCGAGAACACCCGTTGTGTGTGTAAGATTAATGCAGCTAACTTCCTTTTATTAATCTAAGAATTTTATGAAAACACATCTTTATGAATCCATACGTTTACGTCTATTATTTTTTGTTACTGCTTATTTCTTATTTATATGATAAAATAAGTTTATACGCATATTGTTAATAGAAGCAACTACATAAAAAGAAGGCTGATGTGCAAATCTATGACTAGAGAGACAAATTGAAGCGTGCGTAACTAGAACTAGGTCCTAGGCTGATCTTTGAACTTTTATAATACCTTTAATTTCTTTTGGCTGAGCTTTCTCTTGTCGAAATTTGGTTATATAATAGCTCAGCAACTGGATATCATTTTTGAGAGCGTCCTCATACATTGTAAGTGGACGACGACGGTCGTAAGGTTTGCCCCCTGCATATGAGACACAGGATAGATGGCCTTGGCCTGTAGTCAATTTCAACCAAATTAAACACACAATATAGAGCGAACAGTACACAATAATGGAGTTAATGGTGAATTAGTAAAAACAGCGGTAAAGGGCTGCTTGACAACGTCATAGTGAGAGTTTAAGGAGTTGACATACATGAAGCAAATACACATGGAAAAAGCTAAAATATCGCTTGAATATTGGAATAATACATTTTTCAATAAGAATAATGAGAAAAATAAATAAATAAGGTATATACACAATCGCTGCTTTATTTTATTACTTCGATTTTTTTAGTGATGACGACCCTCAAGATATACAAAACACAAAATCATTACATCACATCACACTAAACAAATTTTATAATGTAAAATAAAATAATTGGTTTTTGTAAGATCCCTCTAACCCATCGACTCTCATGGAGACTAGGAAATCAGATTTTGCTCCTCGAAATAGGGTTCGTAAATAATAATTGTCCTAACTTGACTTCCGTAACAGAATGAAACTGTTTGAAAACTTGAAAATTAAATACTGTTTTATAGTCAAGAAGTGTCTATAAAGAAATAAAGGTGCTGAAGTACTGATATTTTAGTAAAACTTGAACATTTCGAAAATTAATTTGTCTACATTTATATCACCATAATGTTTCATATTCTAAACAAGAACTTTTTCATTTATATTATAATAAGTTCATTCAATTTTCGAAACGATTTATTCTAATTTTAGACAAACAATGAAACGTTTTAATTAAAATTAAATGAAATTTCAGTTACAGTATAACTCGATAATCCGAATTAATTCTGAATTTAATCAGAATTTTTAGATGACTTTTTCAAAAATGAAATTTCCCATTATGTATCTCCGTTATGCAAATTTCGTCCCATTCTCGACTATTTTCAAAATTTAATTAAATTCTTCCATGTAGATTTTGGGCCCCAGAAGTCACTTCTGGCTCCATTTCTTCGATAATTTAAACCGTTTTTCCAGAATCGTCCATTAATATAAGTGTCGCAATTTTTAATAATTTAAAAAAAATCGAATTTCACACCGAATTTTCCGAAAATATTGTTCCGTTATCATAAACATGCTGTATTTTTGGAACCAGCACGTCGGGAGAGATATATCTCTGAATTTTTTCAGAATTTTTAGAAATTTTTTTCTAAAATGAAATTTTACACTATGGTAGTACTTGCCAAATAATAATAAAAATAAGACTTATTTTGATAAATGACCTACTCTTCTAAGAAAATATACTAGCCCCGCCCACCCACCCTTTATTTTCTTAGAAGAGTAGGCTATCTGCCAAAATCAATCTTATCTTGATAAAGGATGTCATTTGTAGTCTCATACTTGCCAAGATAAGGTTGATTTTGGCAGATGACCTATTTTTCTAAGAAAATAAAGGGTGGGTGGGCGGGGCTAGTACTTGTCAAGATGAGACTTATTCGGCAGATGACTTATTCTTCTAAGAAACTAAGGGAGGGTAGGCCCGGGGGGGCTAGTACTTGCTAAAAATAAAAAAACTTAAAAATCAAAACATGACAAATTGAAAAATTGCATAAATGAGAAATCGGAAAATTGTACAAGTGTTTAATCGGAAAATCAAAAACTGAAATATAGAAAAATTGGAAAAAAAAACACATTTTATAAAATCGAATTCGAAATTCCAGTTGTCATTTTTTTTTTTAGTTTTTTTTAACTTTTGAATATTTCATTTGATAATTTGTTTGACATTTTTGCAATTTTGGAATTTTTTAATTTTTAATTTTTCAAGTTCTCAAGTTAAAATTTTTCTTTTCACGATTTGTCATCTTTCGATTTTTGAACTAAAAGAACAAATTTATTCGAACCGAAATTTTGAAAAATCGAAAAATCCAAAAATTGAAAATTAGAAAGAAAATTTTCAGATGTTTTAAAGTTACGGTAAACTTGGCAATCGCTGATCAAAATTACTTTTTACTCCCTTCCAAAAACTCGGTGACAAAAAATCAAAAATCGAAAATTTATAAAAATAAACATCTATTTTGTCGATGTTTTTAAAAATCAAATAATTGAGACATCGGGAAACTGCTAAAATCGTAAAATTGAAAAATCGAAAGTTTTTTCAGTTGCCCAGAGAAATCAAAAATCGAAAGAAAGATCAAAAAATTGAAAATTTAAAAAGCGAGAAATTGAAAAATTCGAAAGTTGAAAAATCGAAAACTGAAAAATTTAGTAGTACTCGCTACGATAAGACTGATTTTGGCAAATGATCTACTCTCTAAGAAAATAAAAGGTGGGTGAGTGGGGCTAGCACTTGCTAAGATAAGACTGATTTTGGCAGATGACCCACTCTTCTAAGAAAATAAAGGTTGGGTGGGTGGGGCTAGTACTTGCTAAAAATAAAAAAAACTTAAAATTCAAAAAATGACAAATTGAAAAATCGGATAAATGAGAAATCGGAAAATTGTACAACTGTTTAATCTGAAAATCAAAAACTGAAATATCGAAAAATTGAAAAAAAAACAAATCTTATAAAATCGAATTCGAAAATTCCAGTTTTTATTTTTTTTTAGTTTTTAGATTTTTCAACTTTTGAATATTTCATTTGATAATTTGTTTGACAATTTTGCAGTTTTTAATTCCGATCTTTTGATTTTTAAAGATTTAACTTTACAATTTTGAAATTTTTTGATTTTTAATTTTTCGAGTTCTCAAGTTAAAATTTTTCCTTTTCACGATTTGTCATTTTTCGATTTTTTAACTAAAAGAACAAATTTATTCGAACAGAAATTTTGAAAAATCGAAAAATCCGAAAATTGAAAATTAGAAACAAAATATTCAGATGTTTTAAAGTTACGGTAAACATGGCAATCGTTGATCACAATTACTTTTTACTCCCTTCCAAAAACTCGTTGACAAAAATTCAAAAATCGAAAATTTATAAAAATAAGCATCTATTTTGTCGATATTTTTAAAAATCAAATAATTGAGAAATAGGAAAACTGCCAAAGTTGTGAAATTAAAAAATCGAAGGTTTTTTTAGTTGCCCAGAGAAATCAAAAATCGAAAGACAGATGAAAAAATTGAAAATTTAAAAGGTGAGAAATTGAAAAATTCGGAACTTGAAAAATCGAAAAAGTGAAAAATTTAGTAGAACTCGCTACGATAAGACTGATTTTGGCAAATGATCTACTCTCTAAGTAAACAAAGGGCGGGTGGGTGGGGCTAGCACTTGCCAAATAACCTACCCTCTAAGAAAATATAAGGGGGGTGGGCCGGGCTAGTATTTGCCAAAATAAGACTCATTTTGGCAAATGACCTACTCTTCTAAGAAATGGTACTAGCCCCGCCCACCCACCCTTTATTTTCTTAGAAGAGTAGGTCATCTGCCAAAATCAATCTTATTTTGGCAAGTATGAGAATGATTTTTGTAAATGACATCCTCTAAGAAAATAAGGGTGGGTGGGCGGGGCTAGTACTTGTCAAGATAAGAATGATTTTGGCAGATGACCCACTCTTCTAAGAAAATAAAGGGAGGGTGGGCGGAGCTTGTACTTGTCAAGATGAGACTTATTTTGGCAGATGACATATCCTCTAAGAAAATAAGGGAGGGTGGGCGGCGAGCTAGTACTTGCCAAGATAAGACTGATTTGGGCAGATGACTTATTCTTCTAAGAAAATAAAGGCTGGGTGGGTAGGGTTAGTACTTGCTAAAAGTAAAAAAAAATAAAAATCAAAAAATGACAAATTGAAAAATCGGATAAATAAGAAATCGGAAAATTGTACAACTGTACAATCGGAAAATCAAAAACTGAAATATCGAAAAATTGAAAAAAAAAACAAATCTTATAAAATCGAATTCGAAAATTCCAGTTTTTATTTTTTTTTAGTTTTTAGATTTTTCAACTTTTGAATATTTCATTTGGTAATTTGTTTGACAATTTTGCAGTTTCTAATTCCGATCTTTTGATTTTTAAAGATTTAACTTTACAATTTTGGAATTTTTTGATTTTTAATTTTCGAGTTCTCAAGTTATAATTTTTCCTTATCACGATTTGTCATTTTTCGATTTTTTAACTAAAAGAACAAATTTATTCGAACCGAAATTTTGAAAAATCGAAAAATCCGAAAATTGAAAATTAGGAACAAAATTTTTTAATGTTTTAAAGTTATGGTAAACATTGCAATCGCTGATCAGAATTACTTTTTATTTTCTTCCAAAAACTCGGCGACAAAAAATCAAAAATCGAAAATTTATAAAAATAAGCATCTATTTTGTCGATATTTTTAAAAATCAAATAATTGAGAAATAGGAAAACTACCAAAATTGTGAAATTAAAAAATCGAAGGTTTTTTTAGTTTCCCAGAGAAATCAAAAATCGAAAGACAGATGAAAAAATTTAAAATTTAAAAAGCGAGAAATTGAAAAATTCGAAAGTTGAAAAATCAAAAAACTGAAAAATACTCGCTACGATAAGACTGATTTTTGCAAATGATCTACTCTCTAAGAAAACAAAGGCCGGGTGGGCCAAATAACCAACCCTCTAAGAAAATAAAGAATAGGTTATCTAGCAAAATCAGTCTTGTCTTGACAAGTATGAGACTGATTTTTGCAAATGACATATCCTCTAAGAAAATAAAGGGTGAGTGGGCGGGGCTAGTACTTGTCAAGATAAGAATGATTTTGGCAAATGACCTATTCTTCTAAGAAAATAAAGGAGGGTGGGCGGGGGGCTAGTACTTGCCAAGATAAGACTGATTTTGGCAAACGACTTATTCTTTTAAGAAAATAAAGGGTGGGTGGGTGGGGCTAGTACTTGCTAAAAATAAAAAAACTTAAAAATCAAAAAATGACAAATTGAAAAATTGGATACATGAAAAATCGGAAAATTGTACATTGTTTAATCGGAAAATCAAAAACCGAAATATGGAAAAATTGAAAAAAAAAACAAATCTTATAAAATCGAATTCGAAATTCCAGTTGTCATTTTTTTTTTTAGCTTTTAGATTTTTCAGCTTTTAAATATTTCATTTGATAATAATTTGTATGGCAATTTTGCAGTTTTTAATTCCAATCTTTCCATTGTTGAAGTTTCAACTTTACAATTTTGGAATTTTTTCATTTTTATTTTTTCAAGTTCTCAAGTTAAAATTTTTCCTTTTCACGATTTGTCATTTTTCGATTTTTTAACTAAAAGAACAAATTTATTCGAACCGAAATTTTGAAACATCGAAAAATCCAAAAATTGAAAATTAGAAACAACATTTTTAGATGTTTTAAAGTTACGGTAAACATGGCAATCGCTGATCAAAATTACTTTTTACTCCCTTGCAAAAATTCGCTGACAAAAAATCAAAAATCGAAAATTAAAAAAAATAAACATCCATTTTCTCGATATTTTTAAAAATCAAATAATTATTGAGAAATGGGAAAACTGCCAAAATTGTAAAATTAAAAACGGAACGTTTTTTTCAGTTGCCCAGAGAAATCAAAAATCGAAAGACAGATCAAAAAGTTAAAAATTTAAAAAGTCAGAAAGTTCCAAAATAAGACTCACTTTGCCCAAGGACCCACTTTTATTTTTGCAAATGACATATCCTCTAATAAAATAAGGGTGGGTGGGCGGGAAAAATACCTTTCCCTAGAAGAGTAAGTAATTTGCCAAAATGAGTCTTATTTTTGCAAATACTAACCTGGCCCACCCGCCTTTTAATTTCTTAGAGGGTAGGTTATTTGGCAAGTACTAGCAAATTTCGATCTATTTTCGACGATTTTCTAAATTTAACTAAATATTTTTTCTTGTAGATTTCGGGACGCAGAAGTTACTTCCGGCCTCATGTCTTCGATAACTTCAACATTTTTTTCCAGAATTAGTTAATTAATTCAGGGCATTGAAATATCACAGTTTTTAAAAATTTCAAAAAATTCAATACAACACGTACAGAAAGGAGATCTTGCGTCATTTTTGCAAGTAGGTGCATGTTTTCAAGTTCAGTTCGGATTGTAGAGTTTTTGTTCGGATTAAAGAGATATCGAGTTCAACTAGCCTCTCTTCGGATTACTGGATGTTCGGATAATCGTGGGTTCGGATTATAGAAGTTATACTATATTTGAATTACTGAATTTATGAATTAAAAAAATGTCGCATTGAAAGGCACAAGGAAAATTATAACGGGTGTCTAATTAAAAACCTGAGAGTTGTCTTGTACTTAAATTTTTTTTTTTCCATATGTCGATGTGACAAGCGGCTGACACCTTTCCATATTCATTTCGGAAATGACATACAGAACACAACAAAATCTGGTGACATAGCACTCTTGATCAGGTTTTTATTTATAATTATACCCCATATATGGTTTGTCCGAGTTTGTCGTTTGCTTATATTGTAGTCTCATGGTACTACCATTTATGTCGGTACAACATAAGATATAAATGAATAATTAAAACGAAAATTTCTTTAGCAATATAAACCTGAAAACGATAAACCACCTTAAAAGGATGATCGACAATAAATGCGTATAAAGAATTTTTTTTTTCTTTTTTTTATTTATAAAAAAAGCAAATATGTCAACACCCAAAAAATATCTTGAAAGTGGTCACGAAATTATTGGTAATTACTTAATTAGGTACTAACTGAACTTGCAATTTGCCTAGTACCTAAAGTTTTCTAGTAACATTTGGAGAAAAATGATACAATATACATATAAAAAAACTAAAAAACAAATAAATGTTTGTAGAGAACGAATTTTTAATTACTTGACGAAAAAATTTTTCAAAATAGTCCTTAGTAACACGTTTGTATGAATATGATCAAAACTGTTTTAGTGTTCTCGTATTTTATATGAACTTAATATATCTACCAGTGTTCAACGAATTTCAACGCGGATTTAAGTAAAAATCAAACTTCATGTAACATTTTAGAAAAATGGTACAGATGTTGCAATTTTATGAATTAAAAAAAAATTGTTTTGATAATTTGCGGATCTGCGCTTTAATTAAAAACATATTTTTTAATGACACCATAATGTACGAAACGAAGATACATAATATACCTCGTGGCAGAAAACAGTGAACAGCATATAGTATAATTTACGATATTTTATCAATCAAATTTAATTCCATAATCACATATGATTAAAAAACCTTTAATCTTTTTTTACTGCCCAACTTAAATCGAGACATCCGGAATATGACGAAACTATCAAAAAGACAGTTTATTTATTAGTAAAATAATAAACCTTGGCAATCCTTTTTAGCGTGCGTAGATGCTGAATTTTATGAGCGTCTTGTTTTTCAAACTTAATTAAATGCAAAATGCGCTTTATTAATTTTTAAGCAAAACGTTTTGAAAACTCACCAATATATTTTTTGACTGGTTCTGTATAATATGTGGCATACTGAATTTTAGAATTCGGTGAGAATGTCAGTAATCTATGGATGTAAGTGTCATTGCTGTATTTAGCTGGCAGGGAGACGAAATCACCATATCTGAAAAATATGGAATTAAATTACACCACACATATGAAACACTCAAAAAGGAAGCGCAAAACCAGCGTTGTCTTGTTCGCTTGAAAAAAGATATGTTCCATAAAATCATCAATTTTGTATTAGTCAGAGGTAGTAATACACCGTATCGTAGAAATGTTGTATAAATTATTAAACATAATAAGCAAATGCAGAATTATTGGCTGTGAAAAAATTCCATCAGATGCAGAAAACAAGAAATGTGTCAAATCTCCATAGGCATACACAACACTTTAAAAAACGTAGGCAAGTACAGGATTTCTACAAATAATTATAGGGTCCAGGTAGGTCACGAAAACGTGCCGCCTCTCAGTTTTGAACTTTACCAAATACTCAATGACGCATGACAAAGACAAAAAATAAAACTAATTCATTATAACAAAAAGAAACAAATTTATTGGAGTTAAACATCACAATAAATGTTGAAAATGTTCACCATTTTGTTGAAGGCACATGTTCACTCTTTTTTTAATTTTAGAAATGTTCTGTAATCCTTTCGTCAATACTTTGGGCCCATTGGTCAATTGTTCAATTCTGCTCAAGCCGTCTCAAATCATCCACAACTTGCTCAGATGCTGAATCTCTTCCAGGAGATATCCCTTTGTCGACACTGCCACTACGTAAGCACCCAGTGTTTTGGAAACGACTATTTTGTTGTTTTTTTTTTTAACTCGGTCAACATAATATATCCGTAACGAACAGGCGATTGATTTTCAGCAATCAATCATTCTTTGACATTTAACAAATCGTAGAAGTATACAGGGTGTTATGGAATTGAATGAAAAAAATGTAACCGGTAATAGAACTCATTACACTAGTTTACAAGGTTTTATATCCAAAGATAAAAATGATTGAATCCAAAGGATTTGGGGGTTATAATATAATCTTCCGACATATTTTCGTCACAAAAACCTTGATACCTTTGCTCAAAATGTTTTAAATCTTGGTGATCGTGGAGAAAATCGTGTTTGTAATTTTCATTGTTCTTGTTTCCTAAGAATTCTTTCACCACTAATTTGAACGATCTCCAGGCCGCTTTTTCAGTTGAAGATAAACAGTCTTCAAACTTCACATTTTTAAGAACTTTTTTTATTTGTGGGCCTATAAATATATCTTATTTAAGATAAAATAAAGATAAAACTAGGAAAAACATCCTGTAAATACTTGAATGCAGTTGAGCCCAAAAACTCAATTTACACGGTTTCAACCCGGAAAATGATCATGTATTGATTTCGACCGTGCAAGCCTCCGAATACCTGCTAAGATAAGACTGATTTTGGCAAATAACATACCCTCCAAGAAAAGAAAAGCCGGGTGGGTGGGGCTAGTACCTGCTAAGATAAGCCTGATTTTAGCAAATGACGTATCCTCTAAGAAATTTAATTAAATTATTATAAGAAATAAAAGGTCAGGTCAGAATTTTCCAAAAATAGAACATCAAAGTCCTCCGACGTAGCAAAATAACCAATTTTAAAATCATTATAACCCCACCAAAATGTGCTAATGACTTTTTTACTATTTTTCCCAGACTCACCAGTTTTATGTTAACAGCGTAGCGTAGAGTCAATCCGCCATTTACAGACACCCGGTATAGCAAAGTTTTATATATTGATGAGTTCTACTACCAGTTAAATGTTGTGCATTTAATTCCATAATAGGCTGTATATGTTTGTAGATTTCTAGGAACGTTTAGGTTTATACGATGCTGAATTTGTTGAGGAAAAACACCACTATTGTAGTTAATTTTATTTCCCAAAGCTTCGAAGATTGTTCTTTCGTTCTTCTTCACGATGAATCAGAAATCAAACAGTGGTGTTTTTCTCAAGAAATTCAAATATAGGTATGTCGATTATTTAGAGACTAGATGGTTACCGAAATTACCCAATTGATCACTTCGTTTTTTAAATTTTCGTTTTGTTGTAACAAGTCACAATATTGCCAACCAAACTGTCAGATTTTCATAAACAGCGCGTATTTTAAACAATCGTGAACTTACTTAGTTATATGTACTATAAATTGTTGAATACTTAAATTCCAACATTAGTAAGTTATTCAAAGTTGACAGAAAAAATCAATTAAACAAATAGGTTAACTTATTTTTATATTTTTTACCTGTTCAAGGGAGTGATGGGCCAGTTTCTAATTCTAGGTACAGGAAGATGAATTTGTTTCAAAAGAGACGCCGTCTGTGCCCTTATTAACCTCGTTTCATCGTCAAATATCTGAAATTATTATTAACCTAAATTAATATTTGCTACAAAATTTGTGAATATATTAAAAGCTATGCGACGGTGCCCCATGTGATATTTCAGCTGATTTTTGGTTAAATCATTTTAATTAGTAATTTTACTTATTAAATAGAATGTTATTATATTATTATATAACAGATTAAGGGTTATGTGCCATATTTATATACCTCGTTCACGAATAACATGGTTCCATAGTCCTTTAAACTAAACTGTGACGTCATTAATAACACAGAAAATAACAACATATCGTGAACAAAATATAAACGTTATTAAATATACATAGACGTATAAATACATACCGGATGGCCAGCTGAAAACTATCCACCCTTATTATGTCCGAAACTATGTGCCACATAAAAATAATGTAGGCACGAATTTATTTTCTCTACCATTAACCTGTCTAAAATCTTAAAGCAAAAAATCACTTTCCTTTCCTAAATTCGGAAATGGTTTTTTATATAATATATAGCTAACTTTTCCTCGTTAACGTTTCTGTTGTGTGTTTATTATTATGCTATCGACGTTGACGGGAAAACTTAGCTAGACATAAATACCTAAATCGCATCAAAATTGACTAAGTGCAAGTACATATATCGGACTTATTGAATTCAGAATAGTAGTCTTATGGCACTAACTGCATTTTGGTCCAGTCTTTTTCAAATTCGTTTTTGGTTTATGAAAATATCAATTATGACAAAATAAACTAAGTAGAGGTTATGCAATATTTTACATCGTTTTTAGTCCTTTAAAAGTTTTACAATAATTTTTATAACCAAAAAAATTTTAGCGTAAATACTGTTGGTCAGATAGATATTAACATTAACCGATCCTTTATAAAATGAAGTGAATATTGCTACTTGCAAAATAATAATTATTACCTGAAAACGCATTTTTTGAGCAAATTATTATAATACTCACCCTGTATAACATGACAAACCGCATTTGCCATTATAGTCAATAAATCGATTATATCAAATTAATTTACTGTTAAAGTGTAGTGGGATTTTTATGTAATTTGTTCGCAAATCGAGAATAATTTTCTATAAAAAAAATATGATGGGGTGTATCATTCCGCGTATTGGTAAAATAAATCCTAAACTGAAATATTTGTATATGTTAAAATATATTCTTGCTTTGCTATAAAAACGTATTTCGTTTGTATACTTCGGTCTGTTTCAGAAATTTAAGGGTGAATTAGTTTCGATGGATCACCCGGCTAAGTACAGCTAAGTAAGATCGCTTCCCAGACAATTTGGACAAAAGATCAACGAAACTTAGTCACCACTGCTTAATAGTACAAATTATCTTGAAAGCTGCGAAGAAATAGGATAGGTATCTGTTTTATTTTATAAACAGGGTTGGGATTGACTAGGTATGTATAAAGTATATAGAAAAAATATCTCTGCTTTACATTTGCTAAAATCAAAATTCTATATGTGCTAAATTCGTGCTATGAATTTAGACCGGTCATGGTTAGTTCTCATTTAGTCTAAGCAACACATACAATAGAAGATCCTACACTTAAACCAATTCAAGCCTTGAAATGTTTCCGAAGATGCAATAACCAAAAATAAGTAAATACACAGGTTAAATATTAGCATGAAGAAAGAAGATCACACACCCTCTGATGAGTTGCCAACTCGAAGAATTGAAATGAAAATTTTCTGTTACCTACCATGCACTAAAAAGCATGCATTGCAGTGAGTTATTTACAAACTGCAGACTGAAAGAAATGTGGATGACAGCCAGATTTATTTGAAATGATGCCAACAGGAGTAAAATAACAATAATTATTGGGTTAAACATTTACAAATATTTCTGGAATTCCAAATATCTTATACAACAACAAATATAAGTACGTAAATATATTATGATCGCCCCTGAGTGTGTAACATAATACCCAAACAATAAGGTTGGATGAAAAAAATGCGAAATTACAGATGCAACCAGTAGAGTTGCAAAAAAATATAAGGTTATGTATATCATTACATTTTCTGTTTTCCAATAAACAGTTTTCGTATCTCTAATTACTGGTTTTACAGAAATTATAATTTGCCAGATAATTACGACATAAATCTGGCACATCTCATTTGCCATTTTGCTACTAATCTGATAATTTCTGGTTTAGTTGGAGTGGGACATCAAATCTGATCATCTACAGGTTGATATAAAAATTTTGTTAACCATAGTTCTTTAAATTATTTTGGGATTTCTGGTATTTTTCCGTAATGCAGCTGACCGAAGTATACATATAACAAACATATGTATTAAAATAATTATACTCTGCAAGTATATCGGGTGAGCAACACAATTTGTAATCGAGTCATCATTGGAACTGAATCCGTATGTTTTCTCTGAAATCTTCTCTAAAGGTACGTCATAAAATCTTTTTAACAGAATTAATTTTAATTGCCGATAATAATTTTAATAACTTCACACTTGTGTTATTAAAAATCTTATTAAAAAGTGTCCTCCATTTTTTCATGTACAGTTGTAATTTTTTTACATTTATAAGTGTAGTTTAATCAACGACATGGTAAATGCTTTCCAATGATGACTCAACTAGAAATTAAGTTGCCGCCTGATAGATAGCCCGAGAATTAATCGATTTTGGCTTTCTCTTTTTTATGTACTTAGTAGTAGTATTAATTTATTAATTGCCTACAGGCTTAATAAGATTCCTAGTAGGGGTACAAAGTAACTTAATCCACATAATACAAATAAATCAATAAAATAAATAAAATATTGTTCTATTTTTTCAGCTTGCCCACCTTGGTTCCCTTATCTTCCGTACTTCTTTCATCCAGTCCAGTCCTCTTCCATCCTCGTTTAGCACTTCTTCCCTAATTTCTTCCGATTCTCTCAATCCTTCACATTCTTCCAGCATATGCTCTATTGTTTCTCCCTCTCTCCAACATATCCTACACCTTTTGTCAGTTTCATCCATCCAAAAATTATTCTCTTTCTCTTCATTTCCACTCCTAAATCTCGCCATCATGCTTTTCTCCTTTATACTCTCTCTCTGTGTACTTTGGTATTTCATCCTTTACTATTTTTCTATACTCTGCATTATATCTAGACACTTACACTCCGTTCTTCTTTCATACTCCTTCCCATTTCTCTTATTCTCTCTATTTCTTCACATGCATATCCCTTTCCTTCATAATATTTGTCTCTTTCCTTCCAAACATGTTTTCCTCCTTCCTTCCTTTCTTATTTCTTTCCAACATTCTTTCAATATTTTACAATCACCTCTCTCACGAAACTTTTTGTTTCTTCTCTCACTGTATACCCCAGCATATACTTTTCCAATCCCAAACAGCACCATTTTTGTTTTTTCCACATTCACTTCCAATTCCTTTTTTTGTACGTACTTCTCGAAACTTTTAATCATTGTTTTCATTTCTTCTGGTTTCTTTGCCACACTCACCAAATCATCTGCGTACGCCAACGACCACACTTTCTCTTTGCCCACTACCACCCCTCCTGTCTGTGCTTTCCTGAACATTTCATCTATATCTCCTAGATAAGCTGCAAACAATGCGGGGCTGAGTGGACATCCCTGTCTCACCTCCAGGTGCCTTTCCTCTTTTTAGTCTTTCAATCTGTCTTCCTATTTCATCGTCTGTTATTTCCGAACCTCTCCACATTTCTTCCGTCGTTGTGATTCCTGTGTGTCTTTTCCATTCATGTATTTTGATTTTCCTACTGACTTCAGTCTTCCTTCTCCGTTCCTTGTTTATATATCTCCATACTTCTTCTTCTGTTTTCAGGGACTTTATTGTCTTCTCGTCTTCTTCCCGTTTTTCTCTTTTTCTTTCTTCACATTTTCACCTTTCTCTCTTACTTTTAAATACTCTTCTTTCCTTCCCCTGTTATTCTTCCATTTTCTTAATTTTTGCTTTGCTCTTCAACTCACTACATTCTCCGTTCCATCCATTATTCCTCTCTTGCCATAAGTATATCTTTCTTTTCTCCCTAGCTTCTACAATTAAGTTGATCAGATCTGCTATCATAACTTCTATATCTTTTTTTACTTCGAATTTCTTTTTTTCTAGTCTATTTCTGTATCTTTGAATTCCCTCTTCATCCCATATTCTTGTTCTGTTTCTTTTCTTTCGTTTCTTCTCTCTTGTTTTTCGTACTCTTGCTCTTTTTTCTTTGATTTTTATTTCTAGTGGCATGTGGTCTGATCCTATCCTTTCCCCCACTGTGAAACTCTTTGTTTCTTCCCATACCTTTATTGGTGTTAAAAACTTACAAATACAGTTTTACACAAGTCAAATAATAAATTAAACCAATAAACTATTAAAATTTCTACATCGAAGATAATCCTCAAAACTATAAAAACAATTTATAATAAGAAAAGTTTTGATTTTTTTTTTTAAATATATTAATAAGCTTACTACGAAATTCTTCGGGTAATATATTAAAACATTTCACAGCGAAGTATCTTGTGCCTGTTTGTACCCTCTTCAAATGATTTGAACTGGGAACTAAATTTTCTTTGTTTCGGGTGTTGTACAAATGAATGTTAGTGAACGTAGAATAATTGCCAATATTGTCTTTGAGATGTAATAAACAATGTAGGATGAAAATTGAAGGCACAGTTAAAATTTTAAGTTCAACAAATGCAGATCTCCAATCATCACGGTACTGAAGTCCAGCTATAATCCGAATAAGTTACCATACTCAATTGAAAAGTGAAAAAATGCAAAATAGGCAACTATTAATGTTTTTTGTGATACATTATTACTTAGTTGTCTCAAAGGGTATGTGTTCTTATTTAGTTTCTTAGCTAATGTATCTCCACGGGCATTCCAGAAAAGCTGGTCATCGATGGTAATGCCAAGAAAAAGTGCATTATTGGCTTGACCTAAATTTAACGTTACGCTGGTTTTAAGACTGAGGAACATGTACGCCGATTTGTCGACATTCATACCTAAACTGTTGGTATCAAACCATAGTTTCGCCTTAGATTGTGCTTCCAAACTTTTATCAATGCAGTCATTTAGACTGCTACTGCTGTTTAGTATGGTGGTGTCATCAGCGTATAGAATAACTTTTGAGTCTTCTATATTGGATGGTAAGTCATTGATGTGGACTAAGAATAAAAGAGGGCCTAAGATAGATCCCTGAGGTATGCCATATTCCACAGGAGAATTAGAAGATGTTCCATCAACCGTGACTTTTTCGATTCTATTGGAGAGATAGGATGACAATAAACGACAACTAGTGGGATGTAAATTATAGAAATAAAGTTTACGAATCAGAATCGAATGGGAAACACAATCGAAGGCCTTGGTAAGATCTAGAAAAGAAATTGTAGTTAAAATACCTTTGTCAAAGGAATTTGTGATTTCATCAACAATATCAGTAATGGCTTTCGAGGTGTTTAATCTGGGCCTGAAACCGAATTGGTTGTCACATAACACATTCTTTTCCACAAAATAATTACATAATTGACCCATCAAAATTCTCTCCAGAACTTTCGATAAAATGGGCAATAGCGATATCGGTCGGTAATTGCTGATCTCATTGGGTTCCCCCTTTTTAAAAATTGGTAGGACATTTGAAATTTTCAAGCAGTCGGGGAAGTAAGTGTTTTAATACTTGAATTAATTAATTTCGTATTATGACATCCAGAACGGTTTTGACTATTTCAACGCTAAGACCATAGATATCTTTGGTTTTACTATTTCTTAATTTTTTTAAAACATCACGAACTTCAGCGCAAGACACTTCGCTAAACTGAAAATACATTGAACTATTATCACAGTTATTATTGCACATTAACAGAATGGGATCACAGTTTGAATGAGGAAGCATATTAATCACATTTTTTGCGATGTTACAAAAAATAAACATTAAAATCATGAGCACTTTTATTACAACCGCATATTTTATTCCTTTTCTTAACACTTCGTTTAGAATTAAATATAGACCACATTGCTCGCATTTTATTATGAGATTGATTTATATATTTATCGTTAGCACTGATTTTTGCGTTTTTAATTGCTTCTCGATACATTTTGTGATATGAGTTTCTAGCTTTTTTGATATCAAGACGATTTGTTAGAAGATAACTTGGATAAATTATTTTTCATAGTTTTTAGATGGTAAGAATACCAATGAATGCGTTTACAATAAGATGGTTTAATTACTTTTTCTGGGAACGAGATACAAACATAGTGCTGCAAAACATTGAGAAAATCTTCAAACGCTTTGTTTATGTCATATGCGCAGTTACAGGTGATAGAATTCCAATCAACCCCTTCAAGATGTTTATACAAACAAAATTTCCCAATTTCAGTGATTGGTCTAATGATTAAAGAATTCTCATTAAATTGATGGACTGGAATATTTGTTTCAAACCATATTCCCAAATGGTCCGAGAGGCCTAAGTTTATGGGTTGAACATGAACAGAATGAGTTTGTATATTCGTGAACACATTGTCTAGACGATTATTCCCAATAGTATTAAAATTAACTAACGGCTTTAAACCATATCCTAGAAATAAATCTAACAGATTATTTTTCCTTGTGTTGTTAGCATTAAATACGATATTGAAATTGCCACCTATGATAATATTTTTTGTAATATCCAAACAGGTAAGCAGTCTATTTACAATAGCTATGAATTCGTCAAAGGCACTAGATGGAGGTCGATATAATGAGACAACTGTTAAATTCATGGAAGGTATTAGAATAGCAGATATTTCACAAATTCTGCTGAAGGAGAGCGCTGTTAATTTGGGAAAACCATCCGCTTCAAATTGTTATTGGGCGAATATAATCGATCCCCCATATCCGTCATTATCTCTTAAGAAGCAAGATTTTATTACATACTCATCAATCGTCACAGTGTCACAATAGGCACTCGTCAACCAGTTCTCAGTGAGACATAGGATGGAAGGGTAAAATTTATGCTCCGCAAGGAATGCTTCTATTTCACCAATTTTGTTTCTTAAAGACTGGACATTAAAAAACAAGATTCTGATTTTGTAATTATCTGTGGTGGGTCGGATGTGGTTGCGTATCAGTTTTGGACTTTTTGCCGTTGTCCTTAAAAAGTTGTCATATTTGTCTCTTCTCTTTTGTATTGGGAAAGATCGTTTGTCTGTTCTTTTGGAAAATAATACCGATTTAGTACTATTCTATTAGGCCAAAAATTTTCTTTCAATATTTTGTCTTTGTCCTAAAGTCGGATCGTAATTTTGAAAGATGCTATTCTATCTTTGTTTTTGAGAGAGAGCTTTTTCACTTTCAAGTTGCAAACTGTCCCAATTTCTTCTATTATCTTCCACAATATTTTCCCTGCTTTGATATTTGCCTTATCTTTTGATCCTCTTTTCTCTCCCTTTTCTTTGTCTATTATTTTTGTTTCCTTATCGCCCAGTCTTGCGTTAAAATCCCCTCCTATAAGTATTTTTTCATCTCCTTTTTCTTTTGTTTCCTTTTCTATGTTTATCTCGGTTTCCTCAATTTTCTTTTCGAATTCCCATTACTATTCTCTCGCTTGTTCTCCCCTTTTTCTTTGCCTTTGTCGCCCATTGACACTCCCGCATTCTTGTGGTAGTGTCTCTTCAAATTTCTCTTTTTTATGTGTTTTTGATTTTTTTGTTGTTGTAATAATAAAAACAAAAAATAAACAAAATATCCATTTATCCATTCCAACAATCACAGCTGCTTTTAAAATATTAACATTAGATACTTTGTCAGCGTTGACGCAAAGTAGATGAATAGTTACTAAACTTATTATCTCAAAAACTATTCAATAAATACATTTACTCCATGTTAGTATCGCAAACTATAAGCGAGATATTTGTTGCAAAACAATATTTCAAGATATTTCTTATTTTTAAATCATACTGTCCCAACACTGGATACAAATAAACAGATTTAGATCACATACTTACACTTTGCAAATACTCAAGTACATTAGGTGATAATCGACCCATATACATAGGGTGATATTTCAGCCAATAAAGTGACCTTCTTGGGGAAAGAGCAGTCAAAGTTACGTAGTTTCTCCAGAAGTCGTTATATAAAGTTGAATATCTATACTCTGGCCGATAGTGAATGTAGTAATTAGAGTAAGGCCAGTAAGATAGCGGCCAAGAGTATTTATAATAATCTGGGTAATATCCCGTTAAAGAAGTATATTTCTGAAAATAACGTGATTTGTCACAAATAAAGAAATATAAAATTATGTATAGATGACTCGGTTTATGGGTTTTCTGAGAAAAGAAGCTATGGCAAAGTTACTCACATACATTTATGATGAAACGTGAAATTTTGGTACATACATATTCTATATAAACACGTATTAATTTGATTCACTTTTAAAATTCCTATATTTTTTCGTTAAAGAAAGTGAACTCTGAGGATTTAGTACATCTCCATCACGAAGTGAAATAACTGAATAGGTAATTAAAACTCATATTTCGTTAAAATAGCTGTATTTTCGTTTTTAGTGTAGCGAAAAAACTATAAGAATATATCTCTACAATCTTCACACATAGTGCAATGCTAGTGTCCCCGAATAACCTTGTATGTAAAAATTTGTAACAAACCTACGTACATTAAATCAGTTTTATCTTAACAGACTCATCAAAATTACTAGGACACAAATTAACACTGACACTGAACGTAGCCCTTCCGGTTTCACTGGAAATAAAGACAGTTTTAATTTTCAATGGAATGACTTCTGCTTTCTCACCCTTTTTTTGAAAAACTTATAGTTTCCTCAAAATAGTAACACAATATTTTTTTACTCAAATTTTTTAACCTGATATAAGTTTTTTGTTACTGTATCGAGGAAACAACAAACTTTCCAAAAAACTATGAAAACGCAATTAGTTGCAAAAAGCGCTTAAAACACAAAAATTATATTCATTTTCGTGAAAACGCGAAGTGCTACGGTCAGTCACATGATGCGCTAAATCGGCCTTTATAAAGCTGTTATCATATTTGTAATTTGTTTCCGAAATAATAATTTCACCGAATAAGTTGAAAATGAAACATCGTGCATAGTATATTAAAAATTACAGACTTGAAAAAAACTAAAAGTGAGACAGGAGCGGATCTCAAAAGACAAACACAAAGAAAAAATAAAATTAAAGAATGATTAAAAAGAAACCAGCCGGAAAGAGGATACTAATTATTCGAGAAGTTCTAATAACAAAATTTTACAAAATATCCAGAAAGAATTGAATTTAATGCAGCCTGGGTGGACCATGAACAGAGTCAAAACATACAAGCAGCTTTCGATCAGGAAAGTCTTTAATAAAATTGTAGGTAAACATTTTTTAAGATGATTTCTGAAATATCTTAGACTACCAAACAAAACAGTTTTAAAGAATAAAAGCAACGAAAAAAGTATGAAGAAAAAATAGAGTATATATCACGTTACGATAGTAATAAATTGAATATATGGAAGAGATATTTGGAGGAAGATGAAAACTGGACAAAAATGTATGTTGGTAATTAAATTGCATATTACCTATGTGAAGATATCAATGTAAAATAAAAAATACAACAAAAAACAAATATATCTTTTTGATTGCACCACATGACAATTTTTACATATATATATTCTTAAAAATCTGTACCCACTTAACACTTTTTCGTTTGAAAATTGCACGAAAAAAAATGCTTCGGTAATACGTAAGGCGCAAAACTATTTTATTTTTAGAGTAAAGCAGTTAGTAAAATGAAAATTTATGATCACATATACATATGTATTTAACTTTACGAAGAAATGCATTAATTTGAGTGAAAAACTTTGTAACCAAATGCTTGCAAAAATTATGAATTTTATTATGTAATAACACATAATGCATACTTACACGTGCTAATTTAAGAGGTCGATAAAGTGATAAATCATCAAGATTGCTATAAGTTTTATAATAACTTGGCCAATAATGATAATAATGCCTATAAGTTGACCAATAATCATCGTATGAACTCAACGGGCGAATTATCCTGTAGTAGTTGTAATATTCAGAGGGTTTATATGTAACACGATAGTTTAATCCTCTTAATGGGTTATTAACATAAACATATCTCTGAAAAGGCAAATATCATTAATGATAATAATTACTGCTTTACGTTACAAGCATTAATTACATTAAATTTTAGATAATATATGGAATATATATTTAGTTTTAATTTATCTCCAGAATTAAGTGCAGTATTATTATAATATTTAATCTTGTCTCTCATAATTATAACACATTAATCCTAGAGATCAAACTAACTTTAGTTTTTACTGTCCAGCGAGAGACTTTTTTATAATTTTCTTGATTCATTTGGAAAAATAAGTTTATTCACAATCTTTCCAAACTATAAATTTCAGATAACTCGATTTTATTTTCAAGCTAGTTAGAACGATTGTGAATAAAATAGTACACAAACCTTGAGGAAAGTTTCATTCCTTGCTCGAAAGTAATGAATGACTTTCCACCTCGGTATGTAATAGTACACTATTCTTCCGAAATGGATTCTACATGATTTAAATTAGTACTTACTATTTACATATATTATATATTTTGTAATCTAAAGCTGAACAGAATTTGCTGTTAATGTAGCCATTCGTGGATTTTATTGGTTAGTAGTTTGATCGGACCTAACTTAACCAGTTAAGTTATAATGAGAAAAACAAAATAATAAAGGTTTGGTCAGTTGGTTCATTGGACAACATAAGTGTGGTTGTCCTATTTTATTTGTAAATAAAAATACATACGCTCTATTAGCATCATATAAAAAAAATCTTATTAAATCAAACATTGTCAATTATATGACGTTTGAAAATAAACCTTTTTTTTTAAGTACAAAGGTCCCATAACTTAACTGGCGCAGTCGGCAGAATATTGGGAGTTTTCGATCGTAAAAAAAAATCACTTTTAAGTGTTCACCCAGTATTCAATAAGTATACTACGGCATTGTTGTAAGTGTCAGAATTCCCAACTACCGAAAAGAGTAAAAGTCCTGAAGTAATTTTCTAGAAAATTCTTAATTAATCCCTAATTTTCTTCCTGTCCCGTTTTTCTATATAATAAAAATACCTGAATTACAAGAGTTCATTCTGACATTATTCCAATATTTGATGGCAAATCCACAGAACTGAGTTTCTTTATAAAAACTCTGGACAATATTACACGCCAATTCTATCTACGACAATGCAAACGCTGATAATTTTCAGAATAAGTTTCCATTTTCTACATTCACTAATAAGTTACATGAATTAATAAGAAATTTTAGTGACCATCGCAATGAAACAAATTTAATTTTCCGTGGAATCAAGAGAAGTCAATAAAAAAATACTTAAAAAAAAGGTTTTTCTATGATCCGGAGTTCGTCTTCACTATCACAAGGTTCTACTAGTGAAATACTGTAATAACAGGTCGTCATTACGTATTCATATCATTGGGATAGCCTTTTTTTCTCTTTGATAGAGCTCTTGTGACAATATTCAAAACATGAAGAAGATCATAAGAACCTCATTTACCCAGATTTTCGGTACAACGAATGAACTTCTCACTAAAGAAAATCCAGACATGAATCAAGTAAGAACCAATATACAAGTCCTCGAACAGAAAATGAAGAATAATAGTCAGTTAAATCAGAGATACCTCAACTTGTTATTTGATCAAGACCCTGAAGATGTCGATTTCGATTCTGAGATGGCAAAAATGGATGAGGACATGTGTAAATTCTCAGCTCTAAAAATGAAAGTGGAAACGCAGGTTAATTTATCAGTACTAAAGTATTCTCAGATAGAATTTAGAAAATTTGGTAGTGACATTCGTGACTAGTTGTCATTTTGGAGTCAGTTTAGAAGAACTCCGATCTTTAGAGACTCTAGGTGTGCAGTCCGTTAAGAAAATAGAGGGCGGGTGGGCGGGGCTAGTATTTGCTAAGGTAAGACTGATTTTGCCAAACAATATATCCTTTAAAGAGATTTTTCTGTACAGTATGACTTCCAGAATTAATTTTCCCTTCATTTCTTCGAAAATTCCTGCCATTTTTCCAAAATTGTCAGGATGAAATATGACAAATTTTTGAAAATTTAGGAAAAAAGCTTTTCAAACCGACATTTCCAAAATCTTGATCTAGAACTTTCCACACGCTGTGTTTTTCGATTCAGCTTGTGGAAATCTATATCGCAGGATTTTTGTAGATTTTTAGGCAATTTTTCTAATTTTTATTTTATTTTATTTATTTTGATAATTAAAAAATTACCCTTCAAAACGAATATTTCCAAAATCTTGGTCTGGAACAATCAATACGCTGTGTTTTTCGATTCAGCTCGTTCAAAACTATGTATACCTCAGATGTCATTTGGATTTTTAGCCAAATTTTCAGTAGGTACTCTTTATGAAGTGTTTGACCTTTTTTCACCAATTTCGAAATTTTCCCAAAGAGATTTTTCTGTAGATTACAATCTTCAGAATTTATTTTCGGTTCTAATTTGTAAAAAATTCCTACCATTTTTCCAAAATCGACAATGTGAAATGGCATTTTTTGAGAATGTAAAAAAATGTCTATCAAACCGAATATTTCCAAAATCTTGATCGGGAACTCTCTGTGTTTCTCGATTCAGACTGTGAAGTTATACATCCCAGAATTTTTTGGGAATTTTTAGACAAATTTTCAAAAATCTCAATTTTTCATTACCTGAAGAGATTTTTCTGTAGATTACGATCTCTAGAATTTATTTCCACTTTATTTCGTCGAAAATTCCTACTACTTTTTCAAAATCGTCAAGATAAAGTATGTCAGTTTTTGGAAAATTAAAAAAAATATATATCTTTCTTCTTGTTTCAGCTATCGGTTACGAAATCCTTAGAACAGAAGAACTTATTCATGCTATAGTGTCTATTTGGAAAATCACACTTGTCATTTTGAAGCCTTGGACTAATGTATTGGGTGTACGAAATAGTCCATAGATGAAAGAACTGCAAGACCTTAACATCAAAATCAACGACAGAAGCCAAAAACCCATCGATATCTTAATCGATGCCCATATATATAGCAGGAAAACTCTTCTGTGGTGAACAACATATTCTAAAATGTGGTTTAGTTTCCATGAAAACTAAACTAGGCTGGACTGTGATGGGTAAAGTTGCCACTCCACGAAGAAGCTAATTTTGTTCATCACCAACAAAATTTTGACCCACTTGGGTTTGTGTCACCTGTACTTTTACTGCCGAAAATGTTACTTTAGAGAACTTGGATGATACAGTTGAACCCGACTACATCACTTCCCGAAGACTTAAAAGAATCCTTTTTACGATGGTTGAATGATTTGAATTGTCAGTTTGTTTTTAATAACTTATATATAACTTTGTTTATAGTCAAGTTAGGTCCGACCTTATAAGCTCAAGTGTGTTATTACACTTTGAACCATCCAAATGTTAATCAAAAATTTATCCATGAAAATTGTAAAAAAAAAACGAAAAATGCAAGTTATTGATCGATTTCAATGAACGATTAAGTAACTTCAAAATTATTACTTGAATAAAAAATTAATTACACAAGTAAATCGACAAAAATAAAAGTCGTTTAGCTAAGTTCAGAATAAAGGCAACTTTCCTCTTTTATATAAAATTTGTGACTTTTTAGATATAAGTACAATAAAACAACGTATAGTTTCACTTAGAAACGAAAAGTTGTCTTTATTTAAAGATAATTGAAAACGGCGGTGATCAAAAACTAATTTTATCGGCAGATAAAAATAATATTAAAATTGAAGTACTATAAAAGTACTAAAAATATTTTGTTTTGTAAACAAAACAACGGTAATATCACAAATATTGCATAAAAATATTTTAAAAAATATGTCACAATTTTAAAACTTGAATGGATTAATAATTCCAAGCATTCAACTTACCACAGTAGAATCAGAGTTGAGGTAGCGATTAGTTGGTGAATATGCAACCCAAGGCCTAACTTTGCTTTCTATCCAATCATATTCCCTTTGAAGAACTGAAGACCTTGTGGAGTAAATTTTTGGTGGCAGTGTTACAACTGTCAGTCTCTTGTGACCAACATAAGGTACTATTCGGTCGTATGAATGCACGACATGAACCTGAAACCAAACAGAAAGAGGTACGAGGTTATTTGTAAATTAAACTAATAATGTACTTACTTTGCCAAGCCCTGGAAGAATCCTCACTTGTCTAGACAATGCAGGCTACCTCGGAAGAAAGTCCAAGAAGATGACATAAAAGAAAGAAAAAAAAATTATTATTACAATGTACACACATAAACAAAATACATGCGGGGGTGAAAGTTTACCCATTTTATGCAAATTTTTTAACAAAATATAACTCGTTTGGGGTCATAATTTAGGGCTATTTTCAGTTATGCAGGTGTTTAAAAGTTATGCAACTCAGCTGCATAATTTGAAATTTAACACCCTAGATTTTTTTGACTTCTTGCCAAAAAAGTTGCCAAACTACGAAACTAAAAGACAAAAATACTCTTCTACGTCGTCCACTCTTCCCTTCTATTGCCAGTGTCATAAAAGCACTACTCTTAATTGAGAAATTAAGAAATAGTATATTATACGACATCACCAGGGCAAATATTTTTCGATAAAAATGCCAAGGTTTAGAAATGATATCTTGTTTTTGTAGTAATCTAGTATTTTTCAAAGACATTGAAAAACACAAGTGTGATAAGTCGTTAAATTTAAAGGATATTGAACTTACAAATCTAAGCCAATTTGTTTTGCATACCGATGCCAAATTATGAGCATGGAAAAAGTGACCTATAAAAATATAAGTTTTCTAATAAAAACTGTTACATATATTATACATACATTTAGGCAGACATCCAACGAATAAAAAGTTCTAACATAAACAATCATCATTTTAGATTATTAATAATATTTTATTTTAGCATATGCGAAAAATTTCCTGAAATTTCCAAAATTATCATAACTTCAGTGTAGTTTTGTTCCAAACTTAGGAAATCGTAGTTGGATGAGTGCAAAATTTTACGCAATCGCGTAGTTTTAGAGTAAAAAAATGGATCTTTACATATCTGTATCAATTAACCTATATATTTTTACAAAAAAAACATTTCAAATCCTACTTAATTTTCAACTTTCAACTTTTGCAGTGGGATTCCATATTGAATTTAGATTTATTTGTATCCCAGAACGTTAAATTAAGAAGACGGAAGATGGTTATTAAAAATCCAGGTTATTTTATTAGGACACCCTATCTTTGCTGTGCTGACAAAGTGAATTACTCGTTCACATCGCAGTTCAGTTCCCATTTTACAACCTATTTTTAAACAGTCCGCCGACCAAAACGATGAATTTAACCCCACTCATGTCTCTTAGAAGATCAGTGGTGTCAATGTGCCCAGTTGGCTCAGTATGGTGAGGGTTATCTATGGGTATCATCTTATCGTAGCTTTGGCCACTGATGGCGTCATCTGTTTTTTTTTTCTACACTGATAGAGTTCATAAATAATAAATACATTTTGTAGTGTAATAAAAAACCCGGATTTTTGAGATAAGTTTTATGTTTTAATTCCAAACAAATTTTAATTTTAATTTGGCGAAGTACACGGCTAGTCATTGCTCCATATCCTTTTCCTTTAATTAATATTTAGAGACGTTCGTTAAATTTTTTGCTCTTTGTCTGATAGATGCTTTTATCGTATTTTTCGCTCATTTTAATCAAAATTTTAGATAATAAATGACGTAACAAAAGGAAAAACATACGATCCATTATTGCTAAGACAAGACTGATTTTGGCAAATAACATACTTTCTAAGAAAATAGAAAGTGGGTAGCCGGGGCTAGTATTTGATAAGATAAGACTAATTTTGGCACTTTTGACATTTTTGATTATTTTTCAACTATTTTTGAAAATAGTGCAAAAAAAATTACGATTAGGTCTTTTTTTTACTTTTGCACATCCTAGATTCTATTATTAGTTGTCACTCCCATTCAACAGAACATATATAATTAGCCCCCGAAGAATCTAGCAAAATCTAGAAGAATCTGGAAGAATCTGAACGGTTTTTACAGGACTCTGAGGCAATGTGGAGAAATTTGAAAGCAAATATTATTATTATTATTATTATTATTAAAATCTAGAGAATACTAGAAAGTCTGAGGGAACCTAACAGAATTTGAGAGATTTGTAAAGAAACTGAAGGAATTTGAAAGAATCTAAGTCAACTTGTGAGAATCTAAGAGAATTTTGAAGAATTTCGAAGAATTTAGAAAAATCAAATAGAATCGAAGAAAAAACTGGAGGAATCTGTAAGAATTTGGAAGAATCTTGAGGATTTTTGATGGTGTTTGATAAAATCTAAAAAAATTTGATTGGAAACAAACATACGGAATAATCAGAAAGACTAAAAAAAATTGAAAAAGTCTGAAAGAGAGAAACAGAAAGAAAATGAAAGAATTTGAAAGCATTTGTGAGAATATGGAGGAATTTGAGGGAATCTGAGAGAAATTGCTAGATCGGCAATCTAGAAAAATCTGGAAGAATTTGGAAAAGTCTGCAGCGATCTGAAAGTATCTGCACGGTTTTAAAACCACCTGAATACAATTAAAAAATTGATGAAACAATCCGAACGCGTCCGGAATAATCCGAAAGAATCCAAAAGAATCCGAAAAAATTAGAGGGGATAAGAAATAATCTAGACGAATCTAAGCAAACCTGGCAGAATCTGAAAGAATTTGAGAGAATCCAGAAAAATGTAGAAAAAACTAGAAGAATCTGAAACAGTCTGCAGGGATATGAAAGTATCCACAGCGATCTTGAAGAATTCTGAGAAAATCTGAAGGAATCTTTAGGGATATTGAGAGAATCTGAAAGAATAGAATAAATTTGTAGCAACGTGTGTTTTTTGTTGAAACTTTCGCATTAATTTTTCAACATATTGAAACTAAAATTTATGGAAAACTTGATTAACAGGAATTAAGACAATTTTTTTCCGAAATTCTTATTAATATTGAAATTAATCAAATACGAAGTAGAATAAACAAGAATTATGTACGAAGATACTCCAACACTGTTATTATAACTCACCATTAGGATATCAAAAGCTAACAATCTATTAAAATCATTATTCAAGGACTATAGATTGATCCTGTACGAATTGATTTTGCGCTAAATATGACAATATTTCATTATTTTTTATCTCAAAATTTGTCAGTTAAATAGTTTTAATACAAACTTAAGAAATTTCGGACAACGAAACTGTTAGTCTTTATTTTTTTTTCAAATTTTTGATTTGCATTTTCAACAAAATCCCTCATTGCATGGCTTTTGCTGGACCATTTTATTCTTTGTTTTTTTCTTATTTCTTCTTTAGCTTTTATGGTATGGATTTTCAGACGATAAACTATCATTCTTGCACTAAATTTTGTTTTGCTGTTGCAGCATGTTGGAAATTGTATTGAATGATAAATCGAATTTTTCCTAAAATTATTATTCTTTAAATAATCTCTCAAATTATAAAATATTTGCTCTACTAAAATTGCTATTTGGAACGCAAAGCACCAGTTTTATATTCTTTGAATGCTACAAATTTTGCATAATTTTCATTACAATTGTTCTTAGAGACCAAAGGAACAATACATTTTTTGCAAAAATTTTGATTTTTATCAAGCTTTTAACAACGTAACCTGTGCAACTGTACAAAGCATTTTTTTCTCTCAAAGAAAGTTCTTTTTTCTGCAAATTCCAATTTCTAGGTAAAGCTAAATTTTCTTTTTCTTAAGGAACATCGTTTTCTTTTCTGTTATTGTTTTTAATAAAACCAAAAAACCAACTAAAGGTGTTGTTTTGTCGGTTTCGTAACTTGAGTTATTTGAAACGTCCAAATATTGAGAAACTGATAAAAGTTTTAAGTCATATTTAAATTGATTGGCCGTATTTGGGAAAATATATTTTCTAAACAATCTTGAGAAAATCTCGATGTTGATAAATGGGTTTTTTTTTGTCGTTCAAAAACAAGTTTTTCAGGTCTAAAATTGATATTGTAGTCAGTATATCACCTGTTTGAATAGGCTTCCAAACTGTTTTTCCAAATTTGTCAGGGGCGACTTTTAAGTTTAAAAATAACTTGAGGAATCCTTGAAGGAATTTTATATTTTCTTTATAGACAGCCATATTAAACTTGTTCAAGGCCAAAATAGTTGATCTAGAACTAATCAACTGGAACCACCTATGTACAACATCAATAAAAACAACTGTCGTTAGAGAAGATTTGTCTTCTCTCTCCTCTTCCGCATCAAATTTTATTCCACAACTAACATTTCGATTCAAAACGTTTAGAGAATTTGACACCTTCATTTTGTTAAAATTGTTAGACTGTAAAAGATCCACATTTAATTTAGACGCAAATTGCAGCTCAAATTTGCCTTCTTCTTCACAAAAATCTTTAATGTCTTGCACGTCAACCAAATCAGAAGTTAAGGCCGTTTTTCACCATCAATAATCATTGCCAGAATTGTGGCAGTAAATTTGTAGATAAAATTGTGGGTCGTGTAATACATGAATTGTCGTTATGGCCCATTTTGTGTTAGTAAAAGTAGAACGTGTTCTAATTTTACGAACAGAATTTCGCAACACAAAAGCTATCAGAACTTTATTTGTGTATTTGCGTATGCACTCAAAATTGGCATTTCCATTGAAGAAAAAAGCGTTTATGAAATGGACAGAAGTAAAGGTGCTGGGAGAACTCGATTTACGCGACTTGAGATGAATTCCGGGAAGGATTTCCCAACAACATCGATGACAAAGTTCCAGGAAACCTCCTCTCTACAAAAAAAAGAAGAAACGTGGTAGGTTGAAAGATAAGAAAACTTCAGAAAATATTGGAAAGCAAATGGAATTGCCGAGCAATATTGCGAAAAAATTTAGCACTGTTCTGGTGGTTTTTGGATAATTATTTGATGACCGACTGTTGGAGAAAATCGTTTTCACAAACGACATCTGGTTTTAGTTGAGCGGCTATATTAATTCTTAAAATATGAGAATTTGAGACAGCCAAAATCCACATGTTTCTGTTGAGAACCCTCTTCATCCTCAGAAATTAGTATTTGGATTCCAAGGAGTCAATGACAAATAGTAGGGCTTATATTCTTTGAAGGTAATCATGACAAAATTATCATGTGATTAAATGGCTTATTCAGTGTAATCCTCTTCACGACAT